GGTGGTGGTGGTGGTGGTGGTTGGCAGTGACAGAATCTGCCGAACATTAAGCGAGAATCCGGAATTTTGTTGTGCTAGGGGGGGCGTTTGGACTCAAATGGCGGCTGTGTGCTGAATCCCAAATTCGCAGTTCGCTCACTACATTGAGTTCATTCAGTTCCCAGAGGTCGTAGTAGAGAATCAGCCCATATCCATACCCATACCCTGCGGAATTGCACCTAGAAATGAAATCCCATGGACAAACTCATTCTTCTGGAGCCCTACCCCTTCGGTAAGAAAAGAAGCCCCGGAAATCCAACGGGTGGACAAGAACGATGGGGAGGGCAGAGAGGAAACCGGCAGAGCGAATGTGCCTTGTTACAAGCTTACAGGGTCACCATGTTGTATACAACTCTGTAGAATTAGAGATGCACGGATCGGGGAAAGAAAAGGGATAGATCGCTCTCTCTCAACCAACGTAGACAGTTCAAACGTGATGGAAATCGGGTTGGTCCAGCCACGAACAGGACATGACAGGATTCGCGGATCCTGCATGCTCTGTAGACATTGTCTCTACAGAGCATGATGCATGATTCTTCATGTCCAAGCAAAGCTGATGATGTTGGCTTGTGTCACGGTTGAGAAAAGACCCTGACAACGGACGCCGCAAACCGTGACCAGACAAAGGTGTCACGTCAAGAACATGAATCAAGGCTGTCGGCGTGACAATAAAGCATTGTCCCCATTACCGCCCATGAAAGTTTGGCTGGGACAAGACGTGAATCTCATCACACGGTGACGGTGGAATGTCGTGCAGAATTGCGTCATATGAGTCTATCGACTGCCAAGACACTGGCAGCGCTTGACTCTGTGTGTCGCCGAAGGAATTTCGACGCTAGTAACCAATATTTAAACCAAAGTTGTCGCGCTCAATATGTTACCAACTTCAACACCGGACCATCCTGTTATGCACAATGACTTCGGTGGCAAACAACCACGATGGCCCTCCGGCCCAGGAGGATGTCGTGTCCAAGTCGTCTACTCAAGATCACACTCGGCGGTCTAGCTCGATCGGTGATGGTTCTGCATCCTCGTCACGTAGCCCAAAATCACCACTCTCGCCTATCGCACAAGACATGTCACCCGCACTCGCACACGTCATCAATCAAATCAAGTCACTTAGTTCCTGCACTCCATCCTGGTCAGAGTACTACCTCTCTCCTGCGGATTTCGAAAAACTGCAGAGACTGGAGAGGGATGTCCTTGAGGTGTACAATCTGCGGTATTGAATCCTCTTCCCGCGCTTTTGAGGTGAATTTTCGCTAACCTGGAATCATAGATACGACTATTCTGCAGGTGATTGTACCTTTATCCTCAGGATGCCGAATCACGAGACGCACGAGGTCTTTCTGGCCGATTCTACGTTCGAAATCCGCACGCAACTAAAGCAGATTTCGAAGCAAAAGGACATTGCCCCGACAACCGCAGAATTCGCAAGGGATATCATTGATCGCCGCCACAGCACCTTTTACTATCCGCCTCCTTTCTCGACTGCGAAGAGGAACACCGAGCGTTCGCCAGATGGTTCATATGTCTACCACCTTGTCTGTAAACCCAGCTGCATAATTGAGGTGGCCAACTCTCAAACCGCCAAGGAATTGGAAAAACTTGCAGAAGATTACATTTGGGGCACAAATGCAGCTGTGCGTACTGTTGTTGGATTCGATTTTGACTATCAAGCCGGGAAGAGAGCTACACTGTCGATCTGGAGACCAAAACTCAATCGGAAAGGGGTCCTCACTGGAATAAGAAGAGAGGTCGTGGAGATCCGCAGCAAGGATGGTAAGAGAAACCAAGACACAAACGCCGGCCTGCGTCTCTCGCTCGAAGATTTCGCTTACCGCAGACCAACCGGTACGTTTGACGGTCTCGATCAGGTCTCTATTTTCATTCCCGTCGGCGAACTCTGCGACATGCTTGAGGTGGCTGAGAGCCAGGATCAAATGGGGAATGGAGGAGAAGGCATTGATGATTCTGGCCCGTCCGTGGAAAGAGCTCGTTCGAACAGCCCGACCCATGGATACAATCTCAGACCCCGCAACTGAGGAATCTATCAACAACAATGCCGCCAGGTGTGTCACATCATGGGGAGCTTGTGACCAACACGGACTCGCAGGAAAAGGGAAGGAATGACTCCTACCACTGGTTGACTAGAACTTTTGTTGTTGTTCTCAGTCTTTCTCTTCCAGATAGATCAGACAGCCCAGACAGTCCGCAATGAGCAATTCATAGCTATTTCAGCACAATCCCACGGCCTTTATGGCCTTTTCCCCTTTGCTTCCGTGCCCACCTGCAACATAGTATGGGATCTCAATGATCTTACGCTAACTAACCGAGGTTCGCCAGTCGCCAAAGGGCTTGATGAGAGGTTCGTTCAGGCGCTGCGGGTCGTTTCCGCGATATATCCCGAATTGGAATGGTTTGATCCTGAACAGCCGCACTAATGTATTTTGGGAACTCGGCCGGATAAATTCGTCAGCATCACGTGCTGATATGCGCTTATCTCTGTTCCCGGCACGTGATCAAAACATGTGGTGGCGCGCGCGGTTCGCGTGGCCTTCACGACGTCATTTCCATCACTCCCCATCTCCGCGTCACTGATGGCTGAAGGCACTACGACCCGCCGCGTCCTCCGGGCGAAGTTCTAAGGCAACCATACCGAGGGGCTCAGGTTTTGTTCCCCACCATCGCATTTTACCTTTACATTTTACCCCTCACGGCGAGGATATCACATCGAGACTTATCGTTGCACGTTGCCGCCACCGAGATGGACAGACTTCCACACCGTCCCGCAGTCACCAACAACGAGGCAATCCTCGCGCAGATCGGGCTGATGAGACGGGAAATGGCAGAGGGATTCGCGGCCATGGACACGAAATGTGCCGCCATCGAGCAGAACCTCGCAGCCACTCATCAACACGTCGAGGACCTGGCCACCAGAATCACAGCAAGGTACATACATTCTCTTTACCTCTCTCGCCCACCATTCATGTCCCCCCACACTAAAGCCTTTTCTCCAGTGATCTCAACAACATAGCTAGAGTCCAAAATACCCACCTTCGGACAGCATATGATCCCCTCACGCCCCTCGTCAGTCCTTCGACCGGAGCCGCCATCCCGGGATTCCCAGCCACGTCTGCAGATATTGACAAGATGAGTGGCGATGAGATGGATGCTCTCCTACAACAGCTGGGCCTACAACCTGCCGGTTCAGACATGGCGGAGAAGATCAAGCGGTTGAGGACGTTCATCGGCTTGAGTGCAGAGCGTTTGCTGCGCTGAAGATTCCGAACGGAAATCAGGTTGGCGGATGACGTGGGATCATGAGGTTCGGTGTCTACATCAGGGAAGGGCACGGTGTTCATTCCTGTAACTTAGCAACTCGTCGGGGCGTCGAGAACCTCACCACCAGAATGATAATAAAGGCTTCTGCGCCGTGATTATGGTTTCTACCTCCGACCCAAGACATTCTAGAATTATGTCAGGTGTATACGGTGACTGCCTCGATAATAGCGGCGGAGCTGATGACCCATGGCACGTCCAAAATAGACGAGGCCTTCAAGAACGAATTACAAAAGTACACTGTGAAATAATCATAAGTCATTATCCTTCCGTGTTCTTGTTGTGCCCTGGCCTCCTTGGTTTCATTTGTCCTTTGCCTGCCCCATGGACTCTTTGTGTCGAGGGTGATTTCCTCCTCTTTCTCCCTCTGCTGTTGTGCAGCTCTCCCTGATCCGATACCATAAAAGCAAGACGTAAAGGGAAACACCGACAAACGCTCAACAAACGCTCAACGCTAGACATGGGACTCATTCCAGGACCTCATGGTCTTCTCCACAAACCTCAGATGCTCCACGATTGATTCCATAAACGACCCTGCACCCCAAGTGCCGATGTTATTGAGTGCAATCATGAGGTCCTGTCCCCGGTCCAACAACAGCACATTCCAACTGTCCAAAAGCTTCGAGCCGAACTTGCGAGAACCAACATCAGCTACAGTCCAATGGGCCCAAAGCTCGTGAATGGGGCCTTGGGTGCAGATGGCGAAGAAGAGCGGCGGCCCAGTGTTCGACATTGTAGGTGAAAGATCGCACTTTGTTGCGACGGAATTTACTAGGCTTTCAAGATCAAGCTGTATCTTGAGTCCACAAGCCGCGGAAACCGAAGCTTGGTTCTCTGCCTCGTAGATTTGTTGGCCTGTCGAGTAGGCCTTGCCCTCGACAACAAAAAAAGGGAAGGCGAGGTTCAAAGTACGTGGTCCGGGTACCGGATTCAGTAATGACTCTAGCGGCCCGTTTGGCTCGTGCTGTACCATCTCTTCCTGGAGCCAATCGAGGAATTCGCTGACCTGCTCCTCGGTGAGATTTTCCGCTGCGAGAGAAGAGATGAGAGCCGTGAACTCTATACCTATTGAGATGTCGGGACGGGGGGTTTTGACCGAGGTCCGGGGAGGGGGAAGGCAAGGTGGTATGCTCGATGACTGGGGGTCGTTGGCTGGCGTATGCTGCCGGCGCTCCCCCAGTGGAGCCGAGACGTCGTCAACCTCTCGTTGCTGGCTCCTGTGCATAATGTCGTGGCCGTAGTTCCGGGGCTTGTACACCACTGGCTTAAGATCCACTCTCCAGTCACCTTTTGAAATGACACCGAGGCTCCTGAGACGTAGGGCCTCGATAGCATTGTCAAGTGGCTTGATAAAGTTCTCCTCGTTAGCCTCAGCCCGAACAAAGTAGAACAAACGGTTGCGCAGTTCTTGGGCTATGACGCGGAGTTCGGATCTGCGCTCCTGTGAGACTTCGGCGGTGACAATGCGGTCGATAGCGGCTTGGATGTGATCAGGCGGCTCCGCGTGTATGCGAATCCGGACGTCTTTAAGATTGGTCTGGCGATAGACGAGGGCCGAGTGCGAAGTGCGTCGGGTTGTTTCTGTCCCCGCTTCTGACGTGACCATGGAGCGCCGTGACGGCGTCCGACTGAGAGTCGGAGCATTGTTGCCTGCGGAGTCCATCTCTTCACCATTCAATATTCTCAATAACCGCAAGTTCTTCTCAGAGAGCTGGTCTTTGGAAGGAGGGAGTTCTTCAGCTTCAAGGTCTGTTTGTACGTTCTCTTCGGGGGGCTTGGGGTCGGGATGGGGTTCTCGTGGCTGTTTGCAAGGGTGCACGCCCGCTGACCCGTTGGGTTCGGCGTCAAGGCCTCTTTGTAGATTCTCTTTAATGCGCTTGTGTTCGGGGCGGAGGGGGCGGAGGGGCTGTTTGGAAGGGCACACGCGTCTCGACGCGTCGGTTTCAGCTTGAGCTTCAGAGTCTTCATGCAGGCGCTTCCGTTTGCTTCGTGCTGGCTGAGGAGCGGGTGCGGGGGTAAGGGATGGTTGGGCGTATTGAAGGCGCGCGCTCCGTCTCGTGCCAGTGCTCCGCGGGGACTTCACGACGGGGGTCTTCGGTCGAGGTCCGGTGGTGCTTTGGCGCCCGTTATTTTGCACGGAGGCAGGATTGGGTCGCCGAGTCAGAGGCATCGGTAAGAGCGAAAGGGCAACGCGCAGTATAAGGCTGTAGGAGTAGCAGTTAGGTCTTGTGAAACAGTGTATGAGGGGTAAATGTTTATCAAACAGGCGCAGCTTGGGGTTGCCTGGATTGGGTCACGTGATGATTCCCGCTAGACCTAATCTGGTCGGTCACCACAACGAAACCCGGCCTGCTACCTCTGATGCCCCCGCGGGCTCTATTCTCTGCGCACATCTCTGCGCGTGAGCGATATAGTCAATAGCACTCTGTGCTGCCCCATTCTTCCTCACTCCGGACCCGCCTGGAAAGTCACACTAGCGGCCAACCGATCCATTCCGGCTTACCCGAATGCCTCTTATGAACCTGCACGAATGCCTCCGCCCTCTCCACATCCACTAGATCCTCGATCGGAATGTCACAAAACTTGTTCTGGCCGTTGCCAACTACGGCGCGCCCAGAGAAAGCTGAAGAGAAAAGCGAGGCAATCAGGAGACGGCTCAATGCATTGAGTGCCGTGCAAGACTTGGTGCACATCTGTCAAAAAAACGCAGTGCTACACACGTACCATGATACCACACAGATCGGTTATCTCGTCCCTCCCTCGCCAGGACAGCCACAAACAGTTGCAGATCGGGGTCAGTGGGTGATAATCTCGGTCCGAGGATCTCTCGGAAAGTGTGCCATTGAGGTGTCTATCTACTCGCGCCCAAGCTAGCAGGAATATCACTGTTTGATGCAGCGGTTGGCAAAGGCCACGGAGGTATCCAAGGAGAAGAGAAACTACCCGCTGAACCTCTGCAACGATCGGGTCCCAATAATAAAACCAAGAAGTATGACGGGCTCCATGCTCTCGTGGCCTGTGGAGCGACGGGGAGGCGGGCAGGTTTATCCTGTCGCTACTAAGAAGACATCCGGCTTTAGTAAAACCATATTTGTATTCGGTAACTCGGTACTCGGTACTTACAATGGAGCTGTTCGCAATCCTGAGCTTATCCGGTGTTTCCGGGTTTCATGGTGCAATCTCCGAGACCGAGTCTTTTGCCGCCAGCCGCTGATCTCCGTGGCAGGATTCTCGGCAAGTCTTGTATCGCGACACCTTTTTTGTACATAGATAAAACAATCAGACCAGGACTCAACTTGGCCGCAGGCACGGAAACCAATCCACAACGTTGTTAAACCAACCACTACTTCAACACGAAACGTTTCTCGTTGAGGCGGACAGCCATGTTACGCTCCGAGACGTCGGCATTGCCTCCTTCCGGGCCACAACACCAAAGACCGGCCCGCAGTCAAGCCCCAAGGCTAGAAAAGGAGACATTTATACAGTTCAAAAAGCAATCACGGCCTCTCAGAGCTTGCTCCATTGGTACATAAAGTGCCAACCCCGTTCAGAAACGACCTTGTGGCTGTCACAAGGAGCCGGGTTTCGTGGCATCGCTCCGAAGCATCCAACCCGCGTCTCAACCAGATCATACGCGCGCGGCAAACTCTTGATGACCCCAAAATGATACACTTCCACTACTCAACCACGCTGAGGCGGGCCCTGATCAGTCTAAGGCTGAGCGTGTGGCTGGGGCTGTCGGTGGAGGCATCAGACGTACAAGCCACCGCTTCATCGGTACAATTCAAGTGTAACTCCTCCTGCCTAGACCCGTACGGTCCCCTTTTCAATTTATCGCTTTTTTATGCCCCAAATCATGGACAGAAGACCACGTCGACGGTCACGAATCGTCATTTACGAAGATACCTCTCCCAAAACTGTGAGGTTGAACCAACGACATGATGCCCTACAAAGGATCCAGCACCAGGACCTTGAGAACGTGGATCCACACGAGATCAGAGATATCCATACTAAGCCTCGCGTCCTGCGTAGGAAGACATCGCATCGGCAAGACCGCACGCACCTTGCCGTCCTTTCTTCCAACATGACGTATCCTCGTCAGGCGTGCGAGCTCCATGTGAGGTGTAAATCAACTTTGCAGGACAGATGTTCTCATGTCAGAGAGCGACGGGAGCACCACTCTCGCCTTCTTGCCCTGTACAAAGCGTATCATGTCCGGCGGTTGGAAGATCATCCATCAGCAACGGCATTCCGGACCTCCCAAGCCACCAGCACACATGGCAGGTAGAATCAATGGTACATCCACGGCCGGCCAGCTCGCAATGACCTGCACCGCTTTGAAATACTTTCTCCCCTCCATCCAGCGGTCTTCTATCTGCCGTCGACTGCCATTGGACTGGGGACCCAGGGTTCGATCTCTTCCGCTACGCAGATGTCGCCATTCGCTCGCCTCCGCAGGGATGGCCCGGCAACGACTCACGACCGCAGACAGTGAACACTATTCGAGACTAGGAGTGAGGTACGCATGGCGAGAAAGACATATATTGCGAGCAAGCATAGGACCACAAAGATGTGTATTAGTGTCGAGTGAGGAGAACGAACACGAAAGATAGATAGCCCATGGATAAATGCAAGAGGACGAGAGAGTGCTTGAACGTCTCTCTACATATGTACATACATCACACGCGGAAATACCTCTGTTTGCTCCTTTCTTTCTACTTTTTGCTCCTTGAAACCCTCGGCCTCGCAATGCGCACCGTACCATTGCGCCCTTGAACCCTTACATTATCCTCGCCACACAACCTTGGGCCGATTTTGGCGCCCTTTGGCCCTTTGTGTGTTTGGTATTTGCATGTGCATTTGCCTTTCCTCTCTTCTTCTGTGTGTGGACCGGACTGGCCTGGTACTGTATACGAGGACGTTGGGATGTAGGACGTTTGATATCGGAGCCGGCTGGCTAGCGAGAGAGACCGGCCATCGGCCAGGTCAAGAACCCGTTCGCAGAAGGGATGTGGAACACCTCCATGACCACGAACACGAACACGAACACTGAACAAAGACCACCGATCCAAGCGCAAAGATTAGCCAAGGTGATCTGATCGAACGAGTATCGACGGACCATCCGGCCGTCCATACATACACATACATACCATACCGCCGTCCGCCGGGCCGCCAAACAAGGGGACTCCGTGGCTCTTTCAAAGCGTGCGATAGAATACCTCTCATCAGGCCTTCAGCAAACGCAGTGCAGAGCACAGGGTTTGGGGCTCATTTACCATGTCTTGTCTTGTCTTGTCTTGCCCATACCGTGGCGCGCACAATGTCATGGTCAGACGCAGCCCCGGGGACTGCTACCACCTTTTCATGTCCTGTGCACCCCCTAGGGGATGCATGCGTTCCCGAGTCTAGCGTGAAAGGGAGGGGTGTGGTATGAGCTGGTATAATATAATGTCCGTGTGTCGATGCCGCTTATCGAAAAGGTAGAGTAGAGTAGAGTAGAGTAGGGTAGAGTAGAGCAGAGCAACCAAGAGAAGACCGATCGGGTCGAACAGGCCAGTCGGACCTTTTGCTTTCGTGGTCGGACGTGCTTTGGGATAGTCCTGCATATCAAACATTAGCCATCAGCCATCAGCCATCTCGTCTGATCTCCTTGGAGCCATGAGACACAGAATTGGAAAACGCACCTTGTGAGCATGGCATCGACAAACCACATACCACCAACTCCCATTCCCGTTCCCCCTGGAGACTCGTTGTGGCCTCTTGCACACCCAATGGCGCTTCACATGCAGACAATATACCATATACGCCCACCGGAGCGAATATCCCACGGCCTGGCCACCGAGACAGACAAATAGACGGACAGACAGCGTGAGATAAAGCCACCTGGCGGCATTATACCACGTGACGAGAAGGCGTTGTGTAACAGACAATTAAAAGGCATCCGGGCGCGGGAGGGAACAACATTCCCCCGCGGCATCAGCAGAAGAAGCAGAGACAGAGACAGAACCAGAGCATCAGGCTGGTCGATGAAGAAACAATCGGTCTCCGTCGCTCGGGTCGGGTCGTGGAGCTCAACTCGGTGCTTGCTCTGCTATTGCCGTGATCTTGTCCGCCTGGTTGTTCTGGGGTGTCAGCATCGTTCGAGGGCGGTGGGCGGGTGGGTGAGTGAGGCGACTCTCCCCGCGGAAGGGATCCTCGTACCAGTCCTCGTCCAAGAACAACCCAATTTATAATCCCACATCTTGCGTAAAGTGTCGGATCACGCCTACAGCGCCGTTCCCCTCGGTAGCTAGCTAAGCGGCCGATCATCCGTACCTGGACGGACTGACGGGATAGGTTTTAGGGCGTGTGGCGGGGCGAAGGAGGGCGGAGTGTGTCCTGCTGGAGGATCCCGCGCATTTCGCGGGTTTCAAGCCGAGGACTTGGGACTTGGCGGAAGCGGATGATCGTCGTCATGGTCAGCATCACGGTCCAGGGTAGAGGTTGTATACAACGAGACCTACCTACCCACGACGCTTGGAGTGTCTCGGGATGTCGGAGACCCTGGAGAATCCGTTAATGCGTGTAAGGTGGCAGAAGGTAGGCAGACTCAACGAGCGCCCGACATGTCGCGGGCTGGAGACGTGATTGTCTGCATTTAGCTGATCGTCTGTTGGGTGGACATGGGACGTTCGCGGGAGGGAAGATGGAATGTACGTGTACGTGTGTGTCGAGGATTCAAAGAAGATACCCTAGCAGTGTTGAAGAAGACGTGCTTGCAATCAGAAATGATATCATTATCATCGAAGAAGAGACCTATGGAATCAAAGAAGCTGTCGTTGAAATCAAAGAAGAATGTCGTCAAGATCAAAGAAAAATGTCGTTAAAATCAAACAAGACATCATGAGAATCAAAAAGGACACCCTTGAAGTCGAAGAATGCACCCTTGTAAACGCCACCATGACCCATTCTCTTGCTCACGACATGAACCCCTGGAACTTTGCACAATACTCTGGATCCTCATCAATCGGATGGTATTCTGGCCGAATCTCGTGGGAGACAAGTGCCAGTAGATGGATAACAAAGAGTCCAAGATTGACGGTCAATCCCTCTTCCGCCTCCCAACGAATGCTAACAGCTTCGAGATTCTCCGTGTCTTCCACGGTGTTGTCTGGCTGGTAGGTAGAGTCGGAAGAGTGATCGGAAGTGGGGTGAGGTGAAGGCTAGATGAAATCAACAATGATCTTCAGACACACAAGGCTTGTAACTTACAGTAGGAGGCGAGGACTTTTGGACTCTTGATGACAGAGCCGGTAAGATAGGGGTAGCGGCTCTAGGTCTGTCTGGCCCAGGGATCCAAGATGGCGTTGATTGACCACTAGATGGCTGAGCCGGTGAGACAGTGGTACCGGCTGTAGGTCTATCCCGCCCAGTGGTCCAAGGCGGCGTTGATTGAACACTAGATGACCGAGCCGATGAGACAGAGGTACCGGCTGTAGGTCTGTCCCGCCCAGTGATCGAAGTCGACGATGATTGATAAAGAGCAATCTGCTGGTTGGGAGTGGTATTGGGATCCGTGACTGTTGTTCTCTTTGTCCTGCGGGTGGCGAGGGGAGTACCATGAGGTGAATCCGCCGTCCTACGGCACAGAAATAGCTCTTTGTTCGTGATAACATAGAAATATCGCGCGTTGTGACTACGGGCATAGTAGTTAGCCTGCTGTAAACACGACCGAGCTAGCTCAGTTTCGGGATCGTTTGTTTCTGATACAGGTGTGTCATCGGAGTCTAGCTTCGAACTTGACTTGTCAGTCGCAGGTTTGAGGACATCTGTGGTGAGCTTTGTATCCCCAGGAATGATGCTCTCCTCATCGTTGGAACCAGACACCTGGATGCCACTCCAGTCCGGGAACGTTCCATCACCAGAATTACCCACGCCCGTTATCCATTCCACTTGGCGCAGGCCTAGATGACTGCAGGCTACCCGTAGTGCTTCGTTGACAATAACACTGTTCTGTCGTATCAGAATGAAATCGAGGTGACTTTCATATTGAAGACAGCGCAGTGAGTTCAAAGGTGGGGGTGGCTTCGCAACTTTGAAGGTGGTGTCAAGGAGAGTTCCGAACAGAGTTTCGATAGTGTCAATGTTGAAGTCTGCCCAGATCCCCCACTTGTCTACCGGCGACCAATTTTGTGCTGCGCCATCGGTCCGCACTTGAGCGCCATTCACTTTGGGGTGTACGCTGAGAGGAACGTTTGGACGGGTCAGATAAGCTCTTAGAGTTGTATACATCTTGGAGCAGGGGGACATCAACGAGACAAGAGTATAGAGGAGTCTTATACAGAAGGCGACGATTGTTGGCAATGAGCCCCTCCCTCCCTCTCTCCCCCGCCTCTGCTATCACGTGGAGTCGGTCTCAGGCAACTATGCCGACAGTCTGTCCTACGCTGAAATGCCCCAAGAACATGTGGTGGATCAGCCCAAGGATCGTGTTCACATAGGCAAATTACTCGTATTGCGGTTGGTACACGCCTACCTCGGTCACAGGAGTTTTGGAACTCTCTGGATCTTGACCGCTGGCTCTGGCTCTAGTTCCCTATTCTTCTAATATAAAGTGGCTCATGTTGCGTACCACGTACTGACAACTCGCGCCTCCTCTTTCGCCCTCGTAGCTGCTCTTCCCACTCACTCGCGTCCTGGTTCTCCCAATCACTAACATCCCGGGTCTCCCAATCACTTGCGTCCTGGCTACCCCAGCCACACGCGTCTTGCGTCCCCCCACTGTCCTTTCGAGCCCGCTTCGTGGGGCTTGCACTCCGCGGTTGGCCGTCCAGAAAGGCTTGGATGCACTTCTGAGCATTCTCTTCCATGATTTCAACGCCCTCGCCAGTCTTGCGTAGGAGGCGTCGCGACACACCTTTCTTCAGGAAAAGCTCGATAAGTGGGAAGACGGTCCAAGCGAGCCGAGTCAGTAGGAAGCAGTGGTGCTGTTCGGTGATGGCGACTGGGACGTTGTGGTAGAGCTCGACGGGTTCACGTTCCTCGGCGGAACGACATCTCAAAAAATGTGCCACCATTTTGCCATACTTTTGCACAATCACGAACTTGGGCTTGTGATCAAAGTACTGGTGCACATCCACCTTCAAAGTCATGATGTTTCTGTTGCTGTGGATCCCATCGTAGCGGAGCATTCCATTGTCGTTAAACCACTTCTCAATAAACATATTCCGAGGGATAATATGGGCGATTTCAAGGAGGCTAATCGACTTTGACAGGAGGCATCGTCGAACGTCGGCCAGTTCAAAGGTAGGTTCCCGGCTCCAACGGGCTGGAAGAGTGTTGTGAGGGAATTTCCACTCTGTAAAAGTCGGGACAACAGGGTAATCTTTACGGATGCCTGATTATTGTCAGCTGGAGCCGGTCATACGTTCAAGGGATATCACCTGGGTTATCACTATCCTCTGCCGGAACCTGGAAATAATACGCTTTTCCCTGCAAAGAAGCATCCATGTCGTCGGTGGGAACTCGCAGCTTGCCATCTTTATCGAGTGTGAAGAAGCCGTCCCACTTGTTCCCGGCCACGAGGGCACATACATCCAACGCTGTCTGGTGATGAATACCATCAGGACTGTCGAGAGCAGGCAGACTCAGCAACAAAGAGTCATCGTCGGGGTAGCCGGGATGAAGGAAACGTATCTCGCGTGGTGACGGCAGGTGAAAGGGGTCGGTGGGATGCTTGGGTTTGATGTACGCTGCGCGGGCACGAGGTGCGTTGTAAGGGGATTGCGCCATCATGTGAATGACGGCACTTGGCCACAAGCATTGTTTGTCTGCGTTGGGATGCCAACTGGTGCCTGTCGATGACGGTGCAAGAACCGTGTCTGTCCGTGAATAGGAGCCCGACTGCGGTTTCCAGGGACCAGTCACGGCACGGACAGAAGCCCAACTGCGGTTTACAGGGACCAGTCACGCTAGTCCACCTTCGGCTAGTATGTTAACAGCAAATAAATTCTCCAGATACCGTCGTCAACGCTAGAGCCACAACGGCAAATAGATTCTCCGAATTCCGCTGTCAACGCTAGAGCCACCTGAGTCCGAGGTATTGCCGCCGTAGGCAAAACAAAACAATGGACGCATCACAATGGACGCATCATCACCATCACCACCATAACAACTTCGTCAACCACCACACTAGCTTCAACAACAGTTGTTCACCAAGAACTTACGATATAACATGATGCAGGGAGACAGAGAGATTCTCGCGTTTGGTCGTTACGGACCGATTTATTGCACTACTGAATGTGTGATCAAAGAGGTGTGTCGGTACTCCTTTGCCGACGCGTTTTGCTAACTGGCAGATCAGATCAATCACAAAAGAGCATTTCGCGCAGAATACAACGCCTATCATTGCCTAAAAGAGGTCGAAAGTCTTCGTGGTCGCATACCACGATACTGTGGCAGCAAACCCCACAAAAACCGCATCTACCTCGAGCGCATCCACGAACCAAACCTCCGAAAGCACAATGTTGACAAAGCGACCTTCGAACAAATCAGAAAATACCTACTGGAGACAATTGATATCATTCATGACGCTGGATGGGTCCACCGTGCCATAAGAACCGAGAATGTATTCACTTCAGGCATGTTGTTCGATTTCAGCTATGCTAGCCCGAAAAGTGAGCTTTCGGCGGCATGGTGGGAACACTATAAACGTGCAGACCGTGAAGCCATCGACGAGTTGTATTCAGCCATGATCGGATCCCAGGTGCGCCACAAATCTCTCCTTGATGGGTTTCAAGCTTACATTGTGTAGAACTACATAGCCTCATTGGCCTTGCTTCAGAGAGGCGTTAATGACCTTAAGAGTCAGACAGAACTTGCCGAGCTCCTCCGCGAGTCGGACACCAGCTCCGACCTCTTGGACAGGCTTGAGACAATCAGAAGTCCTATACCTTCTCTAGTCCTTGAAATGTGTCGGGCGTGTCGACGCGAGGGGCGATTTGCACGGGGGTGGTGCTTATTGGAAAAATGCTGCCCCCCCGCACCACGCGATGAACAAACCAAACGACTATATGTCGAACTCAAGGCCGAATGTGCGAAATGCGAACCTTATCACGGTCGCAGTGTCGGGAAAATCTCTAATGCCTACGCAGACGCAATCTCTGCTAGCGTCAATCTTCTTGGTCGAACCGACGAGCTAACCATCAAACTTCGTGTCGACTTCGCATCGTTTCTGGAGAGGGCAGATCGAGTGCCCGATGCTCTGAAAGAAATCGAGGCACTGAAAGCAGACTATAATGACTTGTCCGAGGTATACAGGGCAGGGATCACCAAGCGTGAGGCACGGTTGCGTGGGATCGAAGCAGAGAAACGGAAACATGAAGAAACTATGCCTGCGGAGGAGACCTCCAAAGAAGACGATAAAGAGAATAGTGTTCAGAGCGAAACGCATAGTCCACCATCTAAGAAGCAGAAGAAGTCGGTCGAATTTGAGTTGGTCTACCGAGTAAAATAGTCGGGGATAGTTTAGGATGGTTTGGGATGGTCTACGTTAAAGCTGATCGACTAAATAGCTAGTCAATTAGTTAACCGGGAGCTAGGACTGGTTCCGCTCGGGAGCTCGGAACGCGCGGACTTGAAGCGGCTTCACGTCTATTCTGATGGTGTCTTCTTAACTGCCACTAATGCAACTTCACGTATTCCAAGAGCGTCTTCTCCAGTACCACTAGGGCGTCATTGTCGATCCCCAGGGTGTCCTCTTTAATTCCAATGCCTTTTTTTTTAATACGCTATTAGGGTATCTTGCCTCCTGAAGCGGACGACGTTCTGCCGGTCCTTGGTCGTGAAACCATGCGTGTACAAAGACATGGCGTTCTTGTTGAACCACTCTGTTTCCGCCGTGGGAACTAAGCGGGCGTTCTCCACAGCGTAATCACATTGTGTGAGCCTGCAACGCGGGTCGGTGGCACACCGCCAGTCTCTGGGGAATCTCGAAATCTCTTTCCAATAGGAGGGGAGCTCGGAAGGAAATTCCCAGTGCCCGAAGCGAGGCACGACTGCGTAATCTACTACTGCGCCTGGCAACTGTTAGGTATCTGGGACTTTTGACGCGGAAGTGATCTCACCGTTCGTCGGTGGTGCTGTGTGAAAGTAGTACGTCGCGCCCCTGAGCGGCAACTCTGGGTTTTTGTCCACAGGATCGTTCCCATCGGGATCAGTCGACAGATAGCCCTCCCACGCATTACCCACAACTATGGCACAAGCAATCCGCGCCGTTTCATGGTGTAGGCCCCGATTCTCAGATACTCGGAACCGCAGAAGGGTGTTGCGAGGCTGGCAGGGATCCCGAGAGCACGGATGTCGGATGTTGATCACCCGGCAATCTTCACAACGCGTCTTTTGAGGGTGGAATGGCACTGGATATGGTTCATAAGTCCGCCAAACGTCCGGGTTGCTCGTGCTTGCTGGATCAGCCATGTTCGACAAAAGGGTTGATATGAGGAACACATGCTCACGAAGTCCAGATGTTTGCTTGAACCGGTGCAAATATGCCAAGATATAGTTAACCGGAAAAGGGCTAGCGTGTTCTTCGGGTCTATCTTGTCGGTCGAGTCTCGCTACCAGTTCTGTAACTTACCATGGCCCTCTCCCCAACAAGTAGTGTCAGGGGAAGATTGATCCCGAGTGTATGGTTCATAGCGGTGCGGTCGAATTCCGACCCAGTAAAGTCGGTGCTTTTCCTCGGACGAAGCCAAGTTGCGATTGATACCAGCCATCTTCATGGCGACGACGAGATCCCTCTCTTCCTTCATAACCCCGAACTCATGCACGGACTGAGGTCTGGGCACTTCGGACTTGGGAAATGCGGGCGGATTGGAACGGAGGGGGAATAGTTACATCGATTCAAATGAGAACTCTGTTAGGTACTATGATGTAGCATGTAGAAGTACAATATTTCCACAACGACCCCTCGCTTGCAAAAAAAAAAAAGGCCTTTGCCATCGAGGAGGCTCCCATCGGTGTCACCATAAATACCGACTGGTTGATATGGTTCCGGCCAGTTGAACAATGGAGTTGCATTTCTTCCAGGCCATCTGCGATGGCCCCGTTGACGGCAGCGGTTACAAATTGGAATGTTCGTACCCCAGAGGCAAAGACCTGCGCTTCGCTCGTGTGATCATTGAATGGGGATTGAGGACAACCCGTCTGCTTGTTGCCTTCCGGATTCCGTTTGACGGCACGGCTCTCGTCGAGCGGCCTGTGCCGTTCTTTGACTTTTCTGCACGTGCCTTTCCATCTCTTTGAGACTGTGAGGCTCCTTTTGTTTTCTTCCTCCTTTTCTCCGGTAGAGGTAGAGGCTCGGGCGCGATATTTCGCTCCGGCGGAGTTATCGACTCAGGCCGCTCGTCCATGGAAGGGCTTTGTTGTCTGGGAGAAGGACTTGGCCATCCATCTTGCAGTTCCCGGAGTTTGTCGATGACGGCACTGATTCTCTGCTCCGTGGCCCTTGCATCCAACGCGTCAATGGTACAGAATGCTATACCTGGCGGTGTCCCGTCTATCTTTAAGACAGGCAATCGTGAAGACGACATTGGTCAGAGAGTCGCCTTGCTCGTCCGCTGGCGCCCTGAAGCATTCAATAAGCCTGTTTCCTCGTCTGGTTGGGTGAGAAGGACTATACTGCAGACGGATAGGAGTATAAAATCAAGCTGTCGGCTCTGATGGGCGTTGTCGCGGTTGTTTTACTTGCGGTGGCTTTCCTTGCGGAGGTAGAGCGATAAAGGGTGAGATTGACCAGAAAGTAGCGGATGCTCTGGTCAAAGGTAGAAAAAGACCGAGAGACTATCCGAATGGTCGCGAGGTAAAGCCCATCCAGCAAAAATACAAGATACGAGACATCAATGTGCGCCAGGCGGTCAGTCTTGCCACGTGAAACCACGTGGCTGACCCCTGAAGCACGGCGAAGTATTTGTACTGAAGATGCGTCATACCGCGCTACTATCTGATGATTCAACTTATCTCAGATTCTCAGACCAAGTCTTACTAAGTATGAGCGCCACCGAAGATCAATTCTTCAATTATACCGCGAAACGATGGCTTTGAGTTATCTACTAGAGTGGGCGTCTGCCTCAAGCTGAATCTTCTCGCAGATTTAGTGAAGCCTACGAACTGTCCATCTGCTGCGTTCACTTCAACATCCAAACCCTCTTCGAGTCAGCGCTTGCACCAGTTGGTCCTGGAGCTGCGAAGTGTATGGCATCTGTGACAAGGTCTACAACTGCTCACCTGTAAAGGTGTTTATACTGTAAATTTCCCCGAAGGTCAGTACAACAAGGTCTTTCAACTCCTGAAGGACAACGGAGCTAAAGTAGTTGCGAAGATCCCTAAACTAATTGCTAGGCCTGCGTATTTCACAACAGCTAGCGAGGTTGCCACCATGGACGTTGTGATCCGTCAAATCTGGAGTGGTCACCGGCCAGCATTTCTACCTTCGCACGATTCTGGCAGTTCCGACCGTCTTGAGACTCGAAATTCTGTCCAACCCCGGTCTCAATCTGGGCAACGTCTTTGTTGACCCCGGCGCAATCGGAATAACCTCCATCATTGACTGGCAAGGCTGTACAGTTGGCCCTCGCATCTCACGAGCGAAGATATCTCGAACGGTTCGACACTTTGAACATCTACCTCCGGGACTGGTCTTGCCAGAGAAATCGAGCAGCTGTGGTATTCTAAGATGCAGACACCAGGCAAAAGGCGGACAGACTTCATGACAGCGCCCTTTACCAGAAATACTACGGAGTCCTCCCGACAAAATAGAACCGTCGCCTCTTTTCCGCAATCATGTATAGCGAATCGTATATCCTCCTTCGTCGAGCCTAGACTGGCAGAGCGTACGTCGTAGAGGAAGCGGGAGACATACAAGCTCCGGTCCCCGATGATTCAAATCGCGGAACACTGGAATGAGTTAAGACCAGAACTGCCGTCGTGGCCGATTACCTTTGAACAGGAAGAGGAAGAGACATGACGAGGAGTTGGAGAACAGAATACATCCAGACCATGCTTGAGGCATTCCCAAAGGTGAGAATACTCCCGGCGGATGGGAGGGTCGACCCAGATGACTTTGAAACACTCAAAGATGTCGTCCATGTCCAGCCGGAGGGCTAGGTTCAGGATGCTGGAAGGACCTTGAGGTTCTGGAAGGAGTACTGCACTCACTGATAGACCGAGGGGAGTTTCAGTGGCTGTTAGAAAGGACACTTTGGAGAATGTAGATTCGCCGCCATCAGTACGACAGCCATGAGTCAACCTCACCCTGAAGGAAGGGGCAGATAGGAAGCCGTGTGCGTGCCCCTGAGCACTCTCACCACTCACTGCTTTCCAAGTCCCGGGGATGCGCTCCCCGTAGGCGGCGGCGGCGGGTCTGTCAGGCCACGAGCCACGGTGACTTCTGGACGGTGAGCGTTCGGCCGCCGGACGAACGGGGGCTTTTCGGAGAAACGTTGGCTTGTAGGAGATGGTCGAACCGAGAGGGAAACTCACATGTCGTTCAAGTAGCTTGAGGTCCTCAACTTCATCTCCAATTCTGGTGAAACGAAGATCTAGTTTTTTGAACTCGTTTCATAGCATATACATTCCCGGACGTGATCTTGACACATGAACATACAACTCCGAAAGCTCCAAATGCCTGGGGAGTTTGTATCAGATATCCTTGAAGGACGAGCTGGTGTCTGAAGATGTCGGATCAATTGATTCGATTCTTTCTTTGAATCAATCGCCACACTTCTTGCGCGACCGCATCCAGCTGCGCAATGTCGGCTTCTTCATTCTGGGTAGAAATTCGATCTTGAAGGCAAGGTTTCCAAGTGTGAGAACTGTACACCTCCTAAGATACCAGCCCCCCTGTGAAACTTGCTCGCCGTTGAGTAACACCCTTTTTTCCACGTGAGGGCACGAGCATTGGCAGTCGAGTTACCTGGTGATACCTGATACTCGCATGGCGACCGCGTATATGAATCTTCGGCAATGAAGGTTCCTGTTAGGATCGCTATCCATAACCTGGACAATCTCGTGAAATGCCTGTTTCGCTCGATCGTTCGCTGGTTCGATGTGGGCAAAATCGGGGGCCTGTTGGCTGGGGTGGTTGCCATTCAGATGTGGCTGGGTCGACGGAGATATCGGGATGTCCTTCGAACCGAATGTTTTCCTCGAGTCGAGTGGTGTAGTCGAGTCGAATGATACTGTGCTGCGGAGCGCGGAGGTGGACACGGACAGCGGGCATGTCTTTGAAGAGTGTGAGCGTCTTGTGTCGAGTCTGGGTGGATAATTGTGCTGCGACTTTTATCTTGCGTCCACGCAACCATCAACTCCGCTTGCAAGGAGTCAATAATTGACACGGTTTATTCTCGAACCCCTCTCCTCTCTCTTGTCTTTCATGCCTTGCAAATGGAGTGGACACCAATGCAGATGGAAGTTGCTATTGCGCAGCGGCCGCGGAGCAGAGAGTCTGTGGTGCGATTGAGCGTCTACGACAGCAAGCAGGATATCCGAGCCCTCCTCCTAGATAGCGAAGCCCTAGCCTGGACGAACGGCCTCCCTCAAGCAGACTCTCCTGGCCGAAGTCGTTAACCCCAACTCCAACGCCAGAACAATACCTAACGCCCGAATCTCTGCCTCGGCCGAAGAAAAAGGAGAAGAAAAAAAAAAGCCACCTCGGTTCCAAAGCCTCAAAGAGATGGACAGGCGCGCACAGTGAGTCCAAGGAACGGCGTGAGCGGCTCGAGGGGAGTGGTGGCACCGAAGGGAATCCGCAAGGCAAGAAGCCGACGTTCGATCCTCCCAGTCCCCGTTCAATGACCACGCGATCGAAATGCAGCTGTTTGCCTGTGGGATTCATATTTTCGACTTGGAAACGCCACCGTCGAAGGATGAGATGGAGAGATATACGAATAGAGAGAAAAAGAACAATCCTGGCCTCGACAAATGAAGGATGCAGCAGTGCTTCGGCGATATGAATCAAAGTCACGGACTGGATACCGCGGTTACGTCCCTGGAAGCACGAGGGAAAGAAGACATGGCAGGTAATCTCGGAGAAATGCATCTGCGGTATTCCAACGGGTTGGAGCTAGATCAATCCATCGGTGTTTGTGGGTTCGGCGTTGTACTCCTGTTCGGTCAAAAAGATGGCACAGGTCTTTAGTCATACACGCAGTACGTGGGCTACAGAGTAATCATAGCATCGATCGCGAACGCTGTCTTAGTTTCTCCCCACAGTCCTGCCCAGTCAAGTTCGATCGTGGCAGATTCTGCCAAAGCATAATAAAGCGAAATCGCCTTTCGACTTGTGCGAGTGCCAACGCACCTACAAGGCCCGATCGACATTCAAGTGTTCCAAGATGTGATGACACCGTGCGAGCAAGAGCAAGAATCGTTGCAGGGCGCAGCCTCGCAGTCTCGCAGCCTCGTCGGGAGCCTCGGAGATACTCGTTCGGCAAACCTTCCTACACCTGTCAGCCCCGAATCGTGGTCGGGGACCTCGGAGACATTCGGTCGGCAAACCTTCCATGAACATCCCCACTCTGAACTGGCTTCTCCAACTCCCTGCGCCGACTCGAATTTTTGCGCAACATCTGCTCCGTCGCGATCTCTCCTGCGCACCACTAGATATGGCTGAACGGAATAGCGGCCTTCATCTCCGGCGGAGGTGGGTTGGTGCCTAAGGCGGCGCAGTCCTCTTTACTCCAGGTTTTGTTCGCAAATGCTGTCTCCGTCCCGAGTGTTGATCTCCAATGGCGTCCGCCATGTGGTCGACGTTCGCACACGTCCTACGAACCTCTGTCGATACTGCCCTTCCCTCAGACCCCGTCGCATGATCACGTTCCCCAGCAGAAGCGCAATCGAGACAGCCACGCGTCAAAGTGCGCAGCAATCTGCGCAAACGACGGGCGCGGAGCTGGGAGCGAAAAAGCCTGGGGAATCGGACACACGACACAGTTCCATCTGGCGCTTTGCCCGGAGCTGGACATGGCGGCTCTTCGTCATCGCTCCGCCGCTGCTAGTCCTCTTCATGTCGTTCCCGTTCACCATCATGCGAGTGCAGGGCGCGTCAATGGCCCCCTTGTTCAACATCAACTCCTCTCCGCACCTCCCTCCGACTGCGCCGGACGTCATCCTCGTGAAAAAGGTCAAGGGCATCGAGGCGTTCCCAAACCTGACAAGAGACGGATCTTCGCGGTTGACACTGAAGAGGGGGCAGATTGTGGTCTTTTATGCGCCTCACGATCCCACAAAATTGGCCGTCAAGAGGGTCATCGGCGTTCCAGGAGACAGAGTCAAACCCCTGCCCGGCTATCCGGGGGGCGATGACCCTGTGATTGTGCCGTACAACCATATCTGGGTCGAAGGGGACGCGAACAGCCGGGAAAAGTCCATGGACTCAAACTACTTTGGACCCCTCAGTCAGAACATGGTGTTGGGTCTGGTGACGGCAGTTCTGCCGCCATGGGCCTGGCCGGTCGCTGTCCGCGGCGACGAACACGATTACCCTGCCAAAACGAGCGGAAGGCTGGAGAAGGACGTGGTGCAGCACGCAAAGTTGGATCCTGATACCGAGGCGTCGAAGCAAGACGACCCTTTCGAGGACGGCCGAGCTGCGATCGAGTTGGCCATGATGCGGCAGAACCGAGATCACCTGATCACAATGATAAGGGACAAGTCGAAGTTTGACCGAATGAAGACCATGTACGAACGTGCAAAGACAGAGTTGCAGCACGGCACCGACGAGTCGAGGGAGGTCGCCAGTGGGCTAGTGGAAGAGCTGCAGGTCCTGTTTGAGAGCGTGGGATTGAACAAGGATGGAAGCGCGATGCCCCCGGCACTGAGGAGTTTGAAAGAGGGACGAACGGACGAGGGAAATCTCGAAAAGCAGAAAAGACTGGATGAATATCTGGCCCGACAACGCCAAGCTTCGAATGACGGCATCGGATCTCAAGCCTAGTCCGTCGTGGACTATGAACATTGCGTGCCTTTGGCTTGCAACAACGATCTCCCGCACATCGGCTCCGAAACCATATGCCGGCCGTGTCTACCACGCTGGTAGTGTCCACGTCTAGACTGCTCAGCAGCAACCGTTACGGCCTGAGACGGAAATGGAATCTCCTCCCGCCCCGATCTCGGCGTCGAATCCCATTCTCTTTGTCTTCCATGTCCAAGAGACCAAGCGCACCAGCTCGGCGTGGGTGTGGGTGGCCGAATCAACACAAAGACGATATTAACCCTCAGCACATCCCTGCACGGTCGGGCCGGCGTGATGGGGAGTTGGTTTCACCCCCAGGAATTCCAAAATAGTGCGGTGAAATGGATATCATATGCATGCATATCTCGGTTTTCACACAAGCAAGACAGCATTCTTCCGTGCACACCCCGCCACCATCAAAACCTCCGGGAAATTTCTCTCCCGAATGGGCCTCTTCGGGACTAGATCTAGCTAGCTAGCTAGATAGGATTACCAATACCAATGCACGAAATCAAACCATTCCGACGACTCGAACTTGTTCTTCCCACGGTAATGGTCAAGCATTCACGAGGTGAAAAGCTGGTGGTCGTGGAAGAACGTGTCTCCATGTCCAGGTCCAGTCCAGTCTCTCCCTTCCTCACCGTGTATGTGCCCCTCCTCTACAAAAAACCATTGCGACGAGGAGATCCTGGCCTAAATCGCGTCCCAGCGAGAGACCAACTCCTCCTCTACCGTTGTGGCGTGGCCTTTTCACGCGTGTTCGGGGACTGGATGCTACGTGTATAGCGCACTCTCGAGGAGTACACGTCGCAAGGGGGGGCGAGAAGCAGAACACACCTTGATATGACGGATCTACCGTGTCGACGTGCTGGCCACTTCCTCCTCTTTCCGTCTGGATCGGATCTTCGAGGTATACCTGTTGAACACCCAACGCCAAACCCGAGAAATGGTGTGTCCAGGCCCCGGTCCAGGTCCGAGTCGGCACCTACATACATACACACATACACACCTCGCCAGAACGCCCCCCCAATCCTCACCAGTCTGTACGGAAAATGGTCCTCGGGGGCTTTTCACTGGGCATGTTTCACGGTTTCACGGTTCACGGTTCAACAAGAAAAAGAAACCATATCGATCCTCGTACAACGATACAACCGAGAGCAGCAGCATCGAGGCTCAATCCTCATGAGGTTGTCTGCTCGCTCAGTTTGTCGGTGACTGATTGCCAAAGACCTTGTGGTCCTACACCAAGTGCCGTGACGTGACTTGACTTGAATGCCCTTGTCGTTGAATGATCTGGATCGAACTCGACGCGGCGTTATGGAACAGTTCATTCTTGTCCGGAGTAATATCCGTGACTGTGCTGCGAGAAGAGAGTAGGAGGTCCTCCTGCCCCATGCATCAACAATTTTGGAAACCGACTGAAAAAGGGGGACGTGCCACTGGTTTTCGACGCTGCGGCCCTCGTCTCAAAAGGCTTCTTGGGTCACACGGTCAAGGGAGAATTTGGGAGGATATGCATTTACGGCCGGTCAAGAGGTCGACGGAGGTGTTGAGGACAGCCAGCTAGAGGTACAGGAGGTTATCGGCCAGTGCACAGACTGGGACGTTCTCAACACCAAGAGAAGCTATACAAAACAGGCGACAGCGAACCACACACCAACTCTCGGCACCCAGTTGCAAAGGAATTCGCGTCGATGAGATATACTGCTTCGCCATTGCTATCTGCCTATGTGTAGGAAAAGAGTGAAACGTCTCAAGGACCTTGACCCATGCCGTGTAACCCCCTGTGATAATGATACGTAAAGGGTCGTCGCATTGGATGCCCACCATCTCCTCTCGCAGCCTCGTTTCTGAAGATATTGTGTATACTTCTAGGTTGTAAGACGGTGGATAGTGGTGCGTGATTGCTGCCTTTCTTCCTCTCGCGTTTCTCTCCTTCTGTTCTGACATGCTTCTGCCATGGTGTCTTTAGGTCTCGGTCGGTGGGTGCTCGATGCGTATGGCACTGCTGGGTTTGACTATGGGTATGGGATGTGTCCAACCTCTTCAAATGGCCATTCCAGATGTCCACGATCTCTTGCGGTTTCTGGGTCCTCAGAATCGCCATCGCTATCCAGTTCCTCCAGTTCAATCTCTTCCAGAGCGTCAGCCTCTTCAATGACGGCGCCGATTTCTCGCACGGAGAGTTCGATGCTCCGACCGTGTAAGAATGGTGGAATGAGTTCTTGACGTGCGAAATCAAGCAAGCATACACGGAGAGGAGGGCCCGGAACGAGTCTTCCATCGTCGCCACGGATCTCCTAGACACAAACGTGAGAAACGGTTCGGATCTGGTGGCAGTATACTGACCTGATAGTGATGCTTCAGCTTCCGGCCTTCTGGGTCTGTATAGTCTCGTCTCCATGTATGCATGGACACATTCCAGGTGCGATGGTGATCGTAGTCGAAAGCAACGAACAATCGGACCTTGCGGTTGCTTTTGAGAATATAGAACTCGGCCAATTCTTGCAGTCTCTCCCGCTTCTGCAAGAAGGAAATTTCGACCACGACACCATATTTGGGGAGACAGACGTGGTGGAAGAAGGCGTCTGGTTGATGTAGATCGCGACAGGCGTTGGATCCTGCTTTCGAAGTAGGCGGCGTGATGGCTAAGATTCTTTTCCTGAACATCCTGACGCGGTGTCGTCTACACAACTTGGTCAACTTCTTGAGGAGTTTCCGAGAGAAAGACTGTATGAACAACTGCTGAGCCGGGGATGGGATTTGGTGAACGAAGGTCTCCAGGCCACAGAAATAGCCGTATCTACATCTCGGTCAGCAGGAATCGAGCTGAGGATTCATCTTGCCTTTCAAAACATACTGAGTTGGCCCTCTCTGCTCAGCCAAGTGTTTGTTCGTCACGATCCAGTTTGGCTCTGACAGGGGGTATTCAATCCAGCGAGCGGTGTCAGGCGGATCGCCGACGGTACGACGGTTGATATCTTCGATAATGGTGGCAACCTCTGCATTGTCTTCGGCCAATGGAGGAATGGGGGGCAGATTCATGGTGCAGAATTGATATCCCGTGGTACTTGCCACGGAAACGAAGCTTGAAACAGCAGACACAAGGTAGGGAAGATGGGATGGAACGATGAGGGTGGAACGAGATGTGGTGAAAGAGACTGATATGATGAGGGGAGAGAAAGAGAGTGCGGGTTCGGAGGAGGAAGAGATGGCGTAAGTCGAACCTGGTTTCTATGATGCAGCAGGAGCCATTGAACATTGGGTCGGTGTCATTGCTCTTGCCAGTTCTTTCCTCTTCTCAGCTTCGTCTCAGCCTCGTCTCAGCCTCGTTCCTCTATCAATGTGCTTAGTCAGCTGCACTCATTCTTGGGCTACACAACACATTGCAGGTCTATAACAATGCTCCAGGTCTGCTCAAGTCACTGCTCGAATACCTTATATCTTTGATAAAAGCCCACCGACTGCCGTACGGTTTATGCTCGACGGCGTGTACTACAGTTCTCAATCAAGTCCTCGTTCTTCATGGCGAGGCTGGGGCTTGATAGGTCCGTGTCCCCCAGAACAACCCACGGAGGGCTCTTAGTGACATCCCATTATGCAGTTGATGCAGGAAACCAATCCTGAATACCCGTCCTACGAAGCCCGGCTGCTTCCTTCAAATGCCCGGGTAATTCTCCCAACATGTCAACAGCAGAGCTCGGAGCTCACTCGCCCATTCACTCTGCGCCGCCCTGCGCCGCTCTGCGCCACCGTGCAAAGACGAAGTATCCTTGAAGTGACACCGCTTCTCTTTTTGCAGAGGAAAATGGCTCCGAGAAACGCGCTCCCAGCCGTCTTTGTGGCTCCATGCATGGGGAAGAAGAAACATTAGCGGAGGCACTCCTAAAGCCCGTGGCCCAGGCTGCGCAAGCCGCTGAAGAGGCCACGAGGATACGAGCAGATCTGGGTATCAAGCACAAGTATTTATGGTAGGTAGGTAGGTAGGTAGGTAGGTAGGTAGCCAACGACTCGTCGCTATATATGCATACATGTATATATGTATGTACGGTCGTCCTCGTCGTAAACAGCGCCATTGCAGAGGCCAGAGTAGCCAGTCAAGCCGGTAGAAAGCGTGTTTTGTTTGACACCCACCCACCCAGTCAGTAGTTGGTTAGTTTCCTAGGTTGGAAGTGCATGGTAGGTGCTGGATCTGTACGTCAACACAGCCAGCCAGCGAGGTGTGCGTTCTGCGTTGTGGGTGTGGCTTCTCCATCTCACGTCTCATATCTCAGAGGGTATTTGGACACCCCATTCGTTAATACCTTTGGTGCTGCTTCTCTGTCGCTGTCCGACAGCAAGAGCCAGAGCCAGAGCCAGAGATTCTTGGTGTGTTTGTGGATTCTCAAGCCTTGGTTGCCATTGCGTTACACTGTATTGCATGTTCGGTCGGGCAAGTCGGCGGCAGGGGATGCTGTACCACTTGGTGATATATGATTGTGACGGATCTGACCCCATGCAACAAGAGGAGGCAGACACACCAATGCTGTTTCGAAAAGCCGGGGGCATCCATCCCACAGACACGATAAAATCAGATTGACCATTTCCCAACCGACTTGTTCTTCCCATGGTAATGGCAAAGCATTCACCAAGTAAAACCGGCGTTGTGGAAAGTGTCCAGCCCAGCCTCCCTCCACAATGTTTCCTAGCTCTTTAAACCATTGCTGCGAGAAGGTCCTGGGTACAGAGTCCCAGAAACTCACTCCTCCTCTTGACGTGTAGCTTTCCATGCGCTTTCTTCGGGATATGTCGCTCCGTTTGCGCTCCTGAGTGCTTCAAGGGACAAGCCGTAAGGGGCCGAGAAGTAAGCTTGAGATGACGGTCAGACCACGTCGCGCTGCTGCACTCTCTCGTGTTGGAAAGACTGTATAGCATACTAACATCAGTGCTGAACCAAGAATTGTGCGTAGATCTATGCAGAATGAGCATCAAGTCTAAGTCGGCACTCCCTTCCTTGCCAGTGTGCTCCTCCAAGCCTGCTAGTAAGTCAGTGCTGGTGCCGTCGAATTGGCCGCACTTCAAAGCGGGAACGCACAACTGTGCTCACGCATTCAAGTGTGAAAAGACGCTTTCGTTGGGCTGGCTCGTCTCTAGTTCTCCATGCCCAGAGCTTGTCGTTAACTGGTTAAAAGCAGCAACAATTGCGGCATTGACTGGAGTCAGTCTGAACGTGAGAAACCTCCGCCCTGAACAATGGTCCTTCCGATGAAGATGCAGCGCTGGGGGAGCCGAGGACTCGATTGTAGGCGAATTTTCGCAACGGAACCAGAAAGGGGTAAACATGGTGCGTTGAAGCCGTGGTACAAGGTGTTCTGCAAAGGGTCTCCGCATGTATATTCCGGCTCATGTCACGAGCAGTTCCCCAAAGACTTCCTCGTAGACTTCCTATCTCTTTCTCTCCAGGACGCTGGGTCAGAACATACAGCTGAGAGCGAGCAAAGGATCATAAATAGCGGTTGGGGGTCTGACAAGTGTGTTTCTTTCAAGGTCGACGAGGAACATGTCGAGCCTTTGACGGGAGAGCATCGAGGCTGTAGGTGCTCGCTCAGTTTCGGCAAGGATATAGTCCTATGGGCTTGGGCCCACGCATCCGCAAGCGCCGTGACGCCCTGGTTCATGATCTGAATCGACTTTGATCAAATATTTGCGGCCAATCTTAGCGGCAGTTGGAGCAGCCAGCAAACGTCTAGTGTCGCTCGACCTGGCTCCTGCGACCTGGACTGCCACCGCCACCGCGGCGGCCGCCGACAGAGCGTCTAGAGGAGGCATTCAAGAAGGTCCTCGTCGAGGTAGGGTGTATGTGATCACCTTCTGATTCTTCAACGCCGAAAAGTGTAGAAGCTGCCAGCGCATTTCAAACCATCTCCGCGATATTGTTCCTTCTCTTCGCTTCTCAAGCTCTTGCCAGCCAGCACATCACTGTTCTCTTCCGCAGCCATGGCACTCATAGAAGACTTCTGATAGGCTTTGCCGCGTGGCTCAATGATGGTTCGTGAAAACCCACCGCCCGGTTGAATCGAGGATGGCGAAAGAGGAATTGCGAGAGATGCGGAGGACGAGGGTTGAAGCGAGAAAGATAGACACCTTGGATCCCAGGAATGTGGCGCCAGTATCGAGATTCTGCCAGTTAGCAACATGTTAGTAGCGACGGAGTTGCTAGAGAGAGTCGGTACCACCCACTTATTGGGGGATTCCCTTCAACGCAGCTACAACGCAGAGCATTCGTCGCCGCCGGAGAGGGAGATTCGACTCAGCTACTAGTTATTGGACCTTTACCAAGCACCAGTATTGATCTCACCTTGAAAACGTAGCTCGTACAATGGTCCAGAAAGGAAGTAGGAAGTAAGGAGGAAGTAATGGCCAGCCAAAACATTCAGTCAGGATCCTCTTCATCGTTATTCTCGGCCTCATTTTGATTTCAGCCGTTTAGAAGAATACTTCGCCTACTACAACGCAGCCTGTAGCATGAGGAATCTCCACTGTTAGGATGCCATTATGATGTGAAATCCGGGACGAAAGACTTCGCTATTGTGCGGCAGAAGGGCACATGTCCAACTCTTGCTCCCTCGTGCTTTCTGCAGGCCTGGCTGTGGATAGAGAGGCAAGCTCTTTGTGATATTGCATCTCTTTCTTGTGCACCGGTGCCCAGTGTGTTATCGTGGGGAATGAGTGGAAAGGGTCTACTTTCGAAGGTAGGCTCAGTCCTTGGTATACTCGTATCATTTGTTTGTGTCAATCAAACCGGATAGACGGAGTATTCGGTCCTTCTGTGGAAAGAAGGAGAAGAAGGAGAAGAAGGAGAAGAAGGAGAAGAAGGAGAAGAAGGAGGCCCATCACCAGCCTTGTGTCATTTGAGCAGCGATATCGAGAGCATGAGGTGGCTGTGCTTCACTCAGGATATTTAGGCATATCATCCATCAGCCTGGCTTGTAGGACGGCCTCCATAATCGGATGAGAGAGGAACACTCGCTTTGGTTCGAGACGGAGAAGGAGAAGAATAAATCGACGGATCCTCCAACGGCGCCACGAGTTCCGTCCACAGCTGCGTCGAGCCGAGGATACACAGTGAGACGAGGTTCCATCTCCACCCTCTCATCAGGCAAAGGTGCTTGTAGATGTCGCGAAGGTCGCTGGCGTGCGCGAGGGCCAGGGCGAGGACAGCCACAGACCAGTTTTTCGCCATCCAGTCGTTCAGTCGCCCAGTCATCCAGCAGGTACATGTTTAGCTCGACATTTGCTGCAGCCACCGCATGGTTGATAGTTGTCGTCGGTCTTGTCAGTAACCACAAAGGTATAGGTAGATCAATCCCAGGAGGGTGGGTAAGAAGGCCCAAATCGCACAGGATGGGAGATTTGCCATCATGCTCATTCGTCCACTCGCAACTTCTCGGACATTCCGGTGTGGTTTGCGACCCGAGGTCCTCCGAGCCGCCCATGATCAGCTCCAGATCTGGAACTGGGGGCACCCGTTGAGGAGGAGCTTGTGTCCTCGACGAATCCTGGCACTCACGGGCAAGTGCAGGCAGCTTGCGTCACCCAAGACCCGACGGTCACCGTCGAACGAGAGCTGAGGAGGCTCGGGATGAACCAAAATGGATGGAGATCGCCCCAAATCTGACTCTTGGTTCAGCTCGTCCACCTAGATCGCCTTCTTCAAGCCGTCATAGGGTTTTTGCTGCTGCTGTTGCTGCTGTTGCATCTTTGTCAAGAGCATCAACATGGCCAGCGGAGCATATTGTCCGTCCCTGAACTCTGACGAGACATCCATCGCTTTGAACCTTCACCACTCGCATCTGGCCACGGACAAGTCATGGAAAGTTGGAAGAGGGACAGAGTTTTGAAGCCATAACAGCTCCCAGAGCATCAAAAGGCAAATAAGTCCGTGATCGTGTTCGACAAGGAATCGAAGGGGGATAGAAGAGGTCATGTTCCTTGATCCTGTGTTGTATCATTTGGCGCCGGCCGGTTGGATTAGCCGAGTGAGTTATGTGCGGGTTCTTGAGTAGGTATCTGTCTGTCGCTTGCTTTCTCTTTGCGTTTCTTTGCTTCTCTTTGCTTCGGTATCCTTTGGTCTGTTTGCTTGCTTGCGATATTCGGATACAGAGTCAGCCCAATGGAGAGTGGCCCCAGGACTCTCCGGCCAAGCAAAGCAGACTGTAAGGGTCTTTGTTCATGAGCTTCTCCACTCCTTTTCATTCTCTCCTGTTCTGATCATCTCTGACTCGTCGCGAACTTTTCGTCATTCGAGATCCGGTCCGCGCAGCGCGCGCTCGGGGGAATATGCGAACCACCATCTCCATCATCACAGAAACGCGACATAACACACCACTTGGAGCTGCGGCTAGACTGTTGCCACTGTTTGCCATCTTTTCCATATTTCGCCAATGGTTGAACTCTTCTCCATGTTCTCATTTCTGTGTAGTTTCTGTTGTTGTCTCTGGCATAACACCAGATGTCTTCGATTGGAGAAAAGAAGCCTGCAGAGCACACGCGGCTTGGGGAACTTATCTTGGTCACTTGTGGATTGGTTCAGGAGAAGCGAGGTCCTAGGTAGAGAAAAGGGCTGCGGAGCGGCCGTGTCCGTGGCCGCTCAGGTGTCCGGTCTGGATGGGTAAATACGTCTCATATTGTACGAGCACCGCTCAGGGTTCGACGTGCCCGTGCAAGAACTCACCGAGGCCTGTCTATTGTTGTTATTCACTTGACTGCCAGCACTGATCAATGAAATAACATGCCAATAGTGAATCAACGGACGAACATCGTGAATTGTACTAGGTTCTCGGGAACCTGCCAGACTAATACAGTGGCCACGCCAAACCCTAGGCGTACAAAGCGTGTTTTCCTCCTATTTCCCATGCAATCGCCTTTTTACCTATTCTCTTCCATGCCACCATGCCTGCCCTAAGGGAGCGAGAGACCTCCCCGGCCGAGTTTTGTTTGTCTGATTTGGTGCGTTCGGTGTTTCAGATGTCCCAGTTCTTGCAGCTGAATTGCCGGGGCACTGGTGTATCTGCACGAGGAGTGTAGAGGAGTGTAGAGTGCGGGATCAAACATCGATACATAGCGAGTGGTGACCGAGTGGTAAAGAAGATTGCCTGACCGAGACCCAGGAGGGAGGAAGAGGTACTGCTCCTTGGCGACGGCCGGGAGTGGATGGGCCGATAGAGGTGGCTGGCCTTGGAGGAAGTCAGTCGGCTAGCATCTCAATATATGCCCGTATACATACTGCTCAAGGGCTATAATCAGGGGGTCAAAGGCAGGGCCAAAGGCATGTGTTGCATCAGCCAGTCCAATGTCAGAACTAAAACTGTGGCTCCAAAGCAAACGAACACCAGCGGGAGCATGACTGCGAACGGAACAAGGAGGAGCATTGCCGCCATGACGAGCAGAAAAGACGACGAAGGCTGAGTGGTGAATACGCAGATTGAAGGACGTGAATTGAAGGAAGTCAAGAAGTCGCTGTGGCTGTCGGACTTGGCGGTTTTGAAGCATTTTGGACCTTCCTCCACTTCGATATCTCAACGGGAGAGCAACAATCTCACCTTGTCTCTCACCTAGTGACTCCGTTCACTTCATCTACTTACCTAAGCCCTCACTACTTCTTGCACCTTCTTGGATTAATTGACGGTAACTTCGTGAGGCCCTCCACACAGGATTCAAACCATCCAAGCAACAGACCAGACACTCCTCATACCCGATGATACAGAGCCATTCAACAGGCGTCGGAGAACCCAAGACCACAGCGGAGACCAACATTCAGCTGATGAGGGAGACAATGTCGTCATTGGCGGTGATTCAGACGACGCCAAGGAGGCGCTTCTGTCCCGGTCAGTCGATGGGGTCTGCTATATCATCACATCCAGTCAAGCCCAGCTAACGAAGTGTACAGGAACTCCTGAGTGCCCAACCGCTATTCGACGAAGATGGTGACTGCATCGAGGAAGACGAGGAGGTTGAGCCCGAATATGTCGACCTTGAGGAGTCCAGAATGGAAGAAAGATATGCTACAACCAACGTCAATATGGAACGTTCTTCTGACTCCATTGAAGAGCGAGGAGTCAAACAAATACCATTCAGAGCACCTACTACCGCGACCTTTCCTCCGCCTTTCCACATCTCATCCTGTGCTCACCGTTTTCCATGAGCATCAGACAAAATTACTTCTCCGCCGATCAGGGGATCGAGCAAGGGCAAATCACGCTCAGTGTCCACGAAGCAAGCGACCAGACATTCCCGATGGCATGAAGGCACTCCTCGACCTAGCTCTTGACGAGGGTAAAGAACTGCTTGTACGTATGCAGCCAAGTCATCTGCTCGAGTCAGCTATTATCCAGCGCGAACAAGTCAGACTCGGCTACCTCTGATTCGATACGAAGTCACCTACTTCGCTTGCATCAATGGTGCAGGAATATGTAACGCCTTGAACATACTCATCGGGGAGGTTTCTGTGTCTGAATGCAGAGCTTCAATCCTGATGCGCGAGACTCGAAGGAAAAGACCACGAGGAAAGACATTCAAGACCTTTGTGTAACAGTTGTCTTTGGACAGAAAAAAACATGTGGAGACCACATCCCTGTCATTTGGACAATTGCCAAGAACTACGCCCTTGTCGTTGAACAGAAAAGGGGATTTTTGAGCAGCAGCAGAATTTTTTTCCTCTTCCATTTACAACTCTCCGTCCTGTTTTTGCTTCGAGACTTGAAGCATGCACAGAAAAGAGCCCATCAAACTCCGAGAACGTCCTCTCCAGGTACAGCTAAAGCTCGGCCTCAACGATGCACAGCACCACATCTTCAAGACCCTCGCCGTCCGAGTCAGGAGAGAATACGCTGCCGTCCATCCAAAATCCAAATGGGCGGACATCAATGTATCCTGGGGCGCCTTGCCTGTACGAGCGAAAGCCGACGTCAGACGTATGATGCTCAACCTATGTATTGAAGCGAACCTATTCCCTCCTACCACCAAGCGAACTGTGATAGCAGCTGGTATCGAACACAGGATACATATGGTGCGGCGCACCTGGCAGGATACGAAAAAACGGTCGCCGAAAAGAAGCAGCGATTGAACAAAAGATAGGCGTTGAGGAGCGATCAACGGCAATTATCCCTTTGGTCTTTGTGGTTCCATCGGCTCAAAACATACGCATTGGCAGGGTTTGCGTTTGTTCGTCGCCAGCCGCCTGGCGAGGGCACGCAGTCAAAAGGTCCACAAACTGGTTGTTTCTCACCCAGGCTCCCCATCGTTGGTCGCTTCAATAAGATGGTGATGTCGAATGCAGCTACCTACCTCTTGCCATGCTCTCTCTTCCTCAAGGCCAAAACGTCTTGTAGACTTATCACCGGCCTTTTATCGGCTGGGTCGGCGAGAAGACGAGTGCTGCGCTATAACCACGCAACGGGAAACAAGCTGGCCTTGATGCGGAAGCTGCGCATCCTACTCTTGGACCGTTCGAGGCTCGGAGATGCTTTGCAAGAAAAGAAGTCTTTCCGACGTTGTTCCTAGGCTCGACCACGCGGTTTAAGATTCGTCACTCGTGCCCGTCGAGTGCTGTCAGAAGGCTGGGAATCTCTGGTTGACGGATGGTCGCGCAGTTACATCCTGATCAATCGACGAGCGAGCCAACTCATTGGCATCGTGTCGGATCCGTGCCCAGGCAACACCCTGCTGTTGCATGAGCCGATGAAGACCTTGTCCGCCTCGACATCTTCCGTCTCAGTGCCAGGGGTGAGACCAATGTACTCAGGAGGGTTCATTTACAGCTGGTTTCCCGGTTGGCGTCCTCGAAATTATCAGGGCTCCGCATGACGTCTGTGATGGGAACGACATCCCTGTGGCGACACCCCTGCAGTCCTATCTCTGCCTCAACTTTGGCACGGGCCCCTCGACGAGGCCATGACACCGGTCGAGTACCGGAGCTGCACCAAGGACACGTACAATGTGAACCTGAGAGCCACGAGGAGCCCTACAATGTCCAGCACTGGACGCTGGGCAACGAGATGTGGAGGGCATCGATGGCATCTAGCAAGACACTCAACACCCTCTGTGAGGTCGCCACGGATGGCCCCCTTAGTCAGCTTTTGAAACAAAAGCTTGCATGGACAGTGGAACAAACTCCAGAATGTCGTCGTCATCCAAGATTTTCTCCGAACCAGATTGCTACACGGTCTTCCGCGTTTGCACAATCTCTAGCTAGAGATTGACCATTGTTGACATTCGCCACAACCTCCAACCATGAGTGGTGCTGTTGGACTGACGATGAATCGACGTCTTTCGGCGCATTGTTCAAAAAGAGGCATTCTTCTCTCTCTCGGCGTCGTCGAGGCGCAACCTCCAAGATCCCGGCGCTCTTATTCGACACCCGCGGCGTCCACTGATACTCCAGCAGTCGGTCGAGAGGGATAGGGATGCTGCTTCTAGCGCTCGCAGGACCGGTTGTTGCACAGGCCTGGTACCCTCGACCGATCAGAGAGACGACCGTGAGTACAAGAGGTTCGACAACGGCAGCTGGGGCGATGACCGTTACAAGAGAGCTACCAAGCAAGCTTGCAGAAGCACCATCTGAAGGACGAAGCAACTACTTGATTGCGACGACCAATCTTGGGCTATTGCGGGCGACACGCACAGAGGAGCACGGCATGGATTCCCTGGTGGCTGAGTCGGTCACATACAATCCCCCAGGGGGTCGTATAAGTCGTTTAGTTGGTTGCGGAAGCCAATGAGTCTGCGCCCTCCGTCCGAAGCCGCTGGTTTCTAGAAGACCACCGATGTCAATGAGTCCCAGCGAGTGCTCAACACGAGTAGCCATCCTTGACTGCTCCAAACAGTTCATGATTTTCATCTCAGCCCGCATAGGCACTTGATTTTCGTCCATGAGGATCTCTGGGTCCTGGCAGGTCTTGGTCTTTATGCACAGACAGCCCTTCGTCGGATGTCAGCCAACTGTTGAATGACACCGACTCTCATAAATCCTATTCACCAAACAAGGCCCTCGCCTGTGATGAGAACAGGCGAGTAAAACGTCCGCGAGACGATACTTGAATCCAGTCCAAAGGTACATCGACCAAGGTGGAGGGGACATATGAGAGAATGAGTGCCAAATTGTTCTCGGTCCCCACGAGTTTGAGATCCTGCGAGATGCCGGCGACGTTGGAGGTGCCGATGCTGCTGCGCTCGAGGAACCAGACGAACCAGATGAACTAACCACGGCAGGATATATCGGTCAGAAAAAGGGACGCGAAACCTCCGATTCTGTCAGAGCCATGTCTTTGCCTCCGTTCTACCTCTTTTTACACCCTCCCTTTCTAATTTCTCGATTTAAAATGGGGCCGGCAGGGTCGAATCCCTTCTCGTGCAGTCTCCTACGGTGCTGCAGGCCATCGATAGACTCCTTGCACGACGAAAATATGCTTTCCGTGCTAGCATCGGGCTCCCGTCCTGCACTCATGATGCCGGCCTCCAAAGTGGTCGGTGCTACAGCGACGACCCTCACGCGCTGCGGTTTGGTGTGCAAGACATTGAGCGGTCCTCACAAATAAGTCGTGCGTTAAGGGAAAGGGTCGATTGAAGGACACGTCTGGAAAAGGGCGGCTGCTCTCGATGCGGGCCTCTGAAGGTGTTGCTGACCACAACAAGCCCAGAACAATCGGCTCGATGGTTACGACTGAATGAAACCATAATCCCCCGTCCGGGTTGTGCTGCTGCCGCTGGGATAGGTGCATATCAAAGTCGTTGACAACTATGGTCGTGTCCTGACGACAAGCTCATGAGCAACACAGCGATAGTGAAGCTGTGGTGTTCAAAGTAAGTCCACAAGCTGTGGAACAACCCAGAATTTATGGAGGCCTGAGTCTGGTCAAGAACGATGTATCTTCCAATCATGCAATCCAGCCACCAACAGGCCTGTCCAAGTCGACCTCCGCATGTGGTAGTGGGTGCTGCACCTTTTGATCAACGTCTAAGTGGCCCAACGACGAGACCCTGAGCTGATTAAGGGGAAAAGACTGGCGCGTCCTCTTCACCACTCTAGCCAAGATGAGCAAATGATGGGGAAATCCAAACTCTCCCGATCCTGACCTATATCGGCATGGCCATGGTGCTGTGGTAGTCCTTGACTGGCAAAATACCGTTCAAGACCACGGCGTACAGGACAATCAACAGGACACTATTTCTCACAGTCGCGTCCAGACGGACGATGCCGTGTGGGTGACAAATGAAGAATCGAGATAGACATGATGCAGGTTAATCATTGCACGTCTCCAGTCGTATGATTGCTCGATCCGAACCCTCTTGCCGTACCGAGAAACATAACTGGACAATCGGAGCAACAAGGCTGCTCAGGCTGAGACCGGACAGAACCGTAGTGAGGATCACATCAGAGACCTCAATGTATATGACGAGGTGGAAAGAGTGAATGATGACCAAGGATCAGTCCCTTGTTCAGCGAATGGCGGAACAAGACCCAGGGCAGACAGGGCCGTTCAAATGACATTGAGCAGGCACTGCCATGATTGGCAAAGTGCAGCAGAGTGGCTTCGTTTGGCGGCACGATAGACCCTCCTGCACCCACTCTGTTTCATATAACGACCGGAAACATCATTCCAACATTGTTAGAAGAGTCTGGATTCAGAAAAGTTCAAGGGAGGATCGCAAGGGCTGTAGGCATACACAAGAGATGGTTCCGAAAGTTCCGGCCAGGGATCAGCTACGATCAAGGACGATCTGAGCCTTCAAAGACCGGGTCGGTAGCCTTTGGTTGAAGCCAGTGGCACCGAACCGCGCTAGGAACCCAGCATTGACAATGATTCGACTCCATTCTCGAGAATTCACCGACAGTATCCTACACAGAATTCTCCATTGAGTATTCTCTTGCCTTGGATACGGCGCAGATCTCGCTTTTCCTCCTTCTTTGCATTGTTGGTACTGGAATTGAGGACACAAGACATACGAACCAAGGTTGCTGCAGCCCTCGCCTTCGCGCACTCTCCGTGGTCAGTGTTCAATGCAATCAGGATCCTCCTTGCCTGCAACGGCCTTTGAGCAAGATCCACCTAGACTCGGGAAGATGCAATTCTTTGAGCAGGCCATCGTTGCCCTACAAGCCATACTCTCTGTCATGTCGAGGCTCGGTCATTCATTCGCCTTGGTCCTGCCGATAACTGGCGTCTTGATAGAGGCCTCTTGTCCCCAGAGTCACTCTTGGAAGCCGATTTCTGACCCTGTCACACCAAGCTTCCATATCCAAAGCGACAACCACAATCGTCATCAAGAGATTCAATTCCGTCGTGAGCACTAGGATTGTTGTGTGCTCAAACGCGAAGCCGATTCACGGTCATATCCAAAAAGCACGCGCCGGACACAGAGGGCATAAGCGGCTTTTCAGAGAGGAGTCGAGAAGGCTCGTCGTCTTTGCGTTGAAGCGAAAGTCCAACAGTTCTCCTATCTTGAGTGTGAAGGGAAGTGGACCTGTTGGACGCACCAGTCCCTGATCATTGAGATCGGGCAAATTACAACCAGGATCAACCAGGCATACGCCAGGAGTATAAAGGTGTTTCCGCCAATGCCAGGATGCATTTTCCACACAACACAGCATGAGTTGGCCGAGGGAACAAGAGAGAATGGCCGAGTCAACCTAGTCACACGGATGGTGCCGACCTCCTACACAAGATCTACTAGGCCTACCTGGTCTGCCCGCGAATCCTCGCAGAAAAGGTGGAACACTAGCCAACATGGGGAGCTTACCGTGTCGAGACAATCAGGACACAAAGGATGTCGAACGACGACTATTGAGTGTCAATCTTGTGAATTAGTGGTCTCTCAGATCCTGGGCACTCCCGCAAACATGGTTATACTTGACGGCGGTGTCCACAAGGTCTTGCAGATGATATGAGGAAGACTACTTAATCACTCTGCAACAATCAATCCAATCAGGCTAATAAGAAAAGGCCACCAATCACGGCTGAAAAACATTCTCCTTTCGATGCAGATCGTGTTTGCCCTGATGATTGACCACAGTATCACTCTGGTAGGAGGAACAAAGGCGAATGCGGGAGCCGGCAGCAAACCTGACTTCTATCTACTCGACCGCCACGTCGTGATCGCAGTCTGCGGTGCTGAGGAAAAGGAGTTCCTGGTCGATACTGGCGCCTCCCACCACAAGATAAGTTCTAGGACGGACTCCACCAATCTTCGCAATGGAACAATGACAGGTAGATTGGCCCATCACAGCGAGAATGGAACAAAGGGCTGTGGCGACGGTATCATTGATTGCCGCCCTCTATGGTGTCTCAGTTTCCCATTCGATGCGACAACGCACGGTGATTGTCAGAATTGAGTTTTGTCAGTTGAGATGTAGATGCGCTCAAGGAGCAAGAGATGATTGCTATCCTCGAGGCAGTTCCTAGTCTTCCTGACACCGGCCTACGAGCGCAACCGGAGAGTTACAAGTGTTCAAAGCAAGATAGACGTTGTCGATTTGGCAACAGACAATGTCCCTCACTCGCTGATATACATCGCGGAGACTCAATCACAAAGTTGTCGGTCAATGGTGGTGAAGGATCCAAGCGGTGGAATGGACGATCAAGCCATCTATCTCTCAACTATCTCAATTGATTCAAAAAGGTGGCAAATGGAGTCGATGTCACAGATTCATTCAGCAGACCATACGAGGACTCGTGTCAATTGAATGCTTATGAGCAAGATGAGGTCAATATCGAAATCTTCAGGCTTACCAGAGTTCTTATAGAAGAACCTGTTGGAAACCGCTGCATGTTTGCACAATCGACGTCCTCATCCATTCATTGGCCGGATAACCCGTTTGAGCGATTCGACGAAGAACGACTCGATTGGAGACATTTGAGAATCGTCGCAGCTTGCGTTTACGTTAATGTGCCGAAGAGAAGACAGGGCAAGTTTGCGGATATAACCGAGCCCTGTGCCATGCTTGGTCATGCTTGGTCATGCATTTTGCCATCAGTCTATTGGGCTTACGGTCCTGAATATCGACAAGTGTTTCGATCAAGAAACTGTCGTCATTTCATGCCTCGGTGGCCAAATCTGGATCGATCCGACTATGATTGGCAATCCCTTTCCGATTCAAGAGGCTGTTTCTAAGGAGAACAAATAGATAGAGATCGATGTTGTGGATGTGGACTGGATGTCCCTGATGAACAAGGCCCGCAGGACAGCAATCGACACTCCTGGATTGAAGCATCTGACACACTATTCTGCTTTTCCTTCTACCATCTCTCCGCTTCCGGCAACCGAAGCTGCGTGGCGAGAGAACTCCTTGCCCGACAGGTCTCCATCAACGAAACTGGTGAAGAGGTCTCTGGCCGACGATTGTGAATCCCTTCCAGGGATCCTGGCCCAGAGCAGACGTACATGGAACAAGACTGGAATCGAAACAAGGACGTCGCGCCGGCGAGGAGGTGGTGAGGCTCCCACCGCATCAGGTGCTGGTGTACCGTCCCTCTGAGGGAGTCTTGAAGTGACGACCTCATCACTTCGCGGCCCCAGAGCTCGACAAACTGTTGGCCGGCTCAAGGCCTCAAATCAACCTCGGTGGCGTCCTCATCTCAGCGAAGCCCTGTCGCATGAACTTGTTCTTCGCAAACGATGGAGACGTTAAAGCCGTATGTTCGCATTCATAAGCGGCTGCGAACCTCGACCACCTCTTGCCCACGCCGGTCCAGGCAAACGACGACCAGGCGGAGCCGTCATGGCCATCCATTAGACGACGATGACGCCCGCCTGACGACCACGGCGCGGAACGGCTACGGGCCCAACGAGTCCCGCGCCTAGTTGCTATATTCATGCAAATCATCACTCACCCTTCGACCGTCCCCCTGCTGCTTCGGACGATCGATCCAGACTTCTCCCCGGGTTTGGCACTTGACCAGATGCAATATACAGGTTTAATTGCGGTTGCCTGGGCCGTGTCTTTCGGGGTCGACCGACTTGTTCTGGCGAGGGATTCGAGGTCAGCTAGGGCACGGAATTGAGTGACGGAATAGCGGCCTGCTTTGCGGCGTCACGGTGGCATGTCGATCTCGCGGCCCCTTTCGGAGGGTTTCCTCTGGGTGCTCACCCTCGGCGGGATCGCGGCACGCCCTCTACGGGCTTCCGACCTTGACTAGTCCAAGTCGACGTCATTGGGCGCGAAGATGCTTAGCACGTCGCGTGAAAGCACGGCCGCTTGCAAAACTGGTCATGACCGGGCCGTGAATTGGGGCACAGAGACAGTGGCTCTCAAGCAGATCAAGCTTCTTGCAGATTTGCCCAAAACTGAATTGAGGGTCATTATGCTGGGTTGACTCGGTCGTGAAGTCCGGCGGTGCAACGACCGAGTGGTCTGTCGCGAAATGTGTTCCGAGAGGCGTTGAATCTCTTTAGGATTATCACAAAAGTAACAGGGCACAGTCAAACCAGGTGCTTTAGAAGCAGTAAATCAAAGAAAGACGGAGTATATTGCCTGCGGGAGAGCAGAGAGAGAGAGAGAGAGGGAGAGAGAGAGAGCGCAGGATTGTCGTGCAGAATCGTCCTGGGGAGGGACAGACAACCCAGGGTTCAATAGAAAAAGGAGTCAACAAAAGAGATTGCGCCGATACGTCTGGCCTTGGACCCACATCAAGGGCAAATGGGCTCGAGTTTATCGGATATCATCAGAAAACCAAAGTGGGGAGACGAGCAGTTTTTCCTCCGAGACATGGATTAAATAAATAATCGAATGATCAAACCTCTAAACGATGGCAAGTCAAAGTTGAACCAGAATAGCAAGCGTCGGCAGATGACGATACGATATCGCTCAGGATAGGCCTCGATCGTGCACTGCGTCGGGACCGTCTTCTGCAGATGATGAACAGAATCTGCCCACTCGGAGATTTGCTATTCCTGGTGTCGTTGACAGAAAGCCTTTCTTGACTAGGCGTAAACGTTTGATGAAACTTTTGAAATTTCAAACAACTTTTCTGGGGGCCTGTCCACATCCTTGCAATCTGAATTGATCGGGTTCGTTGATCGCTTTGCAATAATCCCATCGGATCGATGTCCCCCACAGAACGATTCGGCACTGTTCGTGCCACGACAGCGTTCAGCGTTCAGCGTTTAGTGATTTATATCGTCTGGGGTAGACACCGACAGACGGATCTGAAATCTGTCCATCCACCAATTGCGGCGCTGCGTTGGCAGTCTAGTCTTGCCCAATTGACTTGGTCGCTGATCACTGACCGACCTTGCTGTCGGTCGTTCAGACCAAGAATGAATGTCCCTTGTGCCCATCTCCCCCGCCGTTTTTGCCGCGTGTTTTCCCCTTTCCGAGGGCTCAGTAGGAAGACTTGAGCTCATGCGATTGATTGATTGACGGCGCGAGGAACAGCTCTCTCATGGACGACCCAACGCCGGTGCAGAAATGATGGAGGGGAAAAAACACGGAAGATCTGGAAATGGTAAACGGTGTGTGTGTAAGGAATCACAATGAGACCCGTCTGTACTGCACGGGGCACATGATGATGATGATGACGGGAGAAAGAGTCCTGGGCCGGTCCGGCCGCACTGCTCGTCTTCGACTGAAAGTATTAGCTGGGACTGGAGGAGAAAGAAGGGATTAAAAAGTAAGGCGGCCCAGACAATGAAAGCTGTCTCTGTCTGTCGTGATTCATGAGAGACGGGGACCGAGGCGGACAGAATCCAAAAGTTCTCGAGGTCGAAACAGCTTCCAATCCCGATGCTCGAGGAGGACGGGCAAGCCCAGGATGATTGGCGGGTTGCGGACGGTCGAGGCTAGGACAGCCTTTGTGGTTTTGTGAGAGGGGATTGTTCATTCTCGACGTGCTTGCTCTATCTTCTGTATATTGTAAACCGGGTACGGGATGGGATGATGCGAAGGGAGTGGGGGGAGGGAGAAAGGGGGCTTCTTGGGGCTTTGATTGTTGGATGGCATGATGACCACGCATAGGATATGAAATGGATTGTGTGACGGGTGACTTGTAAATCCACCCGGACAGCGTTGAAGGTGTCTGTGATGTCGACGGACGTCCTGCTCGGGATTATTTCCCGCCGTTAACGACGGCTTGCTCGCGGACAACTTCGAAGATGTCGGCACACACCCTGTCCGTGACCTGTGCGGTGGTGGCATTCCCGCCCAGGTCGCGGGTCTTGACACCCGCGTCCAAGGTGCGCTCAATGGCGGCCATCAGCACGTCGGCGGCCACCGGCTGGCCCAGCCAGCGCACCATCTCGGCGCAGGTCCAAAAGGTGCCGATGGGGTTGGCGACGCCCTGGCCCGCAATATCCCACGCGGACCCGTGGATGGGCTCGAACATGCTGGGGTTCTTGCGGGTCGGGTCCAGGTTGCTGGTCGGGGCGATGCCGATGGACCCGGCCAGTGAGGCCGCCAGGTCCGACAGGATGTCGGCGTGCAGGTTGGTGGCCACGACGACGTCGATGGTCTCGGGCTGCAGCACCATGCGGCACGTCATGGCGTCGACCAGCATCTTGTCGCTGCGCACGTCGGGGAAGTCGCGCGCCACGGCCTCGTTGACCTCGTCCCACAGCACCATCCCGTTGCGCTGCGCGTTGGACTTTGTCACGAACGTGAGCGTCTTGCGTGGCCGCGCCCGCGCCGTCTCGTACGCGAATCGCAGGAGCCGCTCGCATCCGTGCCGCGTGAAGACGCTCACTTCGGTGCCCACTTCCCACGCCTGGTTCACGTGCGACCGCCCTCCGTGCCCGGCGTACTCGCCCTCGCTGTTCTCCCGGATCTATGCCCGTTCGAAGATGTAGGTCAGTGTCAAAGAGTGAAGGATGGCAAGGACAGCACTGAGAAAGGCAACTTGCTTGGGGGTAAAGGAGAGCAAGTGGCGATCGAGAGAGGGGCAAGCAAGGTCAGACCTCCGTGGGAGACGGGAGAAACGAGACAATAGAGAAGAACGTACAATCACCCAATCCAGCTTTTTGGCATTCTCCAGAGTCCCCTGACACGCCGACAAAGGCGAGGTGACGCCGCGCAGGATCCGCGTCGGCCGCACGTTGGCAAACTGCTGCAACGGCTGACAGATGGCGAGCCTCAACCCCCACAGCGAGATGTGGTCGGGCACTCTGCGGTCGCCGACGGCGCCGAACAGGATGGCGTCGTACGTGCGCAGCTCTTCGAGGCCGTTCTCGGGTACGTACCGCCCGTCTTTGAGGTACTTGTCGCTAGACCAGTCGAAGGGGGTGAATTCGAACGTGAACAAGTGCGAGAAGGCCTTCGAGAGCGTTTCCAGCACCGCGATTCCCGCCGAGATGACCTCGGGCCCGATGCCGTCGCCAGGGATCGAGGCGATTCTGTATCTCTTGTACTCCGGCTCCATGGTCGAGGGGGGGGCGGAGTAAGTGGTTCGTTCGGTTGAAGGTGGTGGCGGTGGTGGTGGTGACGTTGATATTGATGGTGTTGCTGACGCGAATGCTGTATCAGGACCAACGCCACACAGAAGGCACTGCCGGTCGAAGAAGTGTTCCGATTGACAACGACTCGATTTGTACAAGGACAAGAAACACTCCCCTCCTCAATAGCTGGTGAGGGGGTCAGGGGGTTTATATCCTGTGGCATCCCCGCACCTGCGGTCACGTGTGTCAGCATCTCGTATTGCGTTGGGGCTGCGTTGGCAATTTGGGCTGCGCGCCAAGAGAATGTAATGACCGGTCACGCTAGTCTCTCGAACCGATAATTACATGTACAGCCAAGGCGCTAACAAGCGCAATACCGCTAGCCAACACGCTAGTAACAACACTGCCGCCAGCCAAGCCGCTAGTAAGCGCGAAGGCAAAAACAGCGCCGAGGGTCCACACATCGGGCTAATCCCAACACCCCTGCAATACGGTGAACCACACACGCATATTCCGGCAACGCTGGAGCCTTGCCCTCGCTTTTCAACGCAAGGGTCAATCAGATTCCCTCCTCCATCAGGGTGCATCTCCTCTTCCCCTCCCCGAGACATTTCCCGAGTCTCTCCAACACATTGCACCTGTCACGCGCCGCCTCTTCGCCACTTTCATGTTCAAGCCAGGCCTGACCGATCAATGCCCCTGCCTCATTTCCTGCGGCTTCAGCTGTGCATCGAAGCCGTTCATCAAGTGCCCATTTCCTTTCCAGCTTCACCAGGGTTCAGCAACAACCAACTAAGCGAAGTCAATGGCTTGACGAAATGGCAGTTTGGGACGCGAGGATGCTCGATCGAAAAGATGGCAACAACCAGAAAGGACCCATGTCAAAATCACAATGTCATGAACGATCCGTACCCTCTCACCTCTCACCTCTCACCACGACCTCGGCCATGTCCAACGTTTTTACTCGCCCTTCTTCGGAGAAACACAAGAGTAACACAAGTCCATGTGCGCCCCGGTCGTGAAAATTGGTTGCTCACAAGCTGAAGACGAGACAAAATGGCTTTTTCCCTTGATGCTCTTTTGGGGATTGCTGTGGTGTCTGCCATCTCGATGGTAGCGTTCGGCCGTCTCTCTTCAAATCCCCAGGTCAACAGATCCTGCGGACTTTCCTCTTCCTCTCCTACCAAAGCAAAGAGCCCAAGAAGACATCTACGAGCCGCAAGACATCACAGAAACAGAAAGAGTCGTCGCCGAAAAATATACAAAAGGCGCAGCAGGAGGCCCTTGAGGGCTACACGGAAGAAAAAGGTGTAGAGAGACGTGCTGAAACCTTTCGCCGGGAGTATTTCAATGGTCGTTGAGGTCGAGGCATTTCACCACCTCCTGAGAACACACACAGACACAGATTACAGAGACAAGTCAGACAACAATTCCAATTCCACAATATGGATGTTTAATACACAGTGTTCGTCATGGCCTATGGCCCAGGCCCTCGTTACGCCGTTCGGTAGACCTATCCTTGTGCTACGCATGCACATGGCCGACTCGATCCATTCTTCCTTCCTCTGACAGCTACGCATCGCTTGGAGGGAAGACTCGGCCTCTTCTCGAAACGTCAAAGTTCGTGCCTCTGTCCTTGGGCGCCGCAACTACAGGACTAGCTGCTGTCCTATCAACGTCTTGCAGGGAGATTGTCAAACGAATACATCTATAGCAGCTTTGCACTGTGGTTTCTCTCTCTCCCCGCGGACAAAGCCCCAAGGGACTCGACGAAGAGACGCTCGAATTCTGTCAGACTGCGAATCCCGTCCTCGATTTTACCATCCTTGATCATATTATCTTGCGTCTCCTCGTCCTTAGCCTCATCTCATCTCAACCGCCCCAAGGCCGATGGACCCGCAAATCCGAAATCAGGAGATGCTGACACTGTTGGAAGAACAGACGAGGAAACACAAAGGTGAGTCGAGAACTGGCGATTTGGCACAGCCACTACGTGTTGGAACAGACTGCGACAGCGCTGCTCGAAGCAGATACCACATGTCCTCGAGATCAACTGAGATCTGATATGAGCATGTGGAGTCTAGTCTTCAACGAGTCGACAACCTCTTTGTTGCTAGCTGTTATCCCTGGCTGTCCTCCCTCATAAATAGCCCGACGTTATTGAAGAGAGTCATGTCCCTGACGACGCCTGCAAGCACCTCCAAAGAGCTGCACTCCTTGACCTGAATCACGTCTGTCGTTTGTCCAGTGGCGCCATTTGTCATCTTAAGACTCTGAGAGCTTGACGCCGTGGCTTGTACATGATCAGCAATGCCATCTACCATGCAACCAGCAGTTCAAACGAAGAACCCATCAAGAGAGTGGACCTCGTTATCCCCACTTCTTCTCATTGTCAAATTTATACTCATCCTGGCCAGAATTCCTCGGTATCTCAATTGGATCTGCCCCATGCCGATCCAGATGAGAACTATGGCAGAAACATATCCAAAAGGTAAATCACTCGACAAAACTCCGTCTGTATGGATGAATGCAGGCTATTTTTAATCCTCACAAGTAATTTGTGGCATCTCTTCATCGGAGACAATACCCGATTTACTATGATCTGTGCTGATAGGGCGTTCAATCCATTGAGCAATACCCCAAGAGCGAGGTCGGGGATCTCGGCATCACAAAGTCAAATTGGAGAAATTGGAGGTCAAACCTCATTTCGAACACTACTCTACCCGGAAAAATAATTGGATCATAGAGTTTGTCTGTTGCAGGGAACCCCTTTCTTTGTCATCAAACTCTAAATGGACGTCATTCTACCCACCACGACTCCGAGAAAGATTGCTACATCCACCTTTTATGTTGCTGCCATCCATTTTCTTCTCTCTACAGACTCGAAGCTTAGAAGGGGCGTCCTTTTACCTCGCTTCACCACACCACCACGCAGCCATCAATCCCCGTGGCTCGCAAGCAGCTTAAGCTCTTTGCATGTGATGACCCTCCGGCAACCAACCCCCAGACGCCATTGCATGTCCTCTTGCCCGTACGATGGCATCCCACATTGATACCAGCATATTGCCTGACGACCAGCCTCTGGCTGGGCTCCTCCCCGCCACGCCCCACGTCGATCTCCTTGCTATACGCTGCAACGACTACCGGGAAAAGGTTGTGTTTGTTCACATACATACAATCCTTTCGGGTAGGTGAGTGCTTCCCTGCACGAGTGAGATCTGGATGAATGGGCACATGCTAACTGGTATTGTAGACCTCCATCCATGCATGTATGACCTTTCGTCGGAGCAAGACCCCGACCCTGCCGCCGACGATCAAAGTTCAATCGAGACAGCGCGTTTCCTCTTTCAAATCCATACACGGGGCATAGCGGTCCGACCATCCTTCCGGCAACAGTCTTCACCACCAAGAGCAATATCGATCTGCATACTCTACGCAACGCTATTCCGTCTTTGCGACGCAACCGACAATACCATCCTACCCCTATGAGGGCGTGCAGAACGCAGCCCCTGCCCAAGTGCCAGCGCGGCAGACCTTGAAAGGCTGAGTGAGAACTCACCATTTTCTACAGCCGCCCGACGTTGTTTTCGCCGGCTATCACGGTCCAGCATGAGACCTGTCCAGACGGGGAGAAGAGATGGCAGCTACAATAGCCCAAACACTCTCCCCTTCCGCCTTCTTCACCACCCTTCTTCACCTGGTCAACCCCGAGCAAGACTCCGAGGTCGTCGAGACCTTCCTCCTGCTCCCATCCATGTCGCCCACGACTCTTTGCCGAGCTGGCCTCGCGATCTTCAACCTCTCCGTCTACTCTCTGAAGACCGGGCTCGGAGGACGTAGTGTTGTCGAGCTCGTCCTGATCAGCAACGCCTACTACTGCTTCCATACCGCGGCTTCGGGGCCATCAACGCGATCGAGGATGCCGCCGCGCTAGGCGTTCTATTTGAGGACTTGATCATCTGGTCTCTCAGGAATTCCGCCAATCGTTTTGCTATTGTGATTGAAGTTGATTTCTGGCTTCCATACTCTTCGAGAGTCTTGGTCAAGTGTGGACCCGTGCGAATGGAGGACGTCAAGCCAGCGATACCCTAGCAAGCTAGCTAGCTCGCAGGCTCGAAGGCTACCTATTACCTACCACCCACCGACCGGCTGACCGGCCGACCTACCTGCTGGACTGATACGACTCCATATTCGCGCTCGGGTCCGATGGTCATACCACGAAACACCAGAGGCGGAGGAGGTCGGGACAGGAAGGAATGTGTGTGGGAGCGAGAGAGAGCTCAGTCTAGGCTCTTCTTCACCTTGCATTCGTCCTGGAGCACGTGGAACGAAAGAACTGGTTACAGGTACTTATGTGAGTGCGAAAGTCCTGAGCGGTGAACGCTTGGACACCTCTCTCTGTTGGCGCCATGACCGTTCTTGCCATGGAGGCCGGCATCCCGGCCGGAGTGACATTGGTCCTCCCCGCCACGGCTATACGCACTCTCGCCTGAGCCGAGAACATGGTAAATTCCACTGTCACTTTAAGGATCCATGACATTTCATCAAATTTGGCCGACCTTTTAGTGAACAACTACCTCGATTCTGTCCTACCGTCTCTCCCATCTAAACGAATGTCGGTCGGTCGTCGTACGCTCCCACGACCGACGCAGTTGCACGGTCACTAAGGGAGCGGAGCAGTTCGAGACGTTCCCTTCGACCTTTGCGATCGATCGACCTATCGGTCTGCGAACCTCGACGGATGAATCTCGAACCGAGCGCCACGAACACGATTCGATCGCCTACGGATGCAAGCTTCAGGTACATAGGAACCCACAACGATAGACGAGATTCCACGCCTACGAGGTGTCGTCTCAGGGGAACGAGCAGGACTGTCATCTACCGCGGGGACAGTACCGGTCTTCGACCAAGGAAGACGGGTCCCTCTTTAAACTCGGATACGAGAAGGGTCAAAATGTATACTAGCGGGCTTCTGAGAAGACACCTGGGTTGAAGGTCGACCTAGCTCTCCGATACTATTACGGCTGAGGAATCTATGCGCAGGGAATGCATCGAGCACTTGTCTACTTTGCTTCACGAGTGAGAATCGTCAATTCTGATCTGATAGCGCACCTTGCTAACTGTCTTTGCCTCAGGACTCCATGGCCCTTTTATCGAAGGAAGGCCTCAATCCCGTCACGCAGACGATCAGCGATTAACTCGACCAAGACAGCCGGGTTCCACTTCGACTTACACACGGCCATACCAATCCGATATCTTCTCGCGGCGGCTACTTCAGTAAGGGCTCCAACTACATGATCTACGCTCCTGCATCTTGAAGGGAAATGCGAAATCAGACAGGCAATCCTCCGTACGAGAGGGTAGCTACTTCGATTTACAGTGAGATTGTCAACTCTGGCTGTTCGGTACATGTTCTAACTGTCATTGCAGAGCCCCGTGGCCTTTCATAGAACGCGACCTCGGCCCCCTCTCCCCAACGACCAAACCTCGACCGAGACTGTCCGTATTCCTCCTCAAACTCATACAAGAGAAGAGTCAAAATACTATGATACTAGCGGGCTTGTGGGAAGGTGGACTGAGACAGCCAGGTTCCTTACTCCTTCAGCTCATACACGGGGTTACCAATCTGACGACCACCTTCTGACAGTGGTGCCTACCAAGGTCGATCTGTCTGCTCCACGTTACGACTTCTTGCCGGGCATCAGACACAGAAATATTCTGGGAGTGGGAGGCTACTTCACCTCACGGACGATGTTTGTCAAATTCAGTTGAATGGCACATGCCAGATATCATTTCAGTGCTCTATGGCCTTTTCATTGAACGAAGGACCTCGACTCCAACCCGTAAACGGTCAATGTTCGACCGAGACCGTCTGGATTTCTCTTCACGGGCATATCAACATGGCCAGCCTTCTGAGCGCAGTCCTCCCCGCTACCACGTCTTGCGAGAACCACTGTGTTCAATAAAAGGTGATGGAGTCCTGAGAGACAGTTAGATAGGACTTGAATCGAATCATTCTGCGGAGTCCCTGCCGTGCCTGTATTCTTTCCGTGTTGTATTCCTGTTTGCCGTTGACTCCACAACTGTATAATCGTATGTGGCCGCCTATGTTGCCCTGCGACATGATCCGGACGTCAATTGACCCTGAGCATTGCGTGCGTTGGGTGGTGGAACCTGACTTCGGAGACCCTCGCGATTACCGATCTGCTAAGCAGGCATCTGTGCATTGTTGCATGTGCATGGTGACCCCCAAATGATCCTCGTATAGGAGAAGCGGAAGGCAGATCGAAGTATGTTAGATTGAGATAGCCGTGTGTACCCCACGGGGTGACTTGGGCCCCGTCTGTCTGAGTTCAAGTCCGCTGTCAATCGCAGGTGTGACAGGACCGAGGTCACCCGTTGAAGAACAGGTCATAGAGTCCTTGAAAGGTGGTTTGCGGAGGTTGTGGAGGGAGCGTCACGACCTGCGGCCCGACCAAGGTGATGGATGCCCTTACCGGGACTTATCATGGTCGAGAACTCTCGGATGTTGCTCCGCCCTATCCTCGAAGCTCCCTATCCCGGCTTATCGGCGGTGAATCTATAGCACCACATCAACCCGGACAGGTTAGTCCTTATATTAGATGTGCCAATACCATACCATATAGACCAGGATTGACAAATATCAGTCGTGGAGTGAAGCAGTTCCACACTCACTTGAATGGTTTTGTTCGTAAGCAAGGGCTTTATATCGCCAAACTTCCAGCAGTGAGGCTCCCCTCCTCTTCGTTACACGTCTTGCCGGGAGAGGACTGTGTTACAAGCCATCCTTCGAGTACGTGGCCACTTCAGGGTGATAAATGTCAAAAAGTGTGGGAAAGGGATGTATGTGTACAGGAACGTGGCTTGGCCTGATCAGGCGAAAATAGTGACTCGTTTCAGGAGAGAGTTTTTTGTTCGTTCTCCGTACTTAGTACCGCGTAGAGACCTTTCCCTCGCCCGTTCTACCACCCATTAGCCTCGACCGAGACCATTCGTGTTCATCTTCAAACTCGTAGACGGGGAAGGATATACACCGGCCAGGGCACCTTGTCTTGTCCTATCGCTCCGCTGCGTCAATTCTTCAGCCTCCAAACCTCTTGGTCTTCTTCACCTGAATATCGATTTCTTCAGCAGTCATATCACCTTTTTCGATCCTCGTCTTCTCGCCATCGCTTTGGTGCCTTGAGCATCTCCATCCGAGACGTGCTCTGTCTTGGATGATGCAGAGGGTACTCCAAGTCACAGATGAAGGAAAAGAGAAATCATACGCCAGCAGCACTGTGCAGAGTTGGCAACGTTTGTATCCTCTCCCCGCGTGTCTCTGGCTTCGATCGGTTTCTTCGTGGCACGGTCCCACGACCTGTTGAGGCTCTTTGCGTAGGGTAGGTAGGCTTCGTGGAATCACCGAGATCAGCAAGTCTCACAACAGGCTCTTGGACACATTGGAGGCGCTCTGGCAGTTGAGCGAGAAAGCAAGAAAAGAGAAGAGGGACAAGATACAAGGAAGGTTTGCACGATACCTTGAGAGATCAAAAGACAGCCGTCTCCTCTGGAGGTACCGTGAAATCCAACGGGACCAATCTTGTCTCGTGTCCATGATCCATCTGGACTGCATGCTCTCTTCCCCGCGTTTCGGTGTGCCCAGTTCCGGTAGGCAATCCTCTCCTGGGCCACGGTACCTGGGGTGGCGCGGGGCCACGGCCGGCCCTCGGGGTGCTCTCCTGCCTCCGGCCCCGGCCGTCTATCGTCGGCACTTCTACCAGCAGGCCCGCGCTGACTGCGCCCTCGGGTTATACCTACCATCTCGGATTCTCTCTGCGTTGCCCTCGATGTCTGGATATAAACCGTCGGTTTTGCCTCTGGGATACCGGTTACCTTGTTACCATCGATATCTTGTCACCATCGACAAGCCTCTTCCACTGCATCGATACAGGCCTGTTAGCCTCACGGCTCGGAGGACCGGCGAGGAGTCGACCTGAATCTCCGGGAGCCACGTCAAGGTTCGATCACATGCGGGCAACAATACTCTGGGCTCTGAGCTGACCACCTCTCACATCGGCCGCAGGCGCGTTGCTCAAGTCAACTTGATGCCGTGGCTCACAAGGACATGCTTGGAGGTATTTTTACTGCCACAAGTATTGGCTTTGTGATCTGTATGAATATACCATACCACGCTTCCATTGATCCTCTGTGAGTCTCATCTCAAGTATCCACGAGAGGACACTGCTGGTGTAACCGTGCAAGATTTTCGTTGATGCCAGAGAAAATGTTGTGGCATGGATCGAGGTCGTAGAGGGAGATAAGAACAGGTTGGAAAGGACGGCGACGCGAGGGACAAGACGATCGCATCCCAATCTGTAGGGCTCTTGATGAGGGCGAACTCGTCGACGGAGGGTGAAAGTCGTGTAGATCTCCCGCGTGAGACGCTTTGACGCATACAGATTGTGTTTGAGACAGCAGAGGTTTGCCACCAGCTGTGTAACCGTTGTATCGGAGCTTGGTCTGGGAAAAGCATCTGTGGACTTTGTGTGAGTAATCGTCTCTCTCTCTTTCTCTCTGGAACCGCGTATCGGATAGGAAGAGGACATGGCTCCAAGCATAAGAGCCCTGGCTTTGGCAGATACCTCGTTGGAACCAGCGTAGGCCTTTGGTGCTGTCCACTTGTTCTCGGCCATGCGAACAAGCCAAACGGTACACCGAAAAGGGCACAGAACACAGCAATCCCGGCGCACTTGACTCGCTGTTCGAGCTTTGCCATCCCAAGCCCGTCCCTCAGGGGCTGACTTTTCGCCAGCGTGCACGAGGGCGATATTTCCATACCTCCTCGGTCTTTTCGCGGCGTTGTATTCCCCCATCGCCGTCATTTCTCCCTCTCTTGGATCCCATCTCTTCTGGGCCAGCGTTTGAAGCCTCAGCCTGATCTCATCCAACTAACTACCGCCCTACAAAGCGCAGATATTCTGGGATCGCGAGAACTGATCGTATGTCTCAGCGTTCTCGGTCTCTGCATGGGGTATATGTGCCCCCCCGCCCACTCGAGGACTTGGAGATCCATACTCTGGGTCCTGCAGGGTGTTGCGGAAAACCGGCCTTCGCAATCAGGAGGGGCGGCAGTTCTCGACGTCGGGTATGAGAAGAAAGGGCCTGGGACGTAGAGTTCTGCGTATCAGTAGCGCCCTTGAAGCCAAGTAAGTGGTCTGCACCGTGACCGTATATTGGGTTTTCCGTTGAGGATGAGGATGAGGGGGTCTTTCGCATTGAGCGACAGTTGGTCACTAAGATGAGCTCAGATGAGATGTTGTCCGCGATCTCCTTCCGCGAAGCATTGTACTCGTTGCTTCTTGTTGACCTGGAAGAACACCCCGGGCCGTCCATCACAGATTGCCCCAGCGTTTGTCATAGATCCAGGTTTTTTGTGTCTCTCTGCCCCTTTTCCGAGGGTCCGGACGTTATTGGTTGGCAATTTGGCGCCACGAAGCTAGTGTTTCAGCTAGTGTTTCACCAGTGTTTCAGGAGGCCGTTGCGGGGCGTTGCCATGGCAACCTGGAAGGCCAATCAGCCACAGGCACCATTCTCCGTTGGTCATCTCAAAGCACGACCCGATTGTCCGGGCACATCTCCATGAATCAAATGTCACCCCCTCGCGCCGCTGTCCATGGCCACACACACCACGGTCCTGGCCTGCCGCGGATAGACCAGGGGGGGTACCTGTAATCCTAGATTATACTTATTTTTGGTGGACTCGATCACTATCAACCACCTGGGCTCTGCTAAAACGACTTACTTCCCTTTCGTCCTACCTTGCGCGTGCCTATGTTGTTTCGTAGATCATGACGAGCTCCATTACGGGGCTCAGAACACAGTTCCAGTACCGGGTTTGGCGCCGCGCCCGCGGCATTTTATTATGCTGAACTGCAGAAGAGGGAATATGACACCCCGTTCGTCAGGTATGTCACCACTCATCAAGAGCCTGGTTGGTTGTTTGAATCTGCAAAGCAAGGTCTCTCTCCCTTCCTTGGAGATCCGGTAGAACTGCTTCATTTCCATGAATGTAAACCCTTGTGGCGGTGTCCCTGGCTTGGTGGCGAGTGCAAAGGAACTGTGTTCCACGCCTCCACGGTTTGCTTAGCAACATGTCCAAGACCAAGTAAGTCTTTGGCAGCCGAGTGCCAAACACGTCGGTGGTTCCGGTGGCTCTGGTATCCTTCTGGTGGCGGCGACGCGATCATATTCCTCGTCATAGGTGAGGAAGCACGCAAAAGTCACTTTCGACCTTCTTACAGGTAAAGGTGAGGGCGGATAGGCAGTATTTCTATGATAGCTTTGGTCACTTGGTTACTGGACGCCATCCGGCCCAAAGTGGACCAAAGGCTATCGAGCCTGAGATCCGACAAGGTTCACGGTTGAGGTGTCGTCAACCAGAGCTGCTCTCCGAACCTTGACATCGACAAGCTCGAACCTGTCAAGAAGTCCCAAGCGCAAAACGCTGGGAGTGGTGTTTCGTCTCTTGAAGCTTGAACTTAAAGTTGTGCTCTCCAAAGTTTACTTCGGCTTCTCCTTCTGTGACGCGCCCTATCGGAAGACAATAACATCGTTGACCTGATCAAGAGCATTCGCGAGCTCTTTTCGTGGGAAATCATCTTGGAGCAGAATGAGGGAGTCATTGTGGGTAAGAGCACTGTTTTTGTTTGAGTCCAAGAGACAAAGTCTCCAGTCAGCCTGTTGATGAATAGGAGATGCACACCACGTCCTTCGTGCCCCAAGTGACATGCATGAATACAGCTGTGCGTCCGCTACTGCATCATCTCCCCCACATTCACTTTTCTTAACAGCCCTGGTTCTCTGTTCTGGAAAGCGGCCTGTTCGCTTCAAGTCCGGAGGGACCTCGGCTGGGAGTGCGTTAAACCATATTACGAATTGTCCGAGTTGGCGCGAGTTGGCCAGAGACTATGAACCTCGGCGGAGGAGCGCATAGATCTTCTCTCGGATCTCTTGAGTCGGTCCGCAACGAATACCTCTCGATCCCTCATCGGTTCCAAAGGTAGAAAGTAGCTTTTTACGTGAGGAAATCCAGTCAAACCTTAATTAGGAAAGAATCGTAACTCGCTTCATATGGTGCACCATATGTAATCTTTGTATTTCTGTACAACAAACTGGTAGGCAGAACCTAGACTACAGTGATTTATAGATCCTCGAGCGTGATCAAGGGATCTAGTTCGCAGTGACGGCGAGGTACATTGATTGGGTAGCAGTTACTATGGTGTAGATCTTGCGACAAATGCCAAAATCCTGACTGAATTGTAGAATTAAAGCGCGCTACCTGACCTTCCTAATCCAGTATTTGAAACGCTCTACGAATCTTTCCTAGTTTGGACTCGTCTGTCTGGTTCCTCAACCATTTTGCATGGCACTGTACCATCCATGTACCATCGAGGTGCGTTGTCAGTGATCAGATCCCTGACAAGGGCCCAATCTGTATATCAACAGACAGAACCCTCACATCTCGGAAATGCAATCTGTCGCGTCAGCATCGATCGAGGACGTCATCCACATGTAAGAGAGTGGATTCCTGGTGGTGGTACATCACCATGTACCATCAACTCGGAGAAATACAATGCCTCGCGCCAGCGTGGGTTCCCCCATCCTGTATATCGAGGGACTGGTGGGTTTGGAGTGCGCAACAGGGGGTATCGTCGAGAGTCAGTTCCCCAGCCACGATGGTAACTGCCACGGACCAGTGAAATTCCGTAAACGCAGTTGATCGTGCTCCCAATCCTTGACTCGAGAGGTAGATTCCCCAACGATGGTACGTGCCCACTTCCCACCACCGTAATCTTATCCGCAGGAAATGTAATCCACTCCCACCTCAAATCTTCAACCTAAACACCCGATTTGGATGTCGAGGGTGTTGATTCTCCATTTTTACCACCATCGCCCACCATGGACCATCGTCCTCCCGAGATATGTCCCCGCGCTTGCCTCGGATTCTTGTGTCGTGGACCTGATTTACAAGTCGAGAAGGTAGATTCCCAAGGATAATCGTCACCACAAATCATTATGCTGCCGGTATGCAATTCCCCGACCTAGAAACCTAATGTGGATGGTTTCGCCAAAACGGTACGATGATGTAAGCCATGAGGTCATGTCCATCGAGACTCCTCGCCTAAAAGGGACACGTTCCCGCCCATTGAACTCTTTCACTTCTCTTCTTCTTTTCACTTTCATTCTCTCCCGTCTGACTCTGGCTAACGTTCTCGCCAGTCTTGCGCATCTCAACAAGCCACGACTCCCGTGGCCGACAACGGTGGAGCCATCTCCTGCCTCCCGTCTTTTGCTTTGCTCCTCTTATCTCGGAGGGTTTCTCTCCGCAGGCCTTGACCCTGATAACGTCCCGCATAAAGAGTGCGAGTCTTTGCACCGACTCGGACATTCGGATCAAAACAGCTGTCCCGACACCGAGACCCTCCGCAGCCCCTCCCCCTTCTCCCTGGCTCCACCCATCGTACCCGTCTGCAGTTTCCAGGGATGCCGTTATGGTTCTCTCTTCTTCCTGTTTCGATCCCCATCGCAAGATCGATGAGATGGGGCCGTTGCTTCCGACAGGATGGCGCGACGAATCATCAGGCCGTCTCCTCGTTACACAGAAACAAGTTGATCTGCTCACTCAGTCACCCCCAAAGGACGCTCGCAGCACCATGGTCGCCTTTCAGGCCAGCACGACGCCTGCCCCCACCACCACTATAGGGCTGTTTGAATGGACCCTCGGCACCACCCTAAGCTTAACGACGCTGCTTACCATCGTCGTCCTGGCGCTGGTGGAGGGGCGCTTACCAGGTGGTGTATGCCATGTAAGTAACGTTGCCGTTGTTCCGTCCCGTCCGCACGCGGTTGCTGACCGACGTAGTGAACAAACCTGGCCATGGGGACGCAACCTATACGGACACAACGCACATGGCGGAGACGATGCATACGACCCATACGGAAGAACGGTCGACCTTTTACATTGTAATGGTCCAAGATCCCTCTGAGGAGTGGCTCATCTGAGAGAGAGGGTGTGTCAACCAAGGCTATCGCCCGGGCCTTCCATATACTTGAACGAACGCAACTCTTCCACAGAGCCGCAAACTACGAACTGAGAAGACGGATGCGTAGCTAGTCGTCGTTGCCAGCTCCCGTTGCCAGGCGTCTGTCATACCCTTCATTTCCGATTCTTTCTCTGCGGCTCTTCACGAAGGCGTCCGCACGCGAATCGGCTTTAACATATCACCCTGTCGTCTTACCTAGCGGGACGAACCCTTCCTCCGGCGACATTGAGCACGACTACTTCGGCCGGTTCTCGTTCACAAAGGCTGAGACACAGGAGACGAGCCAGCCGGTTCATTTTGACTTCACCGATTGGCTCAACTGGCGAGTCAGCCCGTGTGAGTACGAAGTTCCTGCGTCGTCGCAACCTGTCCGCGGGCACGACATCCTGCAATAGAGATTTCGGTACCAGGGCCGATAGAATATTAGCGCATGCAAAGAGACACGCCAACCTACTAAAGAGGCGTCTCGAGTACGATCCCGAGGCAGCCGTCTATGTGAAAGAACTGCTGAGACAGAGGGGTCAACGACAAGGTCGTGATCCATCACAAAAGGCCACCAGCCATACCATGCCGTCCAGGGTGATCCCCCGCCTGTTCACGCCGTCTCTGGAGCAGACGTATGAGCGCCAAGCGACAAATCGCCTGGCAAGAAGCAAGAGGGCAGCCAGGGAGGTACGTTTGGGGAAGCACATACCGAGCCCAGTGTGGGAGCCTGCGAGGGCCGTCTTGGGTTCGCGAAAGACACGCGGCAGACCGGGACACGCGCCGGCGTCCTCCCAGGCAGCAACGTCGCTGGCTTCGAGAGAGGGGAGGGCGGTTGAGGCTAGGAGGTATGGGCCTGGTCTGCACCCTGCGGATCTCTGTCACTGTACATGGGGGCTCACAAACGGGGGCCTCACGCATCGCGACCAGGATCTGTCGGGCAGGCATGCAAGGGCCGACGCAAGGCTCTTTTAGCAGATCTACCTCGACGCCCACCACCCTTTCCCCCCTGTCCGCTCGCGGACGATGTTGCCAGGGACACCGGACACATTCCTGCTCGAAATGGGCCTTCACAGCCATCCGAACTCGGTCATCAGTGGTCGACGTGGCTTCCTCTGTCGGGACGTCCTGGTCAGCGGTGGCGGCGTCCGTCCAAAGTGTGTTTCGGCGCAGGATGCTGCACAGGCTCAACTCGGTGCGGAGGAACAGGTAGCGGTTGTCTCGCCAGAGTTCCCGCAACGTCAGCTCCGTCAGGATACGCTCGCCATGCCCGCCACGCGGCTGCTGGAGGAACCACTGGTGGTACGACAAGGAGGTCCAGCACTCTACCCCGCCCTATCCCTCTTCGACGCGCGGGATCATGTGAGAGAACTCGTCGTATAAGACGGATGAAGGCGTCCGTGTCGGCGGTCTGGATGTGCCAGCCCCAGCGGAGGAGGCGGCACAAGTACGCGCAGAGGCTGACAAACTGGGTCGGCTCCAGGGGGACGGGTCCGTACGCGGCGTCGAAGACGTGGAGGGTGGAGGGTGGAGGTTGCCGAGGTCGCATGGTGACCCTTGGCCCCTTTGGTGGGAGCTTTGACCTTGGCTCACTTGGTTGGGACGGTCGGAGTCGTGGCTGGCTGTCACGAACACCCATGTGACATTGTACACTCAGGTCAGGCCACCAGCCCAGTCGCTGGCTTACCGCATGTATGTAGCAAGGGAGATCATATCAGTCAACCTTGAAGCCTTCTTCAAGCGTTGACATCTCTATCTATAGGCTAGTTATTCCATCATTATCGATCCCAGAGTACACACACATTCACCCTCCAGTGAGACAACTGGTCTGATACTGGCGATGGCGTCGACGTCGATGGTTGTGGGAGCAGACCACAAAAGACGAAGAGGTCCTCTCCGCTGCCTACTCCCTGACGGATCCCCCAAGCCTCCCTCTACAGAGCCGAGAGGGAGAAGGGGATAAGGAGTCCGGCGTCCCGCTCGACGTGAGTTCCTGGCGTAGAAGACAATGGCGTCAGCTGTATCATCGCCCGGGGCACCAGCCAGGCAGGCCTCACTTGTCAGCACCCACCGTCCAAGCAAACCGCCTCCCTCGCCCTCATCCGTCAGCATTGGCCCCAGCTCAGACGCGGCCTCGCTGTATCCGCCTCCCGCTCAGATGTACTACCCGTAAGTGCGCGCCGAGATCGACCCTCGTTGGAGCATTGCTGACGACAATCGATCACCGCCAGAGACACCTCACGTGTGACCCGTCGTCCAAGGACGACCGACCTCACAAGGTGCTCGCTCACAAAGTCGACCGACACCGGCTGCCGCAATTCCCGCGTCTCTGATTAGAAGTGTATCTGGGTACGTCGCGGGCCGTTAACACTCGGCGTCAGTGGTGGAGAGATTTAGCTTAGGCGGTAAGAAGCTCCCAGAACGGGCCCGACAGATGTCAAATGGGGGCGAGAGGATGTACCATACCTCGTTATAATGCGACCCCTGGGAAATTAGCTGGCTGAAATTCCCCGAGAAGAGTCTTTCTGAACGTGAGATGAAGATTGATCGACCATCGAGATGTAAAAGGTGGTTTCCACGATGCCAGTGTCACCCTAACTAAGCCCAACTTGCTCAACCGAGACGTCTCTTCTTCGAGCTCGCCACGCTCGCCTCAGCCTCAGCCTCCTCCGTGGTGTCAGGACTGTCTACTAGTTCGCGTAGGACGCCTCGAGGATGGTCAGTCCCCCGGTCATCATCAGAGGGGTGGGGACGGTACTCGCCGTGGGTCGTGTCCTACTGGGCGTTCTGGAGCACCACCGGCGCCGTGTCGATGACCTCGATCACGGGGGAAATGGCTGTTGGTCGCTGTCTCCTCGCGAACTGGAGTGGACGGTGGCGAGAGTATCCAGGCAGTGCGGTGCGATCATGAAGACGTCCTGTACCTCGAAGAGGTCCTGCAAGTGCTTGCGTACGCAGCTGGTGACGGCCACGGAAGTCAAACCACCGTGAAGCTCCTGGAGTTGGAGCCACGCGAGTCAGCGTGGACGTCCACGAAGAGTGCCGCCGGCCAGATGGGAGCGTGACCCGCGACTTACCTGACGATATACACGAAACCAGGGAACCAGGCCGTGATTTTGGCTGTCGTAGGTCGCGAGATGTCGTCCAGGGCCGAACGCCATGTCTTCGCCCCAGACTCGCCCAGTCGACGCTGGTAGGTCGATCCCGCCGGCGGAGCGTAGTGGCCTCGTGGAGCATCGTCATGTCTCTCTGCCTGAGTGCGAGACGTCAATGGAGTTGCTTATCAGTCCTGCGGAATGCTGACCTTCCTCGTCTTCCTCGTCTTCCCCAGCGTCATCGTTAGAGAGCATATTTGACGGTGCAGCCGACGTTTACTCGTTTTCGTCGTTGGTGTCGTCCCCGCCGGGAGAGTATTAGCCCTCTGTCGAGCTCGCATCACCCTCATGCCGCTCTCGCGCCTGTCTCTCAGCCTCCATCACCTCCTCCAGCACGGACAGAGATTCTTGGTTGCAAGCGCCACTGAGTACGCCAGACTGTTGGGATTCCACATAGGAATTTCTTTAACGTGCTGTAGTCGGCGAAAAAAGGTCGGTCTGCATCCATCCACTTGTCGGCGGTGGTTTTCGAGCTCCTTCATGTTCCTTGGGACTCAGGAGAAGGGTTCTGCAGGATCTCCGAGTGTGATCCACTTAGGATTGTTGGAGGCGAGACCTTTGGAGTAGGGAGAGAGATTCGATCAATAGGGGCAAGGGAGAAACGGACCCTGGTAGCAGGGGCGGTGACATGCTCAATTTCGGTACTCTACTGTCGGCGACGGTAGACATCGTTGGATTGGGATCGGTTTCGACGGCGGGACGGTCATGCTGTACAGTGGAGGCGAAAAACGGTGTAGTACCTGCTCTGACCGATGTCGTCGCGCGATGTCGACCCTGCCGGGGGAGAGTGTCGGGAGGGGCAGGTCTCGGTCGACTCTGGCGTGGAAGGGGCCGTTTGTACGGGAAAATCGAGATTGTCGAGGCCAGATATTTACTGGCTTGTCCCATGGACTCCGTGGGGCCGTGGGCACAAAAGAAATGCTGTCGGCGGTCCCGCGAGCTGCGGATGGTGGCTGGACAGGAAGGAGGACTGGAGTTGGCACCGTGGACACCCACGGGGCGGTTGAGCTTACGCGCGAGCGATTTCTGGATCTAGTCCCTGACAATGACTGGCAGACACTCCATCACCGAACCGCAAAGAGAGCACGCATTGACCAAGGCCCACTTCGTGTTGAGGCCTGCGAGTGAGTGTCGTCGACGAAAGAGCTCAAACTCGAGGGTCTGATTTACGCAGGTTGATGAAGAAGGTGGCGGCATCGTAGTAGTGGTCGAAGGCATCAAGATCCACGAGTCTGCCGACACCACCGTTGTGTTCACAAAAGGAAAAAGAAAAAGACGGCTGATGCGAGATCGCCGACACAGGCACGGCACCCGCCAGCTCGTACAGTGAAAGAGTGCACTTACGCGTGGGGGCTTTGGAAGAAACAAAGTGTAGGTCAAGACAAGGCGAAGAAGGGATCCAAATAATAATAAGGTTTTGTCGCGAACCTTAATTTACAACTTACTCTCCAGGAAGCCGAAGCCGAGGAATGGGGAGGAAATCTCCAAGTGCACGCGATTATCATTGCACTGTCGTCTCTCCCCCAACTTTCCTCTAGGGAGTCGAGGGCGGTGGTGTCTGCGGCGCCGTGCTGGCCCTCCAGGCGTGTACCGTTGGCCTCGACCGCCGGCGCGCCTTGTCGAGCAACTCAAGAATGCCCGCCTCGAACGCCTTGAATTCTCCTTCGATCGCTTCGAGCCTGACCACGTTCTTTTCCGACGCCGTCAGGGCTTCTTGGAGCTGTCTTACCTGCTCGCGGAGTCTCTCCATCTCGTCCTCGTCGGCCACCGTCTTGCGCCTCTTCGTCTGCGCCTCTTCTTCTTCACTATCCACCTCGTCGCCGTCGACGTGGTCGTCCCGCGTACGGATGCGCGACGTCGTGCGTGGCCCTTCCCCATCCCTGTTCCGATGAACCCGACGGAGGTGAACCTTGAGGTTTTCGTCGCGGGAAAACCCCTTGCCGATGTGTCGATGGCAACCTACATGCGGACACCGGTGTTGGCCTCCGGCCGTGATGTTTTTGCCGTGTACCTCCTTTTCGTGACGGAGAAGGCCGCTGTAGTACGTGAAGCCACGAAGATTCAGGCAATCGGCCGCGTCACACTTGTACGGGCGGACATGCTTGTCCATGTGTTTCCTTGCGGACACGGTAGGTCAGTGGGTCAGTTATTCAAGAGTGTTCTTGTGTGGTCCAGCCCAGCCAGCTAGACGTAGGGGAAAAGGGAGATGACTGACTTCCATTCGGACGGGCGCCGAAACTCCTTGATCTCACTGTCACAATCGTCCCAGGTGCATTCGTATTTCCCATGAGAGTTCCGAGTTGGCACTGCGCACTCGAGCTGCGCGGTTCCGGGGCTCGTCGTAGGCTGTGCGGATGGTGAGTCTTCGCCGCCCTTGACTGGGAAGAGGGATGACGGAGTTTTCGGTACGCCATCCGATGGAGAGCTTTCATCGGCCTGGGAATTCTCATCATCGCGCATCGCCAAAAGGCGTAGACGCGCGACACGGCCGGCATCTCGCTTTTCTCGTGCTTGGAGGCTTGGTTCGTCCATTAATTAGGTTGAATGGTTTGTGAGTGACACGTGGACAACAACGAAGGATTCCAACCAGGACATCGGACATCGTGCTTACTATATGTGAATCAGGGGTTCCCCATTACCCAGGTGCGGACAGAGTTCCGTCCCCACTATTATGTAGGGCGTTCTGCCTGGATTTCCTGCCTGACTGGGGACGGAATCCTGACGACCCACTGGGTGCCTAGTACTCCACTTCCAAGTACAATAGTTACCATGGCAGTGGAGCCTCCCCATTTCTTTTCAGGCAGCAACTAAACTGCCATTGCCTTTTTTTTTCTTATTTCTCTGTCTCACCGCCCAGAGTGTCTGATTGGATTGGCCAAAGGCTGCATGTGCATCTCCCAGGTCCAGTCGGGGGGCCTTTTCAGTCTTGCCTAACTAACCCCCGACAAGACGCCTTGCTGGCACCACCAACTGAAAGGTTTCCCGATTTTCTCTGCGTCGCCCAAATTTGATAGGCTCATGCGGAAAACGGCAAATGCATTGGATGTGCCCCACTGTAGGCTCATCGCGGGCCCGTGGACCAAGGCGTGTGACACACACACACCCAGACTGAACCACTCGTGACGGGTTGCGGCCTGTGCTGCGCTAGTTTTGTCATGAAATCCCAAATTGTCTTCCTTCGTACTTCCAAAGGAGGGTGTCTTTGTCCCACCAACACGTTCGTAATGAGTGTGCTCTCTCAAAAGGAAACCAATGAAACTCATCCATTTCTCCTTAGACCCCAATCCCCGCCGATCACTTTCGACGGTTGCCAGACAAGCGGGTCAGGTCAGCTGTTGCGTTGACCACACCTTTCAGGCCTTCTTTGCGTTGGCTACGACGGCGGCCCTCTTGGCCTGGGCGCCGTCTCTCTTGGCCTGGGCAGCGTCCTCCTTCGCTTGGGCGGCGTCCTTCACCGCCCGATCCAGTGACTTGCCCAAATCACTGACCCGTTCCTTCATGTCCTGGTAATGGTGCACCCCGAGCGCGTAGAGTGCAAAAACGAAATAGTAGATCCACGGAGAGGTGGCCATGCAGACCGCGGCGCCCGCGAGCAGGGCGGCCGAAGTCAGGATGCCGGGCACGCCCAATTCCTCCCAGATCAGTCTGATCATCGCACCGAAGGTCGCCATGGAGCCTTCACCAATGTCGTGGCCGTTGACGACGGACGTTCCGGGAATGCGGCCGACGGGGCGGTCGGACGGGCGCGTGCTCGTCGCCGCCCGGTCGTCGAGGCCTGACCCGTCGTCACGAGGGGCCGCGCTCTGCCGGTGGTCCTGGCCACGCGCTGCACCGTGGGAGTGGCCTCCGTGTCCGGACCATCCCGGACAAGATTCTAGAAAGGTCGCTAGGATACGACGCCTCCTGTCGTCCATATCATGCTCTTCTGAGTTAGCGTCGCCTCGGCCACCCCGGCCGGCGGTGCGGGTGGTAGTGGTAGGGGCTCTGGGGGGGTGGGCCCACTGGGGTTGGCGTGGCCCGGTGCCTGACGCCTGAGCATTCAGTCGTTCAAGCAGATCGAATATCACAATACCCTGTTCATCGTCCTCGGGCTCGTTTTGTCCCTGTCTGTTGCGGTCGGATGCGACCAATTCCCCGCCCGGGCCGAATACCCAAAAGTGCGCTTCCTGGCCCTCCGCGGGCTCGTTTGGTTCCCCTTGGCGGCGATCACGGTCCGTGCCGCCGCCACCACCAGAGGCCTTGTTGCCGTCGGGTGCGGGCATACGGGGCTCAGACTTCGCCGTGTTGTTCTCCTTGTCATCGGGATTCTCGTCTGCGAACGACGGTGCCTTGTAGACGGGAGGGTTGTCGTCATTGAGGTCGTCGTTTGGCATGTCGACGGCTGAGCCGCTCCTCTCCTCGGGCTTGTGAAGTGCATCGACAGTGTCTGGGCCCAACGTGTCGCCTGCCGTGTCGCCTGCCGTGGCGACGGTGGAGTTTCCTCCCTCGGGCTTCTCAGATTCGTCCAACTTGTTCGGAACCGAAGCAACCATGTTGAGCGTTGACTGGGGTGGAGCGGAGAAGTTCTGTGTGTGGTTCTGCTGACTTGGAGGCTCTGGTAAATTTGTATGGAAAATAATGTAGAAGAGTGTAGGTCTGTGACGGCCAGGCTGTTCAGGAAAAAGTGAAAAGTTGCAGTGTCCAGCCCGGTCTTATATAGGCAAGGAGGAACTGGGTTGGGCTATCCGCCCATGCTGACTGACATGCCCCCAGCCTCGAGAAATATCGAGGTAAAGGCTCTCCTAACCCCCTTGTTTTCCTGCATACTGCAACAAACACAGCAACCCTGCATGCTGCAGCAACCATAGCCACCAAACCATTGCTACCCGGACTCAGTCTACCTTGAGCACTTTCGCGGACCAGTCTGTCTTGGGCACTTTCGCGACTCGGTCTGCCTAGGGCACTTTGGTCCTCCTTGGGCACTTTGGTAAATCAAAAGATCCCTGTCTTGTCGTACAACCTGCACAGTAGTTCATAGGTGCTCGGTGTTTCTTGTGCTTGTTGACGTGTCAGAAACTCCACCACCACCAACTTCCCTATTAGTCGGGCTCGTATGACTCTTCTGCCGGGGTGCCGGGGGGATCCTGGGATCGCCAAACAGCCTGGGTAGGCAACCACCTACCGCTCCCTTGTCACGGGTCTGCCATTGGCAGACACCAAGGCCGCATTAGCCAATCGATACGTAGGATATTCCTAGTGTATTGACGCTGGTGCCAGGGGTCGTCTGGCTGCCTGTCCCGTCGCATTGAGAGGGTTACATCGGCAACTAAAGCGCTTCGCGGCGTGCCGTGGCATCGTCGTGGCCGACGGAGGGGGAGGCCACGCCTGGAAAAAAAGGCGTGGTGGGCCTTCGGTCATGATCGGATGTAGCCACCGTCAACCAAGCAACCAACCCCAGTGGGAGGAACGGGAATTCCATTCATCTGTGTTTCATGGCTGCCCTCCTCTCGCCTCTCGTCACCGAGCCGCGCGACTATGATGGTCCAAGGTCCCTAGAGCCTTCGTAGAGTGGATGGGAAAGTAGAAGAAAAAGGAGAAAGTCCCCCATCGGATAAGCATGCTTGTTCACGCGTCGGCGAAATGGTATCATATCATGGTCAATTATCATTTAAAAAGGGTGCTTTATTGGAATGTGTTGAAAAATCTGAGTTGTGTATGTGTGTGTGAGATTCCCCTCGATACAAATGAACATCGATCGCCGACAAAGGGAATAATAACATTTTTACTTCTGGGAAGCCCGGGCCAGCCCGATCCTATTCCTCACCGATGACGATCCCCTCATTCGCGGTCCCTTGGCCCGTACGTCTTCTCACCGCAGTCGAAGAGGACCCTTTCTTGCCCATCTTCGGCGTGGAGGGTGATCCGCTCTAGCTGGGCGGCACGGAGACAATGATCATGTGTCCTTAGGACACATGGCTCGCGCGGACTCCTTGCAGCAATCCGGCGAGCCTCCCCAACTCTTGCAGGTGATATCTGATTCTTTCCTCAAGGTTTGCGGTCTCTTCCTCGGGGTCGTTGACCTCTTCCTCGGGGCTCTCGGCCTCTTGCTTCTTGGTCCTCTTCGTTGGCTGTCCGCCGGATGTTCCATTCTGCTCGCCCCTGCGAGTAGCCTGTGATATGTAGTTCCCGTGAAACTGTTCTTCGTGTCTCTTGAGGTGTTGGAACCGAACAAAGCCGTGTGTATGTTTTATGCAATCCTCGGAGGCACAAAACCACTTGATCTCCTTGAGGTGAACGTTGGTATAGTGACGCCTGAGACCGATAGGATTGAGAAATCCCTTGTGGTTCTTGCACCCCGCGTAAGTGCATTTGTACGGGCGCTCATGCCTCTGGCTCATGTGGTCTCTAGATTCTGATGAGTCTCGCTCATTTTCAATTTGGGCTTCTTAAAAAGAGCTTACCTCCAAGCATAAATGTATCTGAACTCCTGTGGACAGTACTGGCATTTATACCCGCCCTGTCCGTCTGGACGGGCTTTGAGTTTGCGTTTCTTTACCACGGGGATACCTTCTGCAGACAACGGAACCGATGGAGTCTCATCGTCCTCGAACGTGGTGAGGCTAGTCGGCGCAGAGGGTAAAGTCTTGATGGCGTCGTGTTGGGGAGAAAATGGCGCAGTCGGTCCGCGGTCGTTGGTGTCAGATCGAGAAGTCTGAACGTCGGGGAGCAGGTCCTCTTGATGGAGAGCCATTCCGGCCTGGTCACGCGCCCAGCCGTTCCCGGTCTGAGCGGTGACGGCATCAACAAATCCCGTCGACCACCCCCATCCAGCCTGGCTGAGGCATAAAGTGCGGGAAATAGGTCTTGACCTGTACAATCACCAATGCCGCCCCAATCATAATAGGTTCTGTCTTCCATGGGCGCAACAGCTTGGTTCAATGGTTGGTGATACACAGCAGAGACTGATTGGGCGAGATGTCGGGTCATTGTAGCGAGGCGAGGAAAAGAATGAGGAAAGAGGGCGAGGAAGAGAATTTTGACGATGCCCGCAAACGTCAACCAAGGGTCAGAGGCTCTGGTTCGTCAAGGTCCTGCATGTAATGGCCGCACGGTAATGACCCCCAGGGTGACATGGGCGGGACGGTAAATTGTCAAAAAGGAGAGAGAAGCAATTTCATTGACCTGTACACGACGAGGTAGTTGTAGAATCAGGGGCGGCATTGTGATTTGTCCCAGCGGCCATTGTAGGTTGGCTTCCGATCGGGGCGCAGGCTGAGGATGAAGTTGCACTTTTGCTCAATCGTAGCCTGCATGCAGCTCACCCCCCCTTCCCCTAAATCACAACGTATTTAGATGTCTCGACAGCAAATTAGCACCATGCTACGCAGCCATCTAATTCGATTGATCTAGCAAACTAGCAAAGGCCCATGTCCAAAATGTAGGTGCATCAACAAAAAGTACCAGACCTGGACCACGTACCCTGGACGGACTCGGGGCTTGATGCTGGACGGTTTGACCAAGAAATAAAGAAGAAGGGGGGGCCTTAGGGGACCAAGTTTCATGTCATGAGGAAGGCTACGTCTCATTGGGTCTTTGTCTCGACACGTTGTGCCCCCCTACACGTGTGATTGGTGGCGTCGCGTCGCGTGACGGCTTGGCGCGTTTTCTCATATACTGACTGCGCGTCGAGCCACTCCTTCCACTCAGTGGCCTGGCCCACACCACCGTGTTACGCGTGGCGCCCGACTGCAATCTCACTCTTGCAGCATCTAGGTTCCGGGGATCCAAATCATCCAGCCACTTCCGCGCAGAAAGAAGACTAAAAGGAAGGCTGGAGATTAAATACACAGGGCTCTCACGCTTAAAATAGGACAATACGCCTTGCAGCCCCTCCTGCTCCTGTGTAAAACCAAGCTAGTTGTGACATGATTTTAAATTCCACGATGGTCCGTGCCTGCATAGATGTGTGCGGCCTCCCAGGATAATGAGCCGCAAGAGAGAGAAGCCTGGGATCACGATGACGTAGCGTTGCCAAGAGTTCGGTCCCAAAAGTTCCTGCTGCCTGGGATTGATTTTGCGTTGTCAGGGTTTCGGGCGCTGTCGGGGTTAAAGTGTTGCCCAAATGGGCGCCCAGTCACTGAGCACACTCGCTTAGGATTGCAGTGGCCATCTGGACTGCGGCCCCGTCAAGTGGCTCTCCAATCTGTCAACTCTTCCTTTTGACTAGACACGTTACACCACAGCTTACAAGACACAGCGCCCCAAACAGCCAGCCACCCGAACCCCCTTGGTACGCCATGTACTATGCACCATGGTGCCCCTGAGCCGCCATGCTACCTGACCCATCGTCTTTCGATACACCGTATGTTGCAGAGAAGCGCAGCTTAGGAAAATCATGGAAAGACGAAACTAGAAAATGAGAACCCGTTGGCATGTTGATTGCTTTCCCGAATCGAATGGAACGGTGACCAGTCCTTCGAGCCTGGTCCTTTGCGAAAGGGGTCAAAGACGTGGCTGCCTGAAAATGCAGGGGTCCAACCTAGCAATGCCAGCCGAGCCAGCCAGAGACACAACATCTCTCCCTCACACACCCCTACTGCCAACATAATAAGGAAAATACCCAAGAATATCCTATACCCCCCTAAACGCCTGCCCAGGCTACATGGCCCCCTGCCCGGGCAACCCCTACACGCACCGATACAGCCCATGCACGAACAAGGACACCAAACAGCGACCCGGCTCTCCAAAACGTAACGGGTCCTTCACCGCTTTTGTCGCCGCCCTTTCTACAGCCTTGTCCAAGTAGCACGCACCCTCACCGACATTGTCGGAACTGGTGCCCAACAGCAATCCTTCCGGTGTTACCCTAGCAGTGCGCGAAGCACCCTGGTGGTGATGTACCGCAGCTGCCATGGCGCCCCATTCTGGTAACGCGCCCCAACAAGGCCATGGCGACCCGACTGCCTGCGCCGCCTTTCTTTAAATCGTTGGTCTCTCCGGCGGTGTCTACGAAGTTTTCTTCCAAAGGCCCCCTACACACTTCTGAGCACGACAAAGAGGAGCAATGGCAAGTCCTCTCGAGGAGCTTCTCACCGCTGCGGCGAATGACCCCGACGGAGACGTGCAGCCCACGTATGACTTTGTCGGGAACCTCTGTTACCGGACCAAAGGAGAAACGAACCGACCAGCTGGGCTCAAGAGCATTCTAGAAGGGCTCTACTTATCCATCACGAGAGAAAATTATGGGCATGCGGTAAGGTGGACCAAAGCCCTGGAGACCTGGATAACTCTGGAACACAATGTGCCGCGAAAAGTGCGTGCAGCGTTGGTCAAGATATACTACGACTTGGCCTTGACGCCCGGTATGCTTGGCCCCCCGGCGCAAACGTTTTCCAACATAGTTGCTAGCCTTGTCAGGTATGTTCAGCTTTCAGGAGTTTCGAGTTCTTTGTCAACATGGCTAACCCGCGCTGTGCGGTGACAGCACCGTCGAGGGCGAGGTCTGTCTCGTCCCAGGAAAAGATCTCACCCTCGATTGGCGGGCGCTTTTCGAACGACTGAAGCATGATCATCTTTTTCCCTCCAACACCATCTTGAATCCCATCGACTATGACGGCCTCGCCAGTGTAGCGCGATGGTTCTTCGATCCAGGGGCTAGGCTGGCTGTAGCCGAGGAAGTTCTGCCCTACTTCGACACGGGTGATTCTCAGTCCGCAGCTAGGACATTCAGGATGATGGCGTTGATGTCTTCGACGGAGCCTGCCCCGGAAGCGTCCTCGGACTGCCAGCCATCCAGTCTTTTCCCGACGTACATGTTTCTCTTTGCCAAGCTGTTCCGGACGCAAGCCGCCACCGCGGTTCTTTTCGACCTCTTGTGTCAACTCACCGGAAGTCACTTGGAATGCAAACATGTCCCCTTCGGGGCTTATGGCATTTTGGACGAGATGCAATCCCGCGAGATGTTTGCCGCCGTCTCTCGACTGTCCATGATCGACGACAAGTATTCCACCGATTCTTTCGACGGCCCGTCTCTCCCTCTAAGCCGCCGGATGAGGGCTGCCGAGGATGCTGCTCATTGGATTGTTTACTCCCTCTCACCGTTGTGCTTGGAGAAGGAGAATTCACTGCTGTCGAGCCTGGAAAGCCTCATCTCATCCATTACCGTCTTGTACCATCCCAATGCCACCATATACGGGCCGAGGGACTTTATTACCGAGCTTCTTTGGTCCCTCGCCCACGGCTTTTGCAGGCGATACAATATGGAGCAGAGCGGGAAGCTAGCTACCCCGCCGGAACGGCGAATCAACGACGAGTTGAAACAACAGTTTGTCCGTTTGCTGAGAGGGCCGATTCTCTCGGGCTGTTTCTCCCTGTCCTGGGCCACCCGTGAAAACTGTTGCACGGCCGTCAAGCCGCTGGCCGATCTCGAGCCAGGTCTCATTGTCCCAACCGTGCTGCAACGCATCTACGCCAGCCATGACAGCCTTGTCGACGGCGACGCAGCAGAGTTTAGTATATGGCTCTTGGGGGTGCTCGGCAGCACGATTGCACGGGAAAAGGGACTGCGATGCCACCTGCCAAACCTGATGAATCTCGCCCTATCCGGCATCAACGCCAGCCGCCCGAGTCTGACGAAGGCGAGCTGCAAGTTTATTCGGCTTGTGGCTTGCGACCCCCCGCCGCCCCATATCCGATTCGCGAAGCCGGGCATGTCCAAGGATCCTGCTGTGGCCCAAGCCTGGATCGCGGGTGACATCAAGTGCCTGAACGACGGGGGTTCGGTCATCGACCTGGACGGCCGCAGACAGCTCGGCGACGAGGAGGAGATCGACATCCTTCGGTCCGCCCTTAGCAGTGTCGAAGATTTCATCTTGCGGTTGCTGGAACGCGTGTTCAAGTTCGCGTCCGACGCCTTTCGTTCCGATTTCGAGGCCGAGTACGCCACTGAAACAGAATACCACGAGGCCGAGGTAGATGTGATCTGGGCGGCGCAGGCTTGCTTTATGTCGCTGCAGCCCGAGATGCTCGAAGAAGCCATGTTGCTTCTGAGCAAGCATGTCTCATCAGATCCGATTCCCAAAGCCGAGGACTTGATCGGAGCCGTTGTCATGTATGCTGTTCAAGCCAACCCAAAGAGAGGCCTCCAGATATTTGTGCCCATGCTGGTCGGTCATGTCCATGACAGAATCGAAGAACGCTGGATCGAGCCGAGAGCCAACCGCTCCGATATTTTGTCTGCGGATGAGACCCTGAGATATTACGTCGAGGTCCTCGGCCGCTGTCTCATGGAGAGCGGGTCCGAGGTTCTTCTCTACCACGAGCAGGTGCTGAACCTCACCACCTTTGCAAGGGACAACTGTGGACCACCCGCATATGGCCTCTGCGCGAGGCTGACCAACCTTTTGATAACCGGCTTGACGGAGACCTATCCGACCACGTGTGCGGTCACTTATGATAGCCAGGGTGAGGTGGCTACGAAGGCTGTCGCATGGCACACGCCCGCACCCGGCGAGATTCAAGCGGTCTTCAAAGTGTTCGAATCGGAAACAATCTGGCTTGAACAAGGAATACATGCCCTGATGGCAAATTACCCTTCTTCGTCCAAGGAGCGTGGGTCTTGGGCCCGAAGCCTCGCCCAGGCCGTAAGGTACCTAAGCAGCATGATTTGCGCCATGGCGACCGTGTTCGACCCCGGCCACATAGCTGCCGGCGGTAACTGCGACAACCCCTGCGATGAGGACGCCAAAGACGACGCCGCGTATGTCGCAGCGCATGTGCAAGAGTTCCATCGCGTGCTGGAGCCCCATGACCCTCTCTATGACCGTGTTCACCAGCGGCGGTGCGAAATCGGGTTGCTCGCCAGCAAGATCCACGCCTACCTCCTCGGCCACGAGGGAGAGCACGTCGACTGCTTGCGCGGCGTATATAGCCTCGGCATTACCTTGATTACCCACGTCGGGTATTGCCATATACATCAGGACACAAGCCGGTGCCGCAAGAACTACGCACGCTTGGCGAGGTGCTTGAATGTCAGGGGACGTGCGCCATTGCATCCGCCGGCCATCTGTGTCATGCTCATGGAACGCTACCATGCAGAGCTCCAGTCTTTCGGAACTCAGTACCGCCACATGGGTGATCTCGAGAGGCGGTTGCTCGAGGACGCGACAGAAGGATGCAGCTCCCCTTACGAGGATGTCCGCCAAGCGGGGCAAGATCTCGTTCTCGTGTCGATCCAGATGCTGGCAGGTTCCGCCAAGTTCTTTCTTCCTCTGATGCTAGCCAAAGTGCGCGATCTAATCAAGAGCGAGAACCACCGTGGGATCGAAGGCGTGGTGGAGACGCTTGTCTGGGGGACCGAGCTGTGGCGGCAGCATTGTCCCTCCCAAATTCCCGATCTGCTCGGCATTCTAACAGAAACAGCCGCCATGGATGTGCCCAAAGTGGCCCGTATTGCTGTTCTGGCAAAACAGGGCATCGAAACCCTGGGTCGCCCCAACTTCCGTGGACGGACCGTTTTCCCCAGGGACGGCATCGCGGAAACCATCCGGCCGGCCGGGGACTTTTCAGACTTGGTCCTGAGGGCGCACCAGTTCCAGCGTAAGGAGAAGGACGAGGCGCTGCAGAAGATGGAGGACCTCGGAGTCGACTTGCTGAGAAACAAGACGGACCCGTGGCTCTGCATCCTCTCCACCCGCGCCCTGATCCGTCCGAGCTTCGATCCGCCTCCGGTCGAGCTCCTCTCCTTTCTCGCAGACAATGCTGTCGCGGCAGACGCAAAACTTCGTCGCCCGTGCATAGATATGCTCAGTGAGGTAGGGACCATGTTCCTAGAAGGGATACGCTTTGGTCACGACCTTGAAGACTTCATCCGCACGCAGGGCTGCAGAGTAGACGACCTAGTCCAAGTCGTCCCAAACCGGGATATGGTGTGTGCGGAGCGATACCTGACCAGGTATGCAATGCTCGGCGACGGCGATGACGATGATGATGGTGACGGCGTCTTTATCGACCCTACCTTCTATGGGTCGCTCGTGTGGCCGGCTCAGCTCCACGCGTGGCGCAAAGACACGAAATTGCCAGACGACGACCGAGAGAGAGCGCGAAGGGCTGAGTGTATCGGATCTCTCTTCACCAAAGAATGGTTCCAGAAGTTCCTATCTCAGTTGAAGCTGGAAGAAGAGCCCTGGGAGGGAGATAAGAACGGCCAAATGCCCAAGATCTGGATAGCCAACTGTGTACTCCTGACCCTTGTCTTCCAGCTCATGGAACTTGGGGCGACGTCTGCTGAGCTCGAGGACGTGGGAGATCTCGTCAAGACGGTCCTCGAGGACGGCACACAGATTGGCCACCATATTGCGGCAGCGACCTTGCTTCTCGGCCTCCTGTGGTCCCCGAGGTCCCGCGCCTTCCGGAGCCGCGTATTGAAGACGGTGGAGCCCTTGTTGATCGACATCCTGGAGCACAAGATGTCCCTGGCCCCGGGGACGTGGGCCTCGTTTCTGCACTGTCTCATCAAAGATCACGACCCACGGCGGAATCCAGGGTTGGTGCGGTATGTCAGTTCCCTCCAGCTGGATGTCGGGGACGCGGCGCCTAAAAACAAGGCGAAGCTCGATACGATCAGGGCTGTGCTTCGTCATCAGGGGTGGCGGTTCCGCCGAGACGATCATATCTTATCCATGCTGCTCCGCGCGAAGGATGTCATTACGAACGCGGAAGTCTCTACCGCACTCGGCACAACGTTGGCGCTCATCTATACCCCGAGATTCTGCGAGTCGTGGGCCGACGTCCGCACCATGGTCGCTGCAAACCGAGACGCGTCGCCCTTCGGCGTCCGCCCGTATGAACCCAGGGCCGAGATACGGGATACGGTAACCAAAATATTCGAGAGGGTTGCCGCGCTGCGACAACAGGAGCCTATCCCGCATCGCGAATACCAGAGCGCAGCGTCGGTGGCGCTAGCTTTCGTCGTTGGCATGTTCCAAACCAACGCGTCAGGCGTGTTCGTCCACATGGTTGATCTGATCCTCGAGGATCTCTTTCTCATGCTGGATGCAAAACTCCCGGAAAAGACGGGGCTGGGAGTGCGCGCAACCTCGGCGCTGAAGAAGCTGTGCCGTCTCCCGTTTCGCGGGGACGAGCCCACGGCTTTCTGGAAAGCTCTTGTGAAAAAGGCTGGACAATGCGAGCCGATCACCCACCGCAAAGCCGCCATGAGCATGATGGGCGAGCTGTACCTCCGGCGACTATTCACCAGCACGCCGGACGAACAGAGGGGCGCTCTCCAGGCCGTGAGCGATAAGATCCAAGATTCGGATTCACAGATCCATACCCAAGCCGCAGAAACCCTGAAGCACCTGCTCTCTCGCAGTCAGCTCAGCGTGACGGAACCCATCATTACAGACCTCGTCGACAATAGCATCGAGACTCTGAAAACCACAGCAATCAAACCCGGTTTGCGTTTGGCCGCAGTCTGGAGGTTGAGCGCCACGGTCTCGGCATACCCCCAGCTAATCGAAACGCCGGCATGGATGGAGAAGGCGATGACGAGTCTCGTTCAGGAGGCCCAGCGGTTCAGCAGCCTCTCGACCAATGTCGCCAGTACCACGGTACGGGATTTCAAGGAGGCCAAGCGGACACAATGGGAAATGGTGACGAAGGTGAGTCGATATTTCGTCCTTCAGACTTGAGCTGGATTGAGGTGCTAATGTTCGCCGCAGCGTTTACCGGAACAACTCGTGCTCGAAATGCAGGAAATGACGGGACCGTCCTACTACGCCTAGAAGGCTTGACGAATGACCTGGGGGAGGAGTACCACCGGATAGGATGGAACTCTGCCGGGTAACCAAATTGACAGGCACATGCGGATTGGCGGGCGTATTCCTCTTTTCTCGTCAACCTTCTCTCTTTCTCCCCCCCTCCTCATTTATCTATTTCATTACTCTCGCGGCACTCCTCTGACTCTCCCTTGTCATCTTCAATGTCCAACTGACCCGTCCAGCCTCTGAGACGCGACAGACACTGAGAATCATAGCCACACCCGGAAAGAGTCAGCGTCTCCAGATTGCACAGCTTTGGCACAAACTCGTGTATCCAGTGCTGGCGGTTGTTGCATGTTCCCATCCACGGCACGGTTTCTGTGAGGAACTTGGGCAGGCCGCACGGCTTGAGCTCCTTGACCGTATCGCCCAGGTACGGGAGGCAGGTTGCATCAACGTTCCCGCGGCAGGCCAGTTCACGACGCACGTGCGTCGCGCATGGCTCTCGACAATCCACTGAAGTGACTTTCGGCCTTTCTCATCGATCGACATCCCCCGTCCTCTTTCGACGAAGGGGGGAAGCAGGTTGATGACAAGCTGGTCCTCGCTGACTACGTAGGTTGTGTAGTTGGTGTCGAGTGGGTCGGGGAGAGTGATGATTTGAGCGTCCCGGTGGCCCACGGCGTGGCCAAGCTCGGTGATCCTACAGATCTCGCTCCAGTCGATCGTGGTCACGGCGTCATGATCTTCGAACAGCAAGATGGCGGACTCGATGCCTTCTGCTCTGGTTCTAAACATGTACAGCGCGCCGGACAGCTCCGTCATCTTGCGACTCCGGTCCTGCGCTGTGCCCCCACGGACTCTGTAAAGAGCCACGATTTTCAGGGAATCCAGCGTCTGAGATACGTCGTCGTGGGTGGCCATATCGATCTATGGTACGAGGATTGTGTTAGGCAAAAAGAAAAGAGGATTTATTTCAGAAGCTGACGGGGTGGGTGGGTGCACAAGGCCGAGTGAAATTTGATTGCTCCGGGGAGAGTGGAAGAGTAGCTATGATTGAAAAGATGGAAAGGGAAAGGAAAGGAAAGGAAAGGAAAGGAAAGAAAAGAAAAGAGAGGGGACCAGGAGCTTTTATTGAAGCCAACGGGGCGGAGCAGGAGCGCTGGTTCACGCACCTGCCTAAATGGCGCAATGTGCATTGGTTGCCGAACCAGTCGATGTGCGACATGTGCTCGAGGGCGACTGGCTGGTTAGTTGGACGCGTCGGTGGCGAGCTGCCCGGCGAATGACAGTGCGACAGGGGGCGGCAGATTCTTTCGGGGGGCCGAGTTTGATGATTTGATCAGGGGGTGTTTGTGGTCAGAGAGGGCGAGGTGGAATGTATCCCTGTCTGCCCCAACGGGGTGAGGGGCTTGGAAACGCGTTTTGTTGTATCTGACTGGTCAACACAATCAATGCTGCGGAATACCTCTTCCAATCGGTAGTAAAGCATCTCAGGCACCCAGCGGATGGACCTGGACCTGGACCTCCGAGCCAAGTGCACATGTTCTTTATGGTTGGTGGTTGGGTTCAGAGACTGCAGGGCCACATTTGCCAGTCTTCAATCCTCCTCTGTACTGCGGCTACTCTCCTAGAATCTGGGCTCCCATGGTCGCAACAGGAAGCCGGCAGTGCGCTTTGCGGAACCAACTCGTCAAACTCAAGACGCCGCTCCCGCAGGGGTGGGCAGGCCATAAAGCACAAATCCCTAGGGGCGTTCTCGGCCTGGTCCAAGCCGCCCTTGAACGGATGATCTCCTTCCTCCTGATCCTGCCCTCGGTGAGCCGCTGGAACTATGCCACTCTACGGTCGATGATGTGCTGCTTTGCTTTTCAGTAACTGGCTTACCTGGAGGGAGACAAGCAAAACAAATCAAGCCGCGACCTATGACGGAAGAGGAAGAGCGACCCAGACACTGGTGAGGCCTATCGACAACGAATGTGTGTGTGTGAGAGAGAGAGAGAGAAGACTCAAGATCAAGACTGAGGGTCCGGAACGCTGAAAGGCAATAAAGGCCAGAGATACGGAAGGAGCACGAATAAGACGACAGCAAATGAGTCCAACAAGCATCAAGAGACAAAACAAGGGCAGGACGCGCAAGCGAGACGCCACGAGCCACGAGGCAAAACAGAAACTCAACCAGATTAAGGAAGAATACTGAAAGAAAAGACACAAGGAAACAATGCTCGTAGTTGCGGTCTTCAGCTTTTGTCAGGACGTTGAGGGGGAGGAGGCATCAGTCTTTACCCCGGGGGCGGCCCTTTCGGGGCGGTTCAGTGTCGAGAAAGAGCTCGGAGAGTGTCACGGAAATCTTTCGTCAGGCTTCTCCAGTAGATATCTGTTCACCAAGAGCTTGTTTATCATTGACGCCTTTAGAATTGCTTTTGAGGGACAAGGCAGGCGTTACAGCGTCTGTAGACGACGACTCCGTATACATCGATCCTTCTGACAGATCCTGTTCGCTTCTCGAAGGTTATCTCAACCATTCTATCCGATCCAGTTCGCTTCTCGTAGGTGATCTCGACCCTTCTGACGGATCCTGGTCGCGTCTCGAAGTCGATCTCAACCATTCTAGCTGATCCTGGTCGCTTCTCGATGGTGATCTCGACACTTCTGACGGATCCAGCTCGCTTCTCCAAGGTAATATCGACCCTTGTGATGGATCCTGGTCGCGTCTCGAAGGTGATCCCAACCATTCTAGCTGATCCTGGTCGCTTCTCGAAGGTGATCTCGACCTTTCTGACGGATCCAGCTCGCTTCTCCAAGGTGATATAACCGACGACGCTTCTCGAGGGTCGTTCATCTTTGCCAGAACGTCTGTGATTCTCTTCAGATGCGCAGGAAGGAAATCGTCATACAGCTTTCTAATAAAATCATAACACTCCTTTCCAGTGTTGAAATCATCGTGGAAGCCCATCAGACCCAGAAGGCGGCTGGCACTACAGCGATGGAATGTAGTTTTGGCTCCTTCAATGATAGCAAAATGCCCGCACATCGTGATGCCTCCGTATTCGTGAACAACCGAGAAGACTAGGACCTCGCCGCTCAGTCTCGATGCTTCGTCATCTCCTAGTACCCGACGGTGTAGCTGGATGATGGCATCAACGGCCATGCTGCTGCTCTTCATACACCGCCGCTCAGCCTGAGACGAGGGTTGGCCATACCCGACGACTTCACAGATGAGAAATGGAAAGTACATCCTGCGCGTGAAGCGTGTCTGCATCTCGCTGGAGCTAAGGGATTTTAACTTGTGAACCTCTGCTGTAGTAAAGGCGGATTTCTTGAGGCCGATGGCCATAGTTGGTCGAGGAATTCGGCCTCCTATAAGCATGTTTCTCTGCCACCGAGTAGATATTTCTTCCGCGACATGCTCTAGGTGTTGCTGACCGCCGACAACAAAGAGGAGCTCTGCCGAAGGCACAACGAAAGGGGTAAGATATCGGAATAGACGAGGCCAGTTACACGACCTCGATAACCGACCCCATAGGGGCTCGAAGAACTCGCGAGGGCATGGTAGTAACTGCGGGTCGTCATCATAGCGTGGTAGTAACTGCGGGTCGTCGCCATAGTGAGCCTCGAACATCTCATTGATGAGTCCCTTGCTAGCCTGGGATATCAACTTGTAATTGTCGTCCTTGTAATTGTCGTCGTAGATGATACCTTTCTGCTCGAGTTTTGTTTCATACGTGGAGTACCGTGACATTAGACTGTGTCGCTCCTCAGTTGCTGAGGAATGACTTGACGGACGCTCCGACGTCGAGGTGGAAAAGTCCTTTGGCCACCACCCTGTGTCCGCCCAATGTGCAACTGGATCATCACTTGTCTCCTCTGCAGGCTTTGTCACCGCCTTCGTTTTCTTCGGCGTAGCGGCCATCGGACTGCTAGCCTTGCGCTTCTCGCCAAGCTGCTGGAGACGTTGGCTTCTGCGTGGATCGGGAGGAGTAGCCATCACGGTTGTGTCTGCTTTGTTTGCAGATCAGAACCTGTCGGTGGTGTTGGGCAGGGGCGCGTCGGTGTGGAAGAGGGCTTGTTGGATTCTGTCGGTAGATCAAAGACCGGTAGGTGATGTCGGGGAGGAGTGCGTGGGTGAAGAAGAAGCCTTGTTGGCTTTGTCTGTAGAATAGAACTGGTGGGTGACGTAGTGCAGACAAGGACTCTCCAAACCCGGGTGGGTTGAATGGAAATGATGGATTAGGAGGAGAGGTTTGTCGATACGTCCAAAATAAACACCCTGTGCGAGCCAAGGCAGTTGTTGGTTGGCTGTTGTGAATTGCCAAGACCTTCACATTTCGCCTCGGCCATTAATGCCCGGAGTGGTCCGGTGATTCGGTGATACGGTGATTCGCTCACATGCCAAGACTCTCGGTGAATTTCAGCACCGGTGGAACTATTCTCCGAGGTATCCGCCCAGAACAAGAGACAGGCAATGCCTATTCATGTAAGTACTTCATTTGGTCATCTGGGACTTGACATCATCCCATCGTTTGTCATCGACGCCCTCCAGTGGCCATATCACCGCCACTGGTCCCATCTTTACCAAAAACCTCTTGGACCTCGTTCTTCACCCTCGATCCTTTCCCCCTCAATCATCTTCTCTGGTGACTGCCGGATGATATGCTCGATGCTCATGTCACCAGACGACACGATAGTCAGATCACGACGACGATGTTGACTCAACATTCTGCAGAACCGCATGTTGGTCATGGGTCAGATACCGACTCCGAAGAGTCAGACCCCCCAAAGAGCAAGAATCTCGTACAGGAAAACAGGAGGGCTCTACATGATACAAGGCGTCAAGACCAACGCAGTCAAGTTCGGCGGACAACGAATGCTTGCAAGACTTTGGCGGATCAATTCCAAGTGCGACTACAAAGACATGAATGAGATTTCCATGTACGCCTTGTCAGCAAGTGATTCACGTCAGATGTGTTGAACGACTGCTACGTTGCAAGCACTGATCGCCACCGCAGCTCGGTCACTGGAATGTCGGACAGTCGCTGATAATCTTGCCTAGCACCGTCCTCGTCTGGTCTCGCGCAGCTCCCAGTACAAGACACTTACCACTACACCTCCTCCTACTCCGATTGAGATCACTACCACGCATACATACCCCCTTGGTCCACTGGTGGCCGCCCATTCACCACGGTGCTGCTGAATGACGTACAACTGATAGTCGCCAATTCTGTTGAATCTGATAAGAGGATGCCGACAACGATGCACGCCCAGTGAGCATGGGGGATGACGACTGCAACGAAAGGGGAAAGAGATAAGCCAATGGTGTCGGCGACAGGTGTGCGTCATCCCTAGTCTCGCCCTACCCTCTATTGATACGGCGATACTATAAATAACGCAGGAAGTAGCATTATCACGCACGACCTTGAGGTGAGACGGAGGGAGTGTCGACGTCGACATTCTGAACCGTGGAGACTGGGTTGTCGCCTCTGGCAACTTCGTCAGCCTAGCCTGATACGGTATCTTGTCTGCGAGCCCCGAGACATGTTCCCCAAGGACTCCCTGACAAGGAATGTGACGTACTTTAGTGTGACCAGGGCCGTGCAGTTCCACGTCATGTTTCTCTGACCAAATTAACAGCACAGTCATCGACCTACCCTACAATTGCAACAATGATCAGTGAATTTGATTGACAATGGTGTCACCAAAGCCGAAGTCTGATATAATTCACGGAACGGAGGCGTAGCTCAGGTTAGTGATTAGCCCGTCGTTCCTGTGACGACCGGCCAGGCTGGAATGTGAAGTACCAAACATTCAGTATTTAAAATCAAGGTCTCACCTAGACAGGATGTTGGTCGCAGAATCATCGATTTCTCTTTGGTGGCTTTGACGGGCGCCGCAGCTAAAAGAGAGCTGGACAAAGAAGTGAGGAAATTGGGTTGTCTTGGACACGGCAACCTGCATATCACACACCAAACTTCAATATTAACCGCAACTCCTGATTTGAAGAGCAAACACACTTAGCAAACATGGCTCCTCCTCGTTCTCTTCGCGATCGTTCTCCTCGCGGTCGTTCCCCTGGCGATCGTTCTCCTCGCCGTCCTCACACCCTCACTCCTCCGTCGCCGATTCGTGCCTCTCCTCCCCCTGCTCCCGCTGTTCCCGCTCCTCAAAATTCTCGCAGAAGCGCACGGCTGCAGAAGAAAGGCCAGATTCCTAAAGCCAGCAGTGGAAATGATGATACAAGGAAGAAACAGCCATCATCCGCACACTTGACTAGCAAATCTCCTGGAAAACAGGCAAGTACGGGGATACACAAGATGTTGACCTTGACAACTAACGCAGATCAGGTACGCCCGAAAGGCAGTGGCCAGCGAAAGAAGACAACGGGTCAGGACCCTCAACGAGACTACGGCTCAAAGCGAAGATCCCAGACAAAGAAAAAAGGGAAGACCGTACCGGAAGCGGTGACAACTCCCACAGAGGATCCAATAGAGCAACAACGTTCCGAGGGCGTAGCTGAAGCGACCAAGACTCTTCGTGCGGACGGAGAGCCTTCACCACTAGCCTGCGACGGCGACGGCGAAGACGGAGACGGAGACGGAGACGAAGACGGAGACGAAGTTAGCGCAATTAGACATTGGGCCAAGACCGGAGAGTGGCCGAAGAACTTTCCGACCATGGCCCCAGCTACCCAGAAATCCCAAAAGCGAAAGAATACACCAAGCTATTCTCAGAGGACCAAAGATGGCACAGTTCCAACGGCAGACACCTTACAGTTTGATGCGGAAATGGAACGACAGGGGATTTATATGTACCCAGTCAATGGTCCCCCACACGCCTCTCCAGCCAGCAAAGTACTGATCCAAACGATGAAGCAGCCTCTAGAGGACAAAAAGACGTTCACACTGCTCCCAATCGACAAGCTCCCAAACATCTTCGCGCGCCTAGCTAAAAGCACCGAATTTGGCATATTCCGGGACGTCACCCCCTTCCTAGTGCCTTCGCCAGGCCACCTCTTTCTCAGTGGTATTGAAAAGTACGAACACATAGGAGAGGATATAGCTACTGATTGGTCCAACTGTCAACCACTTGTAGGTCCAACTCCTCGACCAGATATTACCGTCGGAATCCGCCCCTCGGCTTTCACCAGTACAGAGACCGCGAAGTTGCATACGCATGCCTCCCGTTTGACACCGACAATCTTTACACAGCGTGTATACTTTCCATTTCTCGTCTGTGGAGCCAAGGGCAATGAAACACCGATTGTTCAATCTGAGCGTCAGTGCCTGAGAAGTTGCAGTATTGCCGTTAACGCCATCATTCAGCTCTACCAACGCTTGGGAATCAAAGAAGCTTCGAAGCTTAGCAAAGAGATCCTGGTCTTCTCAGTTTCCCATACATTCGACAGTTTCAAAATCTACGGACACTTTGCTCTCATCGAAGAATCCAAGACTACGTTTCATCGCCACCTTGTCATGCAAGTGGGACTAGGGTATGATGGCGACCATTTCCGGAACGGAAAAGAATGTTACGATTTCGTCATAAAATTGTATGACCATTTCTATCCAAAGCATCTGAAAAGAATCCAAGACGCGCTACGAAAGATGGGGAACCCTGCACCGCCGTCGACTGCGTCCCTGATGAGTCTCAACCCGAAGCCGGCGGTCGGAGGGACTGAGGAGACTGAAACACCTGAAAAGGCTATCACGACCTTCAAGAAGCGTGATATACCACCCCGGAGGAGACAAAAGAGAGCATCGACTGTCGACGAGGAGTAACCTTCAAAATCCCCTGGTGCAGCAGTCCACGGAAGCCTTACAGAAGATCCAGGACGCCATGCAGGAGAACTAGGACGCCTTCCATAATAGAGAGGAGCAAATGAATGAGTAGTGGGAGCAACTCATGGAGAGCCGGAAGTAGGGCGCAGCTAGGCTTTGTTGGTATTACGCCTGTGTCGCTGCCGACTCTATTGTCACGACCGACTTATTCATGTTGTCCTAACCCGATACGGGAGGTTAGCCGAATAATTTACCCTACGGCACACAACAAAGGCGCGTTAGATAGATTTCCTTGTAGTCAATCAAGTTATTCACCTACCTACAGTTTATTTCACCTTTCTCTTGAATCAGCGTCTTCCTACGCAACCCCCATCCGTCCATCCGTCCATCCATAATCTAAAGTCTATAACCCGAAATCCAGTGATGAGCCCGTCGTTCCTGTGGAGACCGGCCAGGCTGGAATGTGAAGTTCCAAACATTTACCATTCAAAAAGCCGCTCACGCCAAGCTTTAATATTCACCGCGACTCCTGATCTGAAGAATAAATACACTTATTACTCATGGCTCCTCATAGTTCTCCTTTCCGTCCTGACACTCCCACTCCTCCTCCTCCTCTCCGCCGAAGCGCACGGCTGCAGAAGAAAGGCCAGAATCCCAAAGGCCACAGTGCAAGTGTCAATTCAAGGAGGGAAATGTCGTCGTCCATTCCCTTGACGGGCAATTCTTCTGGAAAACAGGTACGTCCGGGGACACAAGATGTTGACCTTCTCAACTAACGCAGACGCAGTTGGACCGACAAGGTCAAGATCCTGAGACATTCGATTGCGAACCTACTCCGATCCAAGACGAGGCATCCCCGAAAGGCAGTGGCCAGCGAAAAGAAGGGAATACTGTAGCGGAAGCTATGACAACGTCCCCTTCACCACCCTCCTGCGACGGCGAAGACCAAGACGACTGCGACGCAATTGCACACTGGGCCAGGACCGGAGTGTGGCCGAAGAACTTCCCGACCATGGCTCCAGCTTCTCGGGCATCCGAAAAGAGAAAGCAGGCAACAAGCCATGCCAAAGCTTCAAGGGCGGACAGCCGTGGGTTTGAACGACTTCTTGAGGAAAAAGGGGTTTTTGTCAATCTCAGCGATGGTATACCGTTCTTGCATCAGGAGAGTATCGATCTATGCAAGATGATGTTGAAGGCCGATTACCCTGACCCGGTGAATACGCCTATCGCAGTCGACAAATTCTACCACATGATGTACCATTTACGGACCCGCAACGAGAGTCGCGTCGTCCGGGATGTCACCCCCTTCCTGGTGCCTTCGCCAGAGGCCCTCTTTCTCAATGGTGACGAGAGTTTGCGAGGCATAGCAGAAGAGATAAACGCCGATTGGGGAATATCTGACCCAATCCCAGGTCCAAAACCGAGACCGCATCTGGCCATCGGTCTGGCAGAAACCGCCTTCACTGCCGCAGAGATTGAGAAGTTACAGTTCCTCACCTCCTGGGAGACACCAACGCGGTTTACGGACGTCATCTACTTTCCATTTCTCATCTGCGAGGTCAAGAAGGGAAACGAAAGAGCATTGGCCCGCGCTCGACGGCAGGGCACAAAAGCCAGCGCCATGGCCGTCAGCGCTATCGTTCAGCTGTACCGCCGGGTCTTGGGGAACGACGAGGCTGAAAAGCTCAGCGGCAAGACCCTGGTCTTCTCGGTTTCTCACACATACGATAACGTCATGATATGCGGACACTTTCCTGTCGTCAAAGGAACGGATACTAAGATCTATTGCTATTCCGTCTTCGGTCTATCCCTGGAGCAAAGTGCCTTGAACGACCCCCGGAAGCTGACGTATAACTTTGTACGAAAGATATACGACGATTTCTATCCAAAGCATCTTGAAAGGATCACAGACGTTCTTGGAAAGATGAAGGCTATTGAAACGGTGCCGATTGCATCTGATATCAGTGACGACCTGGATCAGCCTGAAGAGTCACAGCCTGCGTATCCGTCGAACCTGTCGAACCCGTCGAACCCGTCGAACCCGTCGAACCCGTCGAACCCTCCGAACGCGTCAAAGGCAAACACTACACCAAAGTTCGATGGTCCAGCCAGAAAGAGACAAAAGAGAGGACCGGCTGTCGAACAGGGGCAAACTTGGGTAACGAAGGATGAGTTAGATCAGTTCAGACAAATGTTCAAGGGCGGGTTCGAGGAGGTCAAGGGCAGGTTCGAGGAGGTCAAGGGCAGGTTCGAGGAGGTCAAGGGCAGGTTCGAGGAGGTCAAGGGCAGGTTCGAGGAGGTCAAGGAGATGACGAAGACAACGACGGGCCAGAAGCAGGGCTGAGGAGTTTTGCGCAGCCAGGCTGGGTTGGTATTACGCCTGTGTCACTGCCGACTCTGGGGCCGGTGAGCCATGCCGTGGCATTCATTCTTTGCACGGACCAGTGGCTGACGGACACAGACACACTCTCTCCTCTTTGGGTTCACGATTTGCACACGGACTTACTCGGCATTGGTTGGAGTTGGACGGGTCATTGGCTCTGGGCTGATGGATGCAAGTTGTGTGTGTGTGTCTGTCTGTGCCCGTTTACGCATTAATTTCTCTTCAATCTTCGATCTTCTCATAGATGTTTCTTTATTCCAGCCAGCCAACACGGGCCTGTTAATCACGACCGACTTGTTTGTTTCGCCTTTCTCTATCATCCATTGAGTCAAGATCTTCCCACGCAACCCCCATCCATCCATTCACTCGTCTTTGTCAGAGTCCTTTACAGGTCTTTCGATTTGCCCTCGGTGCCCTCGGCGCCCTCGATGCCGTCTATACCCTCAATACCGTCAACGCCCTTCCCTCTCAGTCCCTTGGAAGGTCGGAACCAAGTCCACACATACACACACATACACACACACAGAGAGAGAGAGAGAGAGAGAGAGAGAGAGAGAGAGAGAGAGAGAGAGATATCTTTATTTACACCAGGGTTGTAAGTGCCAGGGTACCACGGAAAGACGTGATTTCCAGCCCGAAGAAAGAAAAAGACGTGGCGAGGCGAGGCGAGGCGAGGGGGACTGTCCTGCCCTGCCGCAGGAGTATTTCAATCAGTGGCTTTTCTTCGGGGGGACACACACACACACACACACACACACACACACACACACACACATACATATACAGTAGAGACCAACGGAAGTAATCGATCAAAATTCGTTGCATTCGTAACGGCCGCTGGCCGGTGGCATCTAACTAACCCTGACCCGTCCATCCATCCATCCAAAATCCATAATCCGAAATCCATCCATCCGAAATCCATAATCCGAAATCCATAATCCGAAATCCAAAATCCAGCATCCAAAATCCAGCATCCAAAATCCAGCATCCAAAATCCAGCATCCAAAATCCATCATCCATCATCCATCATCCACTAGCCACAGAGGGTCGTCACAATGACACTCACCCACCCGGGTCACCCGACTACCGCCGGTTCAATGCTCGTAGGAATCCTCATCCACGCGGCGCCTCTTCGTGGCTCTCAGTGTCTCTCTCTCGTCCAGCCGCTCTCGCGCTCGTCTGACCTTTGCAAGACTCTGGTCCACTTCCATCGTCATCTCGTCCACAGTGGCCCGGTGAACGTCCTCCCATCGGCGGAGGCTTCTCAATACCGAGAGGGCGGTTTCCCTGTTTCGCCCGGCGGTATCGATTGAGGTCTCGAGTTTCGCAATCAACCTCTTGTTATAGTTGGTGACGATCTCCAGGTCGGCCAGTTCATGCCTCCTCACGCTCATGGGCAAGTTCCGCGCAACCTCTCTGTCGTATCTCAACACGTCGTCTTCGTGGTCATACTGCCACAACTGGCACCGGTCTCTGATGGGTTGAACCGGCAACTCGCTCGTGCGGGACCGTACGTGATCCTTCCAGGCATTTTCTAGATTGATCCTGTCCGTGTGAGCCTCCACCTGTGCAATGATGCGCTTCTGCTGTTTGATCAACTTGTTCTGTTCATCAAGTGTCTCCCGTAGTTGACGAATTTTCCGGGTCTCCTCTGCCGCTGTCTCATGTCCATCCCCGCCGTCGTCACTCTCGCCGTCGTCACCCTCGACATTGTAACCCTCGCCATCGTCACTCTTGATCTCGGAGGCCCCAATGGGACCGCCCCCCGCGAGCACCTGGCCGAGGGGGGGCAGGCGGACCTGGTCCTGCGTTTTCAACCAGTCAGATCATGTCCACGGGACTGGAATGTGAATCCATAGAGTGCCGACCCACCTGATTCTTAACGTTATCCGACATTTTGATTCGAGTCTCGGCCGGGAATCTCGGAGGCAGCGGTGGACGACTGGTTCGGTATGAGGATCCTTTTTCTGTCAGTACAACGGCAGCGCAGCCTGGAATGAAGATCCCACTTGCCCTGGACGTGAATGCACGCTCTGCTTTCTGTCCCGTAGCCTGATCGGTCAGCGATGTGGTGCAGTGTAGTGTAGTGTCGTTGAGGATGGGAGAGTTGAGAACTGCGTCGACTTGTTGGTGCGGCTGAATTAAAGAGGAGGTGAGGGTCTTGGCATCACGTGATATGACGACATGAAGCGGACAAGGAGATGAGAATACCGACCGAGATCTTGAGGGTTGATATATATAGAGAAGAGGTAGGGAGCCCCTACGACGAACCCGAGGTTCGGGAAGGGAGAGCCGTCGAGGTATCGATCTCGGGATCAAGGATGGAGAACCCTTTTCTTCGTTGGTGTCGATGATCCAAGGTCGAAGGGATGGGCAGTGTTGAAGATCTTGAGGATCGAAGAGGTGGAAAGTCGTCGAGATATCGATCTCCGGATCGAGGAGGAAGTACCATGTTCTTCGTTAGTGCTAAAGTTCCAAAGGGGAAGAGAAGGGGAGTATTGAAGATCTCGAGGATTGAACACGTAGAGAGCCCTTACCCCGATTGGCCTGAGGACCAGGAGGGAAGTATCGTCGAGATATCTATCCCGGGATCAAGGATTGAGAGACCTTTTCTTCGTTAGTGTCGAGGATCCAAGGGGGAAGATCTCGAGGAACGAACACAGAGAGCCTTCGTCTTGGCGATATCTTGATGGTTCGAGACAAAAGGCCAGATATATGTACTCAAGGGCGCTGAGGATTGAACAGGTAGAGCCCCTACTATAACGAGTCCGAGGACCAGGAGGGTAGAGCTGTCGAGACGTCTCGGGATTCAGGAGGAAGAAGCCATTTCTTCGTCGATGCCAAAGATCGAAAGAGGAACTTCCGATCTCGAGGATTGAACTGGTGAAGGGCCCCTACCACGACGAGCCTGATACCGAGGAGGGCAGAGCTGTCGAGATATCTGGGGACCAAGCAGAGAGGACCTTCACCTTCGTTAGAGCCAAAGATCGAAGGGGGGCAGATCTCGAGGATCGAACAGACAGAGAGTCTTTGTCTTGGGTGATATCTCGATGGCCAAAGACAAACGGGTAAATATATGTACCAAGTTCAGGACTGATGAGGCAGATAGAAAGCGTTTCCGTTGGTAAAGTCTGAGGATGGACAAGGCCTCTGAGAGGGTCTCGAGCTGTCTCCGGATGACAGGGGTGGTGAGTGTTGAAGATCTCGAGGGCGGAAGGGGAGATGTGAGTAATGTCTGAAGACCAAAGGCAGAGAACGGAGACCTTCAAGGGTCTTGGTGATGGTCACAAGCAGAACACGAAGAAGCAGAGGAAGCGGAACAATAAGTAGAGCAATAAGCAGAATACGAAGTAGAGTGAGAAGAAGAGTGAGAAGAAGAGTGAGAAGAAGAAGAAACAGCAGAGATACAGTAATGCAGTAATGCAGTAATGCAGTAATGTTGTATTGCGTACAGCAGTGAGTGTTGTGCGACAGCACTGTCAGCCTAAGAGACGACTAAGAATGCTTGCTATCAAATATCAATAACCCCTTGTCATAGGAACCAGTGCTTTTCTGTACTTCTCCTGTTGTCCGTCCCGTATGCCATGCTCTCATAATAATACTTTGACAACGTACTTTTGTAGGTGTTGGTGCGAAGGGAGGTTGTGATGATTAGGTGTCGACGTGACGAGAGGTTGTGGTGTTCAGAGTGCGGCTTTGGCCAACTCGACAGCCTTCTGCGCCTCTTGTTTGGTCCGCATCACCGCTGTCAACCACAGCATTGCTTTCTCAACCACCAACTCCCAAACTTCCTCCTCTCCTGGCACCTTGGTCTTCAACCAGGCAACCGACAACGCCGTGGCGCGAATACCATCTTGATCCATACCATACAACTGGAGACCTCGGTAGCGACTCTCAGTCAACCCCAGGAGGGCGACAAGGTCTTGAGAATGATGCCATGCCCCATTGTACTCAACCAAGACGATGACTTGGTACATTTTCCCGGCATCTTCCAAGGAAAGCCAGCCGGGATGAGGACCACGGGGCTGGACTGCACTTCGAGGTGGTGGAATGACGCTTCCAAACAAACTTGCACGGCGAGGAGCATTGGCAGGGACCGGGGTACCGATAGCTCCGTACACGCTTCCACGGTTGTCACGGGTGTGGTCGGGCGTACTGAGGCCGAACATGCTCAGACGACGAGGATTGTAGGCAGGAGTGAAGGCAGTGACCGTATCGCTTCGTCGGAGAGGTGGAGCTGCTGGATTGAAACTGGAGAGAGGTGGCGATGGCAGGCAAGGTTCTTTGGCCGCATACAATGAGACGTTGCTGTTGGGTGCAGTCACCAAGATCGTGGGGACGGTGAGGCTGCTGGTCGATGCAGAAGCGGTCGATGCAGACGCGGTCGAGGCGTCTCCAGTATTTGGATGTGGCTCACCCGTAGCATCGACTGCCACAAAGGAGGAGGACTGGCTACCAACTTGGTACATGACTCCCAAGCGAACGGCTTCACGTTCGACGATGAGAGAGAAGTCGTTCTTGTAAACCGTCTTCAACAGCTGGCCATCTGGTGTCTTTGCGTCGGTGAGCCATCCGAACTCGTCTTCCAGCTCGACAATGGCCTTCTTTGCAGCCAATTGATGGATTGTTTTACCCACACCGATGTCTTGGACAGGTAGTTCCATGACAACAGGGCCATGGACGGTGGTGCCGCGGAGCACAACAGACTTCAGGGTCTTGTCAGATGCTTCGGGAGAGAGCAACAGATAGACAGTGATGGGATTGTATGGGTACAACGCTGGCATAATGTGAGGTGTCCGGATGATAGCGGGCATGGAGACCGATGGCAAGTGATCGTAACGCCCCTCTGGGGTGGTTGGTGGAGCTTCAATAGCATTGAGATCAATCAGAGGAATGGAGTTCTCCGACTTCAAGCCCAGGGTGACAGTTTGGTTCTGCAGCTCAATCATCTCAAAGTCTTCCTCCGAGCCGGCGTCGTCGTCGGCATATTTGAGCTCGAAGACATAGTCAGTGACATGAGGCGACAAGGCCCCTTTCAACATGCGGAGGACGACTTTGTCCATCTTGTCGTGTGGACCAATGAACTGAGCAAAGCCACCGCCGTCACGGGCGATGCCTTTGATCAGGGACGGCGAAACACCGGGACCGATGCCCAACGTGAAGAATCGAGCATTGGGTGTCTCCTTGACGATGTTGAACATCTGCTGATGGTTCCAGATCTCACCATCGGTGAGGATCAAGACTTCCAGAGGAAGGTCGGGGTGAAGGCGATTGTTAATGGTTGCCCGCACCGGATGTATCAAATCAGTCCCGCCATATCTGGCGTCGAGTGAATCCAGATGGTTCCTAGCGTCGTCCAGACTGAATTGATCGTAGGTGACGCTCTTCTGGAAGAAGAATGAGAAGTATGTGCCAAAGGAGCAAATATTGAACTTGACCCCGACTGGAAGTGACCTGACAAAGACGTGCATGGCGGATCTCAACAGTCCCATCCTGCTGGTCATGCTTCCACTTCTATCAACTATGAAGACAATCTCGGGTGAGATCTTGGGAAGTTGCTGTTTGGGCACCAGCGTTGCCATGACTGCACGTTGATTGGGGATGGTTGGATGAGTTTCGAGCAAAGCACGAGGAGTTGTAGTGCTCTTGGCCTGAATGATAAAGACCACATCATTATCGAGTGTAGGGACATTCAGAGCCAAGGTGGCCGAGGCGTGATGACTCTTGGACGAGTCTTGGTCCATGTAGGAAGTGTGTCCGAGGGTGACGGCAATGGGATGGCTTGGAGATTGGATTCCGGTGATGACCGACCCTTCTTCAAGGGTGACATTGAGTCTGACGGCAATGGAACCATTGCGGATGATATGGGGAAAGGCCGCGGCCGACTCGCTGCACAGATATCCATAGCGAGGAGCCACAGTGCTTGGGATAGTAAACTGAATTCCACCAGTCTGAGTGTCGTGCTTGACCTCGCCGAGATATGTCATTTCGACATGAAGCTCTTGGAGAGCGTCAACACCGCCAAGAGAGGTGGTAAAGACATCATCTTCCTCGATGATCTGCTCAAAGATGGCTGCATTTTTGCCACGGGCTACGGCCTCCAGGTATTCAGCATTGGCTTTATCTCTTTCTTTGACATTGCCAACGATGGTCTTGGACCCAATGGTGCATTGGAAAGAAACGATGTTGACACCGTCGGTGAGAGGAAAGGTGTAGAGGACCTGATCAAGCTTGGTATTCTTGTAGTTGACGAAGCTCTGTTTGAGGGTCGTGCAGGCAGTACGGGCGAAAATGCTGGTGTCGGTAGACAACTTGACCTGTGGAAGGTATTTTCCCCGCTGGTCTTCATCATCGACAAAGAAGATGCCACAGAGACGACGGGGTTTGCCGACATGGGTGGGCCACCCTACATAAGGGATGTACATCGACATGGCGGAAGAAGTTTGATTGAGAATGAGAATGAAACAGGGTGAGAATGAGGATTGTAAGTGAGACTGTGTTGGAATGAATGCAGTTGCGTGAGAGTGAGAGGTACGAGAATTGGTTGGGTATGGAAGAAGAAAAGCTGAACAGAGGCAGATGATGGTGGGTGTTTGATCTGGTTGCAGGCAGCCAACTGCGAAGGCAGTTGAAGGCAGTGAACGGAAGGTAGTCGAGTTGAATGAAGTAGGAAGGTGAATTTGGTAGCAACGCAGTTGTAAAAGGGGGATGACAACAAAGCAGTGAAGGGAATACAAAAGGCAAGAAGAAGTGAGAACAAACGACAAAGTGAAGTGAAAGTGAAGGTGAAAGTGAAGGCAGACACGTCTTTGGTTTTTTTTTGTTTTGTTTTTTTGGGTTTGGCTTTGGATTTGGAAGGAGGGGGGGAAGGGGGGGGTAGGAGGGGCTCTTTCAATGAAAGCGCGTCATTCAATCACGCGCGAGACACAAGCACTCACAGCCTAGCTGCGCGTGGGCGAGGGGCCCTCCTGTCCCTTCTTTAGAGGGCAAGCTTGCACTCCAGGGCAGCCAGAGCTGCAGTTCACGGCTGCTTCTCGGCTCTTCGACGAGTGCGAGTGGTGGCCCTTGAGGCCTAGTCACTAGCTCGTATTTAATCATGCGGAACCCAATCAGGGAGATCAATGACAGAGGGCTTCCAGGGCACTTGAGAGAGAAAAAGGATCTGTTGAGGAGAGGGGGAAGCCACCAAACAGTCTGCTGGGTCATGGATCAGGGCTCTTGGGGGGGACGCCGAAGCCTGAACTAGCACACTACTGGGTAGGGATGTGCTGAGCGGGAGCAGCTATTTAGCTCTATAATGCCTTTGATGCAAGTAGAACGTGCAGCCTGTAGATGGCCATTTCTCCTTGCACCTACATCATGTTGCTCAAAGAACCTGGATATACTATACGAATGCTTGAAGATCTCCCCCTCTCCCCAGAAATGGACGTGCAGTCCGGCCCCTCAGACCTCTGAAGTCATGGCCGATGCCCAGTGTCCATCTGCTGATAGATGCCCTCTGCTCTGCGAGTACGAGTTTGACAAAAACAGAGCAAGAGACAAAGGAAAGGAATTGAGCTGGGATGAACGAATGGATGGATGGATGATATCAATTAGTTGGTCAGTCAGATATGGAAAAGTCTCTATATTTTCCATCAAGAGTTTCTACTCAATCATTAATTCGTGGTGACACACCGGGGGGAGCGGGGGTTGGGGGCCACGGACCTGATAAAGCCCCCTTGGCGCTGTCAATTGTCAGTGCCATGCCATGTGTTTGAAGGGTCACTACCAGGCAATTGACTAATTGACGCTTGTTCGGAGAATTTCTTCGGTTAAAGCCACCCCCCGAAGAGTCAATTAACGCTTTGTTCGGAGAATTTCCTAGGTCAAAGCCATTCCCACCCCCGAGAGTCACTCAAAGTGCACGAACATCAGTGCCCCCGAAGCATGGGTGCTCAAGTCCGACTGCCTTGAGGCGCTGCTTAGTGGTGGATGGCTGGGCCACTACCTGCTGCTGATCAACAACCTTGGCCGCCTGAAGTTACGGGTAGCTGCTCGTAGAAGTAGTTGCTCGTAGTAGTAGTTGCTCGTAGTAGCTGCTCGTACCTACCAGTAGCTTCTCGTAGTAGTACTGCTAGTCGTATAGTACGAGTAGGAGGAGGTGGTGCTAGTCGTATGGTACGAGCAGGAGGAGGGGGTGCGGCCTACAGCTGCTCGTACCTACCAGTAGCCGCTCATAGTAGCTGCTCGTACCCTACTACTAGCTTCTCGTACTAGCTGCTCGTACCTACGAGCAGCTAGTAGTAGCAGTGCTCCCCTCCCCCCTTCCCTCCTTCCTGAGAGCTTGGCTTCTGACCCGCCCATTGCCCGGTACGTCACAATTGGGCATTTGGGTAAAACCTATCCATCACAAACAAACCACTAACAAAGCAGCGAGTTGCGACTCACGCGAGGGAAGATTGCCACTCAAGTACTAGGCTGCAATCACTCGAAATGAGTAGTTGTTTCTGTGGGAATGACCTCCAGATAGCAAGGGGGATTGCCACTCGGTACTAGACTGCGATCCCTTGAAATGAGTAGTTGTTTGTGTGAGAATGCCTTCTAGACAGCAAGGCTGGGGACTAGTGACGTAGGGCCCGCAAGTTCGTGCAGCAACCAAGTTCGCTGGACTATCCCTAATCAGGAATAGTGACTATTTCCCCAATCGGAAGAATGTGCGCCAAGAACGCCAAGAACTGCGGCCATGACGTCCAGAGAACAGACGACGGCGATATCAGAAGGCGAATGAGAGACAAGAACGGGTTATGCCATACAGGCACCATCACAGAAATGTTGAGGGGACTTCAATCCCTATATCACACTCAACTCACACAGGAAGAGGTGGAAATATGTGCCAGGGGATCCCTCCATCCGCCATCGAATTCCCCTTGGCTACCCCGAGGGATACCTCAACAACCACGGCCGCGCCGCAGTCCTTCGCCTGAGACCTCTCCCAAACTGGTCCTGCCACTGTCAGCCAATAGCGCCGCCTTCGTTTGGCAGAGACAAACGAGTCCATAAGCGGTAGCGCAGGCAAAGGCAACAAAGCTCCCGTTCCTGAGTGACAGAATGACTGGATCTCTGAGAGGTCAATACCAAGGTTAGCTATACAAACACAAACAGGCGGATAGCGAGGTTAGGTAGCGGGCACCAGGAATAGCATGAATAGATAGATGTATGGCCAATAGAAAATGAACGCCGGCTAAATTTGGTGGTGTTGTGGTAGATTCTTCCGAACATCAAGCGAACTTGCTGTTTGTTGTACGTACCTGCTGTCGGAATTGCTGTCCAGAGGGCATTCCTTGTTGTTCTGATCCTCCAACACTGTAATGCCCTCGATATGCAAGGCATACTTTACCCGAACCAGCATTGGAAACATTGGCGGACTCGTGTGGTGACGACTAGTCGCATATTCAATCTTCCCTTCCCGTCCCTTCCGCATATCCGCCCGTTTGGAGAACGAGTCTCCTCAGTTGGAGAAATCCGTTGGGACCTGCATGGATATGGATTGCACTAATCCCATGGTCGTATAGTGTGAGGGTGGCCTTGGTTTCCCCGCTTTTGCGGTTGTGCGAGTTTACCGAATAGCCGAATGCCCGACGGTTCCGCACACGGGGTAGAAGATATAGATATATCAATAGAGAGACTGGCTCCTTTCCCCCCTCGGCGAACAGAGACCTCTTGATCATTTCTCGGCTGCGCTAACACAAATACCAAGCAAAAGCAAAAGGCCAAAGACACTGTCGATAGCAGCAATGGTCGTCGCAATCGTTACCGGGTCGTCGAGAGGAATCGGGCGAGCAATTGCCCTGCAACTCGCTGATGATGGCATGGATGTTGCTGTGAGTCAGAATCAGAGACAACACGCACACACACACACACACACAGATAGAGACAGATAGAAGAGAGAGAGAGAGAGACTGCATCCCCTTCCACTACTCCCCTTTGATCGGCGCCATATTTCACTCCCCATGCTGAAGTCGCAGAGAGAAGGAGAGACAGAGATTGCATCCTCCGACCATTAAACCCCCTCCACTCTCCCTTGATCGGCACCATATCCCCCTCCCCATGCTGATATTCTTCTTCCCATTCACAGTTGAATGACATTGAGGCTCAGCTTCCGCAACTGCAAGCCGTCCAGGCCGAGATTGAGCAAAAGGGTGAACATAACCCCAGCACTGCCCACGTCTCTAACTGACTCGGGTTATGGCTCCCTGCAGGACGCAAGACATCCACGTTCGTCGCCGATGTCAGTAACGAAGAACAAGTCGAGAAGATGGTGGCCGACGTGGTGTCTGAGTTTGGTGAGCTGAATGTCAGCTCTCACCCCCCTTGTCCCAGTCGCTGTTTTGGACTCTGATTCAGCTTTCAGGTCATGGTGGCAAATGCCGGGGTGCTCGTGCCAAAGTCGATCATGGAAGTCAGTGTGGCGGAATGGGACAGGGTTCAATCGGTGAGCAGCATACCCTTGACAGTCTTGTGTCGCCCTCCCGCCTTGTGTCCCCCTATAGCCCTTGCGTCTCGTTTGGGCCAAATCTCGCCTCTAACCACGCACGGGGGGCCAGATTAACGTGAGGGGAGTCTTCTTGTGCTATCGGGCAGCTGGTAAGATTGAATCTCTTTCCAAGTCGAAATGGAAGTTTCTTGGTCTTTTGAGAGACACGACAGAGTCAAGGATTGATCCTCCGAATCAAAATGGAAGTTGTCTGGGTCTTTGAGAGACGACAGAGTCCTTCCGAGTTGAACACAGAGGTTTCTTGGTCTTTGAGACTGCTGAACAGAGTGCTGAATCCTGTACAGCCAAGCAGATGATCAAACAAGGAAAAGGTGGAAAGATGGTGGCAGCTTGTTCAACGGCGGGCTATCGACCGGTAAGAGAGACCCTGTGTCTGCTGTCATCAAACCCTGTGCCTGTTGTTACCAAACTCTGTCTCTGCTGTTATCAAATAGTGGGAGTCAAGCCCTGTTGACTCGATCTTCTGGCACCCCAGACCTCAGGCCACAGCGTTGCATACTCGACGAGCAAATGGGCTGTCCGGGGACTGACGCAGTCGGCCGCACTGGAGTTTGCCAAATACGATATCAACGTGAGTTGGCGGCACTCTCTGTGTACAAAGCAAAAGGCAATGGGACTGACCTGACCACTACCATGACCGACACGACAGGTGAACGGTGCGTTGGACCAGACCAGACCAGAGGAGACCACAATTCACTCAGCCCCTTGACCGTTTTGCTGATCAATACTCTCTGTCAAAACAGCATATTGCCCTGGCCCTGTCGATACAGATGTGAGAACTGACTTTCCGAGCTTGGTCTGTGCAGAAAAGAATTCTGAACTCACCTCGTTGTCTTGTTAGATGTGGAAGCAGATCGATGCCAGCATTGCGGAACGCGAAGGCCTCGAGCCGGGAGTGGCGTTTAAGAGATCGATCGAGTCACGAACGGCACTCAAGCGTGCGCAGGTATGTGGGAAGTCTTGGGACGCCCTTGTTCTTGGAAAGATGCTTCTCCTTCTGTTCTTCTGTTCTTCTGTTCTTCTGTTCTTCTGTTCTTCTGTTCTTCTGTTCTTCTGTTCTTCTGTTCTTCTGTTCTTCTCTTCGACTTCTTCTTGCCCAAAACAACTGAACATGTGGCTGACCGAGTACATCCATCACTCTGTACCGGCGATCTAGGAACCCGCAGATATCGCCAACTTGGTCAGTTTCCTGGTCAGCAGCAAGGCGAGGAACATTACCGGGCAGAGCGTCCTGTGCGACGGAGGTGAGATCAGCCAGCCAGCCAGCCAGCCAGCCAGCGTCGATCATTCCACACCTTTCAGCCACTGTGTCTCGTGTTCTTGTCTCCAAAGAGGCTTTCCTGGCTAATGTTGGACTGAGTAGGGATTGCATTCTCTTGATCCAGGCCCGGATCCATGACACTCGGGAGACAGGGAGGGAGGGAGGACAGTGGAGCTGAGATGGCGTGACGGACTTGGAGGAAGGAGAGATTGTCTCGTCGGAAGCACAGGGCCGGATGGAGAGAGGCAAGACTTGTATGTCGCGGACTGTGTTCGCCATGGCTGGTAACCTGCTACTTGCACCTCGCATCTTGGACCTTGCGGGCCGTAGAATGAATGCTGTGAGGTGGTTCAGAAGGGTACGAAACCATTACATGGGCCGTGGATCTGGAGGTTTTGTAAGTGAATGCGAGAAAATGGAAAGGGTCTTGACCAACCGATTGATTGAATGATTGAATGATTGACCTGTCGATTGATCGATTAAATCCCATGTACTGGGTGAAGAAGAGAAATCCACCACGGACCCGGGGATGTGTTATCGTAATCTGAAAGACTGCGCAATTTGGCCCATTCGCCAGCGTGAATAGATACCATCGAATCTCTGGCCTGCGATGACTGGTTTCGACGACCAGCGTAGTATTCGCCAGCTGGGACGACTTCTCCCTAGATAGTTGTGCGGAAATCTCCATGTGCGCCATCTCGCAATGCGTCTCGGCTGCTATAAACGACTCGATACGACGAGAGCTTGCGGCGGCAGCTTCTGCATGTGCTGCTTGAAAGCTTCCGATGCGTTCGTCAACTAGGCCATAGACGTCAATGACCCCAGTTAGAGAAGAGTTCCACGCCTCGCGGTTCTGAGAGTGATGGAGAGAGCGCCGGCTGAGTTTGGCTTGTAGACCATCGATATCCTTCAGAGAGTTACCAACAGTCGAGACCAGCTCCGTCCCAATTCCGAGTAGTTTCTCCTCCGTCAGTTCATGTACTTCGTGAAGAGCAGTTTCCTCCTCGAGCAGCCTTGCTGTGTCTGTAAGAACAGCTTCGGTCTTTTCAAGCACATCATTTGTGCTCGCCAGGGTCGCCCGAGTCCCTTTGTTGTCTCGTTTCAGCATTGTGAAGTTGTTGGTCGAGCTCTACATGCTATTCGCCGGCCACGATCAACCGAAGAACGAAGAATAAATCCGACCCTGACGTTGACTCGATGTCCACACAGTGTTTTATCGCCCCAGTTGCCTTTACCGCCACTTGAATCGTGGAAAAGCGTACGTTCGATCGCCTTGTAGAGGCGTTAATCTGTAGCGGCGGGCGGAGGAAGGACATCGAGAAAGGATGTGTCCGAACGACCAACGATCTCAGCATTTGAAGCATGTTTTTCCACAACGAATACCCTAGGACCCCGTTCCCTGCTAGGTAATCTCAGAAAGTGGGGTTCATGGGCGCGATCGCGAATGAATCCGTTGGAATTTGCGTTGAACTGTGCCATCTCTGAGCGCCCGCAGGCATAAGAGCGATGTATCCGGTGCGCCTCGATTGGGTTATTAGAGGTGTCATTCCAGCTATTTGTAGATTGCAACTAGTCCTTCGCGTCGTTGTCGCCGTTGCCGTCGCCGCCAATGTTGCCAATCAATGCCTCTTTGGCAAGATGAATGGCTCGATGGCTAGCAAAGACCTCGTTGAACATTGATTACCTGGCCTTTCTTGCATCCTAGCCTTCGGTCGACCTAGTTGAGCGCTTGAGGCTAACGGTTTGCCTATCCTTTTCGATCATAGACACGTGTAAACGATCGAGTTCTTTGGCAGTCTTGCTTAGGGAGTTGCGGAAGGGCCTTGAGAGCGATTCCTATGGCGTGACCCTGTACACAGAATCGCCATAGTTTCGCCTGTTACTCGGCGATAGGTAGAGGCCACTGTCGAGTAGTTTTCGCCTGCGAGAAGGTGGCGTTCGTGGTGTTTTTAGATCGATCGTGACGGTCGAGAGGACTAGGCAAGATCGAAGAGCCTTTTCAGGGTTCTATGGGTAGACACCGCTAGATATCCATCCAGCCTTGATATTTCCAGGTCTGAGGCCTTCCTAGCTCGCCTTCCGATAGACCTCGAGGAACTTCTCCTTCTTTACTGGGTTTGCCTCTAGCTCGAAGATCAGCGATCTGTACTCGATAGCGATACTTAACGGGCGAAAAACAAGCAAGATCAAGTGGCTAAAGGATATAGCTTGAATGGGGTAGTAAGTAGAATACCGCAACGTTATTCTGAAAGCATTTCCACATGGATTCATGCGCGACGTGACTCCTTTGGCCGTCGAGTAGTAGTAATCGATACTGGCCTTGTTCAGTCTCTTCTGTAGCCGTTTGAGGGAGGAATATCTGTTCGAGCCGGTTCAGACCAATCTCGTTTGATGTCCAGCCATGAGGAGAGGTAGTGTATCGATAATCAGGGCTCTCGCTGTTGAACTGGAAGGTCTGGAGGTCTCTGCCTTTGAAAATAAGTAGCGGTTGTAAGCGCTGGCTAGAAGCACTAACTGTCTCAACGAGAGTAACCCATTCTCGCGTCTCAACTGTGAGTAGGGCGCCAGATTGTGGCACGCTTGGGTCGTCTGGCGATATCGTCGAGATCCAATCTATCGGTCGGGGGATCACGCTGGCGAAAGGCGGTCCGCGCAATCTCCCGAAACTTGAGGCCTTGCGAGTTCGGGGCTCCTTGCTCTACATTGAAGTGGCTCCCGCGGCACCGTGAATGTCTCCGCCATCTTCAACCCAGCACCGACAGGAAAGTTATCCTGCAGCAAAGCCGGACTCAACCTCTACGGTCTAAGCGCGGGACGCTCAGACGTAAGTCTCGTCGGGTGGTGATAATTATGTTGGGACTGGGCGCCGGCATCTTACGGGCCACCTGATTGGCATGAGCAATGGCATTATCCCGCTCCGTATCTGCCCGGTCTCGGTTGTTGCGGTAAGCCGTCACGCCTCGTATGATGAATCTTTATTGCCGGTTAAATCGCCCACTGCCAGGGTCGCGCGGGATGCTTCACAAGAGCTCTCTCACGAGTTCCAGGAGCAGGTTCGGTCGACTGGACTTTGCAGCCAACAATGCAGGGATTGGGTTGGGAGGGACGAGAACCCACGAAATCGATGCCGTCCTCAGAAGTACGCGGCACTCCTGAAGATCAGGAGGAGGAGAAGCTGGAGGCTGTCCGCGAAAGAAATCTGCTAGAGCGCGTAACTCGTCTCTGGAAGTAGCTAACGACCAGCTGGACATTTTGACCGTGTGAGAGGATTTCATGCGCCCTTCCATCCTGATCAGCCGCATCACTCTCAGGACTCCCGAGCTTGACTGTCAGTTCCTGCATGGATCATCTCGAACAAGGCGCCTAGAATCGCGCTCTACTCGGTACAGCACGCGCCATATCGATCTCATGTGATGTATATTATTGCTCCGTTCATTGCTGAGCACCGGATCTTGACAAGAAAAACTCCCGCACCACAAGGCGGTGTAAGAAGATCCAAGAACGGCGCATTCTCATAGGGCGTATCTCTCGGACCGATAATGAGGCAGCGCAGGAGATCCATTCGACTCTCATATGTGCGTACATAGATCTCACCTTCCGGGAGTGACGTGGCCAATATCTGGTGTTCTTTGAGGAGACGTTTGAGGCTTCAATCCAGGCAGTTGGGAGGCTCTCACGAACACCTCTGCTGCTGGCTGCCGAGTAGGGTTGTTTGGACATGGTTGAATTTCTCCTGCAGAAAGGCGCAGATGTGAATTCACCCCGTCGTGGCCGCTGAGAGGCGATATCTCCGACCACAATGTCTTTGTGGCCACGCAGTCGCGGCTGTTGGTGTCGACGGACGTGCTGTTTGAGCGGTTGGCCATGTTGCGCGAGAACGGGGTGCTCTCGACGAACCGATCCCACCTCAGACCGGTATGCCTTGACAAACAGGATCATTGGCGGTCTCAACGGTTGCTACTCTGCCGGCGGTGTCATCAGGTCTCTGCTGGCTGGCTGGTCCTGCGATGCCTTTGGGAGGAGGAAGACGCTCCACCTGGTCACTGCGATCGGTGTGGTAGGTAGCCTTACCCATGGTCTCGCTGGGCTTGCGCCATTTGGTCTGAATCGTTGGGATCGACGAGCGCTGTCATGAGCGCGAACATCTAGTGCCGAGCTATAGATCCAAAGAGCGCAATGCCGCAGATGTAGTCATTCGGCTGCTTGAACGTTCTGCTCCGGTCCGCGGTGTTGGCTTCTGAGGACCGTCGCCCGTGCCACCCTCGGCAGTAGTCACATCCTCGAGCGCCTTCTTGATCCTTTGCTGGTGCGCCGGATCGTCTCCAATCCGGTCAATCTGCGTGCATTTGACAACTGGAAGCGAGATCTTGACGAGGCCCTGGCTGAAGCCACTCCGGTTGCGCCTCCACACCCGATTTTACGCCCGCGACATGAATCGGACAGTCTCTATTTCCGGCCAGACGACGATGCGCAGTACGTCGAAACATATGATGTGGACCTTTCCGAACTGAAAGACTTTATTGCGCTGTACCCTTCTCCAGACAACGTCGTTCCCGTCTTAGAAGACCGTAAATACCGCGGGACACAGTCCGTCGCCTCTCTCAGAACCGTGTCTCCAGACCGCAAGGCTTTCGTGCTCCTTGACGAACATGTCTCGTCTCGTCTTTTCATCTTTCTCCCTTCGGCACTCATCATATTGTTCTCCAGCTCCTTGGCCGTTTGCCGCTACCCTTGACGGGGTGGAACCTCTCGTGAGCCATGATTCCCTCGTTTACCCTTCAGAAATGAGGGTACCAAATGAGCGAGATACTAAATCTGTCGCAATCGGTTTCCAATCCAGAAGTGTGCCACAATGGGACCATCAATGGCAAGCCTATGAGCCATGAAGAATTGGAGCCCACAGCTTCGTCACTAGCAACAACAGAGAATCGGGGCGTTGGCACTGCAACTTTGTCGCGATGTCGCTTTTCCAGAGACCCGAGACTTTCCCGGTTCGCGACCTCGCGCATATCCGCAGCGGTCACGCCAGAGAAGCGCGTGTTGTAGTGCGTCATGGCCACGGCGGGCGCGACGAGCTTTTCAATCAGCACAGCGCCGCTGAAGAAGTCTACCCCCGTCAACCGGATCAGCTCTGAGTCCCCTGTCGCGGAGACTGTGGTGGTGAAGGGTTGCTGGAAGCCGGCGTTGGAGATGTGACTAGAAGAGCTCCAGGAACAGCGGGCAGAGGAGGGAGTGGAAGCGCCGGCGTGTTGGTCGCACTCCGTGTACAACATGCGGATAATCTCGCTGCTTTCCTTGCTCACGATCGACTCCGTCTTCTTGTCCCACAGCATAGGAACCCGAATCAAGTGGCGGCCGCCACCGCGATCCAGATGCGGTTGGCGGGCAGTGAGGCTGAGCGGATGAACTCATGGCATGGATCGATGTCGAGGATGAGGAGGACCTGGAGACACCGCCGCAGCCGGCCAAGCAGGGCTTGATCCCCGTGGTGATTTTTGAATACTCCTCGTGATAGTCGACATTCCGATAACAGTTTGGTTACTGCAAACCCCGAGGGCCAGTCCAGATTCATCCATATTGAAGATGTTGCGAGGGATAATGGAGTATTGCTCCTGAACTGCCTGTCGATTGCTAAACCACGCCTCAAGCGCCACAGGAAGGGTACCGTTGACACGCTGAATGCAGATGTTCTTGCCTACCTCTGAATAGATATCAGGATTTCGCTTGATAGACCGTCGTAGCGCGTCGTAGTCAATTGATCCCATCGCGTTCTGAGCCGCCGTTATCCTTGCTTATTATCCCTGCGAGAGCTCGAATAGATGAATGGCTGAGGGCGTGCCCTTGAGCCTCGAGGTCTAGTATCCATCTCTTTAGGGTTTCCTCTTGTATTTTTGACAATAACTGCTGTAGTTCGTGGAATAAAGGAAGCCGATTGAGCACCCTATAGTCTGCGGGCAAGCGTGGTACGGTGGATGTCGTTTACAACCGTAGCCGCGCGAATACTAGGATATCGCTTTGTTTGGTGGTCAGTGATTGCCCGTTGGATCCTCGCCTCTCGATCTGAGGCCATTGACGCGTAGAAAAGGCGAACTGGGGGAGTGGTGGTTAGTTGAAAGGGTTGGTAAATAGATGGTGGGATGGTAGAACGCGTGGTGCGAAACAGGGTTGGTGCATAACTTGTTCGAGGGACTTCAAAAGACCTTCTTGAGTCGAGGCTCAAGTCGAAGCTCAAACAAATTTCGGATCAGAGGATCGAGCTGGATCGGGCTTGAATACTCAATCGTGGATGAGATGTTGCAAGGCAGACGAAAGAGTATCATCTCCTGGGCCGGAAGTAACTTGGATGAAGCCATACTGTCTTATGATACAGCGATACACAGTACAGCGCCGACAGAGATAAGCGTCGAGGTCGGAAAGCGAGCTTCCGGACGCACCTCGCAACCTTGATGGCTCTCACATGCTCTGGTTTGTGAGTGCGGCAGAGAGGGGAGGGGGGGTGCAAGACCTCGACGACTGAAATGCAGTCACCGTCTGAACAAAATGCGACTCAAGTTAGACGTCACACACACACACACACACACACACCACAGGAAATCGGTCAACGGCGGTGACGGCGTTAAACTTGGTTGATCCACGCTGTAATGTACCAGAGATTTCCGTAGCTATTCGTAACCAGATTTTTTCCCAGGCGAGGCTGCGGCAACTACCATGTTGTCCATTGGTGTAATGCATCCTCCCCTCCACCACTTGACGGATTCCTTTCCTTCCCCGGCAAAGAAGTTCGGAGTTGCATCTACCAATCTGGAATGAATTGACGGTCTCGTTCCTCCTTGAGCTATCACCGAGGAGAGGGAAATTCCGATATGGAGAGAAAAATGTCCGATACCTTTAGCCGTAGGGAGTGCAGAGCGACAAGCAACCAGAGAGAAACACTGTCACTGTCACAGAACCATTTTAATCAGACCAACTCGGGCATTTGACGACAAAAAAGAACTGGGGAAAGCGTTGGTTTACCAGATACATCAATAAAACCCGGCATCGTCGCTGGACCTCCGTGTCTCGCCCCCAGCGCCAAATCAAGCGTCGAGCCATTCTTGGTGACCAAACAGGACGCTATGAGACTTGCTGTGTTGGAAAGGTCGTACTGTTGACCAGCACTACTGAACCCTCTTCTGAGAGCACAGAGAAGCTCGTAAGCAGCTTAAGCAGCGTAGACAGGCGTAAACGTCGTAGTTGTGTGCTAAATTGACTGCCTGAAGGCCGGAAGGCCTCAGTGACCCGCCCCGACCATGGCCTTACTCGGGCCAAGATATCTTGTCCATAAGTTGAACGCATTCGTATTCTCTCTTTTCCAGGTTGGTTGCATATAATATATCAAAATCTCTGCCTTCTTTGCCCATCCGCGACGATCTTTGCGAATGACGTCCCCTCTTCTCGAGGCAGCCATAGCGTTGAAAACTGATCGAGATGAGTTGAGTCGACCAACCTGATTCAGTAACGGCCGCAAGCCTTTGACGGAGTCCATGGCTACTTCGCCAAGGTTTGTGAGATATTGTTTGTATCGTCCAAAGCTGTCTCTGAATGCGAGAGAGGCTGGTGTAGCCGAAATCGGGCAAGATATCGTAGGATCTCGTACAAGTCAAGCCCAAGCTTTCGATCTCCTCAGTAGAGGGGACCTGTAGAAATATATTGACCAACACGTCGGTCGGTAAATCAGGTAGTGGTTTCCCGTGGTAAAGGGGAGACCTATTGCGTCGCATCGCGTAGGATATCGCGGTGCTGGTACTGTGACATTAGATGGTGGAAACGGTGCAGATTGAAGCCCTTCAGTTCGCAGCAGATCCTTGTGTGGCGCAATAGTGACCCTGAAATTGGAAAAATTCAATACGGAGCAGGCCTCGATTGTGGACGCTGGTAGCCATTCTGATCAGTCGAAATTGGCAATTCTCAGACTGGGGCCTGCGCATCGAGTCTTTGCTTGACGCCATGTCGATCAGAAGGACCGCTGCAGGCATCGAGCATCCGCTAGCGGACAACAAACCGCAGGACCCGTGTGTCGAACACTGTTTTGTGCAGCTGGCTGCAGCTATTGATGTGCCCAAGTTTCAGTCCACGTTGCTATGTAGGAAAGTCCAACGGCGACTGCCGGACGCAAATGATCGGTGGATTCTCTTTTTGTGTAGCCTGAAGATCGTACACAGGGAGTTGCGTTTCGATTCGGTACGTGACTGCAAGGTTGCAGACGGGGTTGCTGGCACGCTAGTTCTATCGTATATATTGATAGAAGCGGATCCTGAACATGGGCAAAGAGACCCCTGATTCAGCAGACTCTCCGTGCACCTCGAGCGTTGTTCAAGCACCTGTTCAACTCCTTAGCTGCAAGGTGCGTTCTGCTATGTGCCGAGTGAGTGCTTGTGCTTCAAGACGTTGTGCATCTAGTCATGTACCAGCCCTTCAGCCTCCGGGCAGACCACCCCAGCGCATTCTCAATAACATATGGATAATGAACCCTCTTTGAACGCTGTGGTAGTCGAATAGCGTGGTAGTCGGAGAGCGTGGTAGTCGGAGAGCGTGGTAGTCGGAGAGCGTGGTAGTCGGAGAGCGTGGTAGTCGGAGAGCGTTCGATCGTCGCGCAGTATTCGCGAACCGTCTGAGGAAGATCTGGTCAGGTGGAGGACCTTCCCTGACTTGTATCAAAACCTTTAGATCGCCAATCAAAGCCTCTGCATACATATATGTTTGAATCCTTTTGCTATACTCAAAGTTTTCACGCCAAAAGAGATTGGGCGGCGACCATTAAATTGTCTCGCCATTGTTGATTCGAGGAGTTGCGCATGTTGAGCTTGCCGCCATAAGACCGCCTGGAAATGTGCTGTCATGTAATATTGAAAGGGAAGCCGTTGACGTTCGGCCACAGCAAGTAGTGTTTCCATGAAGGCAACATCTCTTCCTCTGGCGGCAGCCAATGCGTTCATACCCAAGATTTCCGTAGACGTGCCTCCATAGAGATTGCTGGTTTCGCACTCGGCCACTGCGGCCCCATGCCTAAGCAGAAGATGTAGGCTATTCAGGGAGGCAGACGTTATCGCAGCGACATGGGGACTGTGCTTTCGGTCACCCTTTTCTACTTTCCCTCCAGGTCTCAATAGGTTTGGGACGATGTCATCTCGTTTAGAAGCAAGCCACAGGTCCAATGGACTTCTGAATGACAGTTCGCTGCCTGTAAGAGCAGAAGAAGGCTCTTCTCGTTCCCCGTGGCTGCAGTCAAACACAGTGCTCTCGATAGTTCCCGTCGTTTCATGAAAGTTCGGTTGCACGTCACAAGGGCGTCGATCTGGGAATCGAGGTTGAAAGCACACGCAAATGCCAGTGGAGTAGGAATGAATCTGCTCCAAAGATGTCTGTTCTCCTGCCGCCAATAATCCCCCGCGTGGATTTTGCTGAAGATGCTTGATGAAAGATTCCCACCACGGGGGAATGGCAGTCGCACAGGTTGCACTTGTCCTGCTGTCGAAGATCTCTGATTGTGGAAAGTAATGAACTTCTGCCAGCACGGCATGCTCGAAGCGAAACCTCATCGCGTAGTCCAGGAAACTCCAGTTCCGCATATATTCCGTTAAACTCGTGTAGTGACTCCCTTTCCAGCGTTCCACCATGGACTCTCTGGCTCCCGTATCGACGCACACTGCCTTGATATAATTGAGACACGAAAGTGCGAGGACATTGTTCGCAGCGCCGATCTCATACCACATCGAGGTGGAGCTGTGAGTAGTGGCAATTCGTTGGTGCAGGATGTATTTTCGAACCGATTCCTGGATGAATTGGACACGATAAGAGGCCTGCGCTGGCAAGTGAGTATACTCGGACTCTGCAATTTCCGCGGCCTCGACGAGGCCTCGTGTAGTCGTAGCGAGGAGTTTCCTCATTTCTGCAGGCCGAATAAAATTCCCCGAATCGTGATATTGCTGATCCGTTGAATATTTCTGTCCAAATGCCAGAGCATCGCAAAGTTCCAGAGGGAAAGAGAGCGCTTCGTGTAAAGCACCCACCATATCATGAGCTTGCAGCGTTCGGGTTCCTCTCGTGGTACAGAGTCCACGAGATTCTGGAATAATTCTTCCAGACGCTGAGGCACATGATCGATAATCCTTGAAGTCTGTTAGGCGACTCTCCATCCTCTTGAATCTCTTTGTCTTTTTGAATGGCAAGAAAAGCCCATAAAAATATGCCTTGCGAACGAGATGTGATCCTCCGTGAAAGGCCATGAAGATCGCCTGTCGGGGTCTGCAAGGAACTGTCGACATATTTCATAATGTCTGCCTCGTTCACTCTTTCGACGACGATCTGCAATGGTTGGGATGTGCCGACGTTTGGGTAACGACGTCTGGAGATGCAAAACCTCGGCCGCGATAGATATTGGCCGATGTCGCGATGTTCCTTCAATTTAGACAGCAGGTCCATAAGATTGCATGCCGCGAGTGTTGATTCACACTTGTCGAACGCGTCGATGAACATTGTGATATCAACAGTCGAGCCCAACATCCATGCCAGGAACATTTTCTGAAGGTCTTCTGCTGTCCATCCCCAGCCAGACCTTGTCGAGCTCGACTTTCGCTTCCAAGCCTCTAATGCCTCGTCACTACCAAGTCTAGAACTTTGTAACAGGTGATGAAGCACTGAGCGGAAGAAGCCTTCCAGTCTGGTCTCGATCGGGACTGCCTCGGGCATTGAAGAAGATTGCGACCACTACCTCGTCGAAGCGAGCTTCGTTTCTTGCGATGCTGTAAGCTCTTTTCCTCGCTGTGGACTTTTCAGATCCTGGTTTACCGCAGACCATCAGTATATTAGTTGTGTTAGCTTCACGCTTCCAGTATGACAGTACTCATGATCGAGCAACCAATTGCACGTATCGTCTTGCACATCATCGACCGCACGGTGTCGATACTCCGTCTCAGGATACGACAATGATTTGAGGATGCCGCGGCCACGTAGGCGGGGACCTTGTCGGCGCTCCGCGACGAGAAGATGGACAAGTAGCGGCCGTGCCGACGGCCCGACGGCGCCGCCACCGAACCGGAACAGCGACAGCATGCTCCCTGCGAAACCGCTGCACCGACGCACAGGGGAGTTGTGTGTCCGTGAGGAGGTTCTCGTTGATGTTTTGCTGACCCTTTCCCCAGCAAAGGCAACAGCAAAGGCGGAAAGGGCGTATATCTGGTATGGGCTGGAAGTGGTGGGGGTGGCGTCAACGTGGGACAATTGTGGAACTGAAGAAGAACACATGGTGCTTCTGTACGAGGGACTGTTATCGTGGCGCAGAGAATGTTCTACGAGTACATACCTACAAGTAGGTATCTAGAGAATTATCACCGAGTGACCATAAGATCGGGGTTCCAGGCTTCAGGCCACTGCAGGTCCGATTGAGCGGTACTCACATGTATTTGTCCAGGACTGAAAACTGGATCAGGAGGACCGAGAGAGAGACAGATGATCCTAACGACGGAGAGTTAGGGACTCGGAAAAACTTTGGTTAATTAAACTCTCGGGGGGGAGAGGAAGGGAAAACATACCGATCCGACCTGACCATGATCAGAAGCAGTATCCGCCATCCGATAAGCCTGCCTACCTTTGAAATCCTTTTCCTTCTGTGCAGCACTTGAGCGGCACGAGTTACTCGGATATCCGGGCTCGCGCAAATTACCACTCGTAGAGCTTTGGGTCTCTCGAGTTGGTAGATGTCCATCTGACCGTTCTCTTGGTGCGATAGATACTTGAATCGCTTGCTGAGGTCGACGATATGCTCGATGACCCTCCCTCACCGTAGAGTGGCTGCATGCAAAACGTCGACAAGTCCGGAAAGACTGTCCACGGCATCCTCTTCACGTGTTGTTCTTCGTTTGCTGGCCCGGGATAGTCGCTCCTCAAGATCAAAGTCATGTCCATTTCCTCGAATGGCTTTTCCACAGGCATGTTTGTGATCCGATGACTCTCGTACTTCAGTGTGGTCTTTGTTGTTACCCGGCCAAATCTTTTTCTTCGAAAAGAAATCCACCACAGTTTGGAGCAATAAGCTCTTGCAAGGGTCCAGCCGCGCGTGAACCACTTACTTCTCCGAAACTGCGATTGCCATCCATATTCTTGCAACAAGTCGTGTTCAGAACGTCACGGACACATCTGACAGGTATACATAACACCTCGCCGCCCGCTGATATCATCTTTACATGGAAACGATGGTCTCGGGGAGCTCCGCGCCGCTGGATTTGTCGATGTAGTACGTGTACACCCAGCAATATTCAAGGTCATGATCGCGCTTTTGTATGGGCGCAGAAGATCGCCTTCTCGTATCCATCCTTGCGCTGACCCGTGTTTGATCTTGCCCCGTCTCTTCATCAAAGTCCGCTGAATGTGACTTCTTTTTCTTCCGCTCCCCGTGTGTGCGAGAGGATGCCGTACGGTCTCGGAGATGTGGGCAGGTCCTCAGTCAGGACTAGATTGTCTTCTGCATCAAGCCGTAGAAGTATCGTGAAGCATTGGCTTATAGGATGGTGGCCGCAGCGATCGAGCGTCTCACTAAGGAACAATTGGTCAGAAGTGGTCGTCTGTAGGTAGCAAAGAACAATTGATGGTTGGCATGCAGACGTACCGTACAAGGGGCCAGCCTGGCAGGCGGCGCTACTTCAGACGCGTGGGCCCTTCACGGCAAGACATCACATCATGAGGGCGCTCGATAAGGATATATCTACTCACCATAAAACATTCAATTGTGCGAAGAGGCGTTGTTCTGAGTGCTTCAGGGGTTGACCGGAAGTTCCCGAGGGGTGGGGCCCTGCCGACGAATCAACGTGCATTATAAGTCTTGGCGTCTTGGCATCAATTGATTGGCCAAATTTGGCCACTTTTCGCCCTGCTCAGACGGCAGCCCAATCGAGGTACTCCCTGAACGGACGCCGGTGACGTGCCATACACCCTACATGACCCTCGGTCACAGCACGGCATTGAGTATAGCTCTGATACCAACGCCGCTCCATTGTATTCCTTGCCAACGGTCAATCTTTATCGAGGTTCGGCTAGCAGCTCCGTCAGTCTTTGATCAAGGACTACGACCTAGAGAGCCAATCCGTGGAGGAGGTTATTCATACGGCATTGTAGACGCTCCAAGATACCGGTACGGTCCTCGTCGACACCGAGATACCCAACCTGACGAAACTCCTCGAGACTTTCCGCAGCGCAGCTTCAACGCAAACCCGAACCCGCCCGACGACTACAACACTGCTCGTCTTGACTTGCGTACGGTTGTGTTCATCAGGTGCCAAGGTGTATAGCCAATTTGACTAGTTTTGCCCCAAGATGACTTGACGCTGCTCGTAGATGAAGCCCATTCCTTGATGTGCCTCGGCCGTTGGGGTCGGGGATGCATATAGGTTTCAATGAACAGCACCGACAAACTCGCTCCCAGCCCGTGGTTCTTTTCCCTCCTTGTCCACAAAACAGCCTTTTCATTCCCCAGACCAAGCCCTGCCCCTTTGGACGGCAGTAGCCTGGCAGTACCTGGCCGCATTGCCACACGCTGTAGTACGCGCTGTTTTGGGCTTCCGGGGTGATCCATCATAGGATTGTCTCTCATCATCGGCTTATACATTGTCTTTTGTGCATTTGGCATCCACTACCTTCGCTGGCGACAATGATATAAATGGTGGAAGCGCCGCATTGTAGACGTCTCTCTCTTTGTGTTCTCGACAGGTTCTACCGAAAACACACGGAAGTGCTCGGGAGCGAATCAGACAAGCCTGTCGACCGTGCTGCCGAGGCAATGGACTTGCCCTGAGCCGGTGCCTGGTCTGTCAGCCTCGTACTCTGTTTCGTCAATTTCCATGCCTTTCCAGTCTGGTTCAATGTGCGTCTATCCGCTGCTGAACTGGTTGGTCGGCTCATAAAGAGGTAAGGTGTCCTTTGAATTTGGCCGGAGGTACATCCGCTGGGGTCGCGTGATGATGCGTGATGACTCCTCCTCCCACGGAAGAGGAAGGGTGTTGAGTCGGAAGTTCGTCGGCACCGATGCTAAGACTGTCATTATCGCTACTATAATAACGATGATAATGACCGTGCGACGGCAGCGGAAGGTGGGAGATGGGCGTTCGTGACGCTGGTTGCATTCCCAGACAGCGTCTCACGTGCTGGAGCCAGAAAGGTGATGCGAGGTAAGAGTATCGAGCGATCCAGTCGAAGCAGACGATGGCGCAGATGGAGATTCCGACGACGGCGCCAGGAGAGTGACGACCGTCATTGGTGTTGCAGAGCTTTTGGATGTCCTTGATCGGCAAGGTACTGGCCGCTGATAAGAGGATGGAGTGCTTGCATAGCTGCCGTCGTTCCACTGTCCGACAAGTAACTCGGCGGACGGTATCCGACAATCTGATGCACTTGGTTCAGCGCTTCTTCGTAGGTGGGCGTCAGAGGTGTGGGCGGCTTCCTTGCCTGACTGGCCATTGTGATTGTCTCGACCTGTATATTATAGTGTGATCCGCTGGGTATTAAGTTTCAAATCACTCGACGACGGCCCCCCGCGAGATCTGTACCTGATCATGAGAGTGTCCGACCCTGTTCTCCAGCAGGATTGGATTGCAGGTGTATGTTATACCCGTGGCGTCTGAGAGAGACAGCCCTGGAATTCTCACGTGCCGGCTCAGCATCCCAAGCCCAAAGTGCGTGCCACGGTCATGAAGGGGTCGGGTCACAGTCCATCTTGCGACTTAAAGCAAAAGACGAAGGTGAGACTGCCAATGCCGGCAAAAACCATCCAAAAATACCAACTGACTCCTGCTGCGCCTGGCAGATTCGAATGAAGAGAACGAAGAGGAACTGAGGCAGACTCGATGCGCTGTGTTCCGGCAAGTCCATGTCCCACACGCGGCAGTTTGAACGTTGTAGGCCACGACTTCGGCTCCACCAAAGAAAAGAATCATGCTCTGGCCGTTCTTCCACCACGGCAGCGACTCCGGCATGATAAGCTTCCCCGAAGATGTAGTCGAGAGCAGGCCGAAGCCATCTATCTTGGAAAGGCCGCCGGAACTTGATGCTACTGCTGGAGGGTATCAGGATACTCAAGGTTATGAGACGATTGTGAAGCCACAAATCTTCAGCGTGGGGGATGTCGCTGGCGGACCGGCCAGTGCCATGGCGTCCAAAGTGTATTGATCATGATCGAGCATGTGATGAAAGACAGTTGGGCTGTCGAGCGTAGCTTTATCAGCTCAAGGTTCTCCAGTTACCTAAAGAATCCTTGCGGTGTAGCTCTCTCAGCAGCGGATATGCATCTCGGCGTACGCTCCGGCGATCGTATATGTCCTCTCGATGCTGGGAACCGTTTGGGTGGTCAAAGTCATCGGTCTATACCAGAGGCGATGGCTGAACGCAGTCCAGACTCGTGTGTTTCGTTCACGTCGGCCTTGCTGCATTCTATAATGCCAGCAACGTTTCTCGGTCGGTCTCGTTCGCTTGTCGAGAAGCCAGCCTCGCCGACAGTTCCGCGTATAGGCCAGTGGTGACGGCGTTGACTTGGGTTTCGTAGGGCGTGCTCGACCAGATGACGCCGCCGGCCATGTCGGTGCCTTTGATGACATACGTACCTGCAGGGATCACAAAGTGGTTGACGTGCTCCCAGAGAAGATGCGGAAGCGCAGCCATTTCTGGAGAAGGGGGATCCAGCGGAACGACCACTTTTCCGTTTCGGTGAAGACGTGGTTCGGCTGAATCAGATGGCCATGTCAGATGGAGGAGTTCTATACCCAAGTAACCTCTCTGACCTCCTCTCCTACCAGGCGTTGGTCCCGTTCTCGGCGGGTATCTGACAATCACGGACTGGCAGGCCTTCGAGGCCGTCCATGAAAATGGGCCAGCAGAGATCAATCCGAAGGAGATGAGACGCTTGGGGGGTTGCGATCTCACCGACCTCCAATGCCAGGCATGGTGGATGTCGATGAAATCAGCCCTATACTTTAAGGTCAATGTACCAAGATGACTGGACTATAATCCAGAGTCCAACTTGATAGCTCCAGACCTAATGAACAAATTTTCCAGCAACAAGTCAACAGCGCTTCTTTCAACTTCTTGCAAAGATTCCTTGATCCGGAAACTCTCGGATGGAAGGTATGGACGATTTGACGGTGCTTCTGGGTTGAATCAGTTCACTTCGACCTGCGTATCGATTGATGTGAGATAGGTGGACAGTACCCTGAATTCTTCTCCATATGGCATATTCACAATCCTTGCCTTCGCTGAGTTGTGCAGCTACGTGGAAGCCGAGTCCAGCCAAACAGGTAGCACATGACAGGTTCAGTAGGAACGAGGCCAAACTATTTGACGCAATGATGGAGACCATCGACGAGGTCTTGGTCACTTACATTGTTGGCCGCAGATATCGAGAATAACTGGCAACGATCGAGGGCTCTCCAGGCTCAAGTGGACCATCTGATCATGCCGGAGAACTCAACGTCCAGGCCAAATACCGCGGCCTTTTGAGAGCCAATCGCAGAACAAACATCGAGAGGGTGGTTGAGCGAATGGGACTCTGTCTATCAGCTGGCGAAGCAACTCAAGTTGCCTGAGGTCGACAAGGACAGGGCACAGAACTATTTCCTCAATGCAATCATAAAGCTCGACGAGGGGTGGGCAAATGCTGAACGTGCCGTATTCGTTGATGCCCTAGACACAAGTAGACCCCTCAATTGAGAACCTGATCGCCAGTTACCGAAGGATCAGGGATATGAACCCAGGCGAGAGAGCCTTGCAGGCACATAGTTCTCGCTCTGTCCGAGGCTTCAGACGGAGCATTTGCAACCCTCCATGGCGTCAAGGACAAGACCCCGGAATGCCTCTGTGGCAGGAGACATTGGTATACAGACTGCTGGTATCTCAATGCTTCGATCAGACCATCAGGTGGGAAGCCCGATGATGAGATCGACCGAACGATCAAGGCGAAACTTGACGAGTCACCACGGCGAAAGAAGCACATCGAGAGGATCCTGAAAGCCGCATGGTCGTCTGCAAAGTCCAGGAAGGATGCCAATGGGACCAATGGCAGTAAGAAGATCTCCTTACTTGAGCCAGACGACGACGGGTGAGCGTTCTGGACTAGAGTCAGTAGGGACCTTTGCGGTAGGATCTGACTATGCAATGGGCTGTCAACGCCCTCAAGGACAACTGGATCCTGGACTCAGGATCAAACGTCCACATTACCAGTGATAGGAACGCGTTGTTTGACATGAGAACTCCTAGCATTGCCACAGAGATTGTGACAGGAACAGGCCACTGTGTAGCAGGCGCAGTTGGTTCTGTAACCACCAAGGATAACACGCCTGTTGGCCTGGAAACAATGACGATTACGGACGTGATTCATGTGCCAGGCTTCATGACCAACATCGCGTCCTTGTCAAGGCTGATAGCAAAGGCGTTCACTTCAGCACTGCGACTAGTCAATTGACTAGAAGTGGAATGCAAATTGCAATAGTTGAACCAGTGGCAGGCCATTGGATCGTGTCAGTTGACCATCAACCAAGACGCGCTGTCTTCGCGGTGGCTGCATGCGCACCAGGCACGAGATCCGAGGGACGGGAAATGGCAGCGCAGACAGACCCGGCGGCGTCTGCCATAGACAAGGCGCAGCAGGGCCACGATCTATCCGCGCTTTGACATGCTAGAATGGCCCATCCTGGCCTTGTCGGCGTGGTTGAGACCTTCATCAAGCATGTGGAATTGCAGTTCAATCAGCGCGTTCGGATCCTGCGGATTGACAACGACACTGCCCTAGGCCAAACCTTTGAGAACTTTGCACTCGCCAAACAGGCCTCAAGGTCGAATTCAATGCTCCTCACACTCAGGCGCAAAATGGGCACCCAGAACGCGCGGCTAGAACGCTCACAACCAAGGCTCGCGCCCTGAGAGTGGGTGCAAATTTGCCCCATTTCTTGTGGCCAGAGCTCGTGAAGATCGGCAGGATACTTGATGAATCGAACACCCATGATGCGGCTGAAAAGGACAGACACCATTTGATGCTCTCATAGGCCGCAAACCAAGCGCTAAACACCTGAGAATCGTCGGTTGTAAAGCGTTCTGTTTGACAAGGAAAATGGACAGGAAGATGAAGTTGGACGCGAAATCCTGGAAGTTCTGAGCGCCCCGATGCTGAGTTGACCGACGCTCACGATCAGCATTCCGTGCCTTCACTGTCTCTGAAGGCCGAATCTTGAAGCGTTCGTAATCAAATGGCTGCTTGAACAGGATGCCGCAGAGGGTCTTGACACGTAATACGGCGACGTAACTGAGTCCTACCGCGAAGTCTCGCTCCGTCAAGTCCAGGACGGCTCTGTCCACGGTCATTCCTTGAGCTTGATGGACTGTCATCGTGTAAGCCACTGTAATAGGGAGCTGCGTGCGGAACGGTTGACAGCGCCTCTGTAGAAGTTGCGCCGTGACCTGAAGATTGGGACTGCGCCGTCCTGGAATGTTCGGCCATTGTATTTGTCGAATTAGATGAGTAGAGCAAACCGAGGTTCTCGTCGCCAATCCACGGCCGGATTCTAGACGATATCGCGGACAGTTCCGAGAGCGCCATTGAAGAGGCCTCTCTCAACCCAGATGTTCTCTGTAAGCTCGGCTGAAGGGCCATGGACCTGACGCCAGTCTTCGAATGCTTCAGGGAACGTCTCGAAGCGCTCATCGTCCAGTCTCAAGAGCTCGTCAATCTCTCTGAATGGCATATGAAGAGTAAGCTTGATTCGTGTATCATTCTCAATGTCGCTAGGCTTATAGCCAGGGAAGGTAATTGAGGATCTATAGAGGCGCCGAGAGCGTAGTTGCATTTGATCTGGCCGGCGGAAGCTGTAAACGCGTAGGCTACCATTTGGAGGAATGAAATGCCCTCGAGTCCCTAAGGACGTCCCTTGTACTTCTATAAGGGAGACTAGCCGTGTTTGAGAGATTCTCCATCGTCTTCCAATCGATAGGTAGTAGCCTGCTAGGCTTCAGGACGACAGTCCACGAGCTGAATAGAACGACTACTAACTGAGAGAGGGAGATCCAGGGGGAGATGATACACTTCCTGACTAGTCTCGCTCGCCGAGAAGGCGGTTTATGGTCTTTAAGACGAAGGATGTTGACGGCCTGGTGGTGTTGAGATGAGAGGACGTTGAAGATTTTGCCACCTGGGAAGACGCACGACGTTGAGCTCCACTGAGTCGAGAACCTTGAGAACTGTCCAGACTTTGTCGAGCTGGATTCGTTGGCTGTTGATTATCCCAAGACCGGCATCCCTGCTGAGATGAGTCGAGACCTTGAACGGAACCCTCCGATCTCACCGAAGGATGTTGCTCTAATTGCCCTCAACTGCCCGTACATGAAGGAACCAGAGGCCTTTGAGGGAGGTATTCCAGGAGTCACAGCGCTGTCACTCAAGAGGGCACGGAGCTTGCGATGAGACACATGCAGAGAATTGAAACCCTGCATATCGAAGAACTTCTCGCCCGTGAAAACTGTCGACTGAAGGATCTCGAGGTCTAACTGTAGAACACGGTCAAGGACCTTGGGCTGAGGGACTTTGGAGAATACCTCTGCGGGCCCGCTTTGACTGACTGATCAAGAGAAGGTGTTGGAGAAGGCTGTCCGCCATCACGAGGTTAGGCTCGATGATCTCGTCGAATCCGAGTCTGTCGGCGACGTGCAACAGCTGTATCAGGACTATCCTGGCGAGCCTGCCCACGACGGAGAGGTGTGAAAGGCGTAGTAGTACGGGCTGCGGAGGCTGTAGCTTGAAGATTGAAACTTGGAGTTCGCTGTGCTGGTCCACGAGCTGGCGAGGTAGCGGCTCGTTTACTCCTTGCCGAATGACCGCGGTAAGTAGCGTAAGTAGCGTAAGTAGCGTAAGTAGGGTAAATAATGAAGATGGTGAAATGAAGTTGGTAGTGACAACGAACCTCGTCGCCTTATCGTCTTGTTATGCTGTTATACTGTCATGCTGTCATGTTGTTATTTTGTCTTCCCATCATCTTGCGGTCTTGTCGTCTTGTCATGTTGTCGTCTTCTTGCCTGGTCGTCTGGTTGTCTGGTCGCCTGGTTGTCTGGTCGTCTGGTCGTCTGGTCGTCTGGTCGTCTGGTCGTCTGGTCGTCTGGTCGTCTGGTCATCTTGTCACCTCGTTGTCTTGTTATGTTGTCATGTTGTCAGTAGCGCAGCCACAACGCCCCGGCGAGATCATCTCTCTCCTCGACTTCAACCATCGCGATGAAGGCTCTCGTGACCGACTAGGCGAGATCCAATGTCCCGTCTTGACACGGGCTGGTCGAACAGGCCGCAGTCGCCCACGCCGTCGGGGATTGGGACGAGGTTGGACGCCACGATCGAGCATGAACCAGTTGAGTGCTGTGCAGCCGTTACGCTGGTCTCAAACGTCCTCGACTTCCTTCGCTCGAAAGTGAGTGAGCGCATGTATAAAGGTCGACTCCATGCATGCGAAGGGGGAGTAAGACAGTTATGAGTAAGGGATTAGAAGGGCCAGTACACTCCTTGTCCAAGTATGTCCAGAGACCAGAGACCTCCAGGTGACCGTCGGTATCTGCAGATGCTCGAAGAAGGAAGGACCGCAACAAGGATCTTGTGTGAGTCCCATACGCCCGCCCAGCACGTGTGGACGTCGCTTGTTTCGACAAGACGGGGGGGGCGTAGACCCAGCATTCCGTCGAGGTCTTTGGCCGCTTTGGTGGCAGGAGTCGGGGACTTCCTGCTCGTGGGCAACGTGCTTGTCCTCGTCCTCGTGGGAGCCATTGTCGGAGCCACTTCGCTTGTAGTCAGATTGGGGGTCTTGATGGACTTTTGCGTGCGCGCTGATCAGGCCAATCGAGAGAGCGATCAAAGATGGCTGGCCACCGCCACGTTGAGGCTCGGGCACGACGTGTCTGTGCCCAAGATGAAGAGATGACCCATTGGAGTGCAGCTGTGGCTTGGAGCCCGGGCTGATATACCCAATGGCACGGCCTACTCTGGCTGTCTGGGTTTCGGAAGGCTTGTTCGGCTGCCAGGGTAGGGGATGGTCAGGGGGTAATAGGCTCCTTAAGTAAAAATATCAATCGAGGAGAAGATGCCCAGCAACGGGCCTTCAAGGATCGCCCCCGGTTGCTGTAACTGAGTTATGCAGGTCACTCTTTGTTTTTTGGGGCTTTTCTGGGCTTCTCGTTGCCTGTCTCTCGTTGCCTGTCTCTCGTTGCCTGTCTCTCGTTGCCTGTCTCTCGATGACCAGACGACGACATTACCAGACGCCAGATGGCCAGACGACCAGACGACCAGACGACCAGACGACAAGAGAACGAGAAGGCGAGAAGACGACAACATGACAACATGAGAAGACAAGACGCTCAGACGATAACATGATAAGACGAGAAGACGAGGAGTCGAGGAGTCGAGGAGTCGAGGAGAAGACGACAAGACAAGACAAGCGTTGGGTCTGTCTAATGCGTGGTGTGTTCGGTGTCATCGAAGGGGGTGTCCGTCCGTATCTGTGTACGGAGTGCGTGTAATATAGATATCGAAGGGGGCCCAGCTCTCTGATGAGCGAGTGAGCAGTGTTTTTTAACCGACTTCTGCCTCGCGTCAAGCTTCACTCTCGATCGCCCCGATCCTTCCAACAGCTGTGTACGAATTCGAGCTCAAAGCCTTTTTGTCTTGGAAATCCCTTTTGCCCTGGCTCTGCATTTGAAGAGCAATATAGAAGACGACCACATGTTTAGCAGCTACCCACATGATGTACTCGGGCAATCAACAATTGACGCCTTCACTTTCCAGTGACCTCGAGGATGCCGACATGGTGGCTGTCGTCATGGGACCGACTGGGGCCGGCAAGTCGAGGTTTCATTGCTGAAGCCTCAGGGGCTCAGTGTCGACATTGGCGACTTCTCTCCCACAAGTCGACAATTTGTTGTTCAAGGTTTCTCGTGGATTCGCTCGGGCGCATCTTTTATTGAAGAAACCGGCTGGAACTGGCTGGGAAGTGACATATCCATGGACAGCTGACCATGACTGGGATCGTTGGATATTGGCCTCTGAGAGTGCTCAAAGAAGCGTAGAGAGAGCAATCTAACTGCCTCCAATATCCATCCCCGTGTCCTCGACCGCCTTGTCCATATAAATATGTCTTTCTCTTGTCTCTGTTCCCAACCGGCCTCTTGAAGTGTGAATGGCTTTGCGTGATGCGTCGACGCTGGGTTCCTGACCCTTGTGGGCGAATTCAACGTCAGCATCGCAATATTCGTCTTGCCAGATCCGGTCGGCGCACATATTAGTATGTTCCCGTCGTCGTGGAAAGCAAGACGGGAAGCACTTCGTCTGGGTCCACCGTAGGTCGTCGATGCTTCTTGGTGCCGACCGCCATAACCACCACCACCACCACCGGAGGAGTACCCCTCGCGGCGTTGCTCCTAGTGGCGGTAGCCGGGGCCATACTGGTTATGTCATCGTTGGGCCCGCCATGTTGGCGCTCTTCCATCGACCATCGACAGTGTTGATGCAGAGAGAGAGCGCAGCGTCCTCTTTGCGAGCATATGTCGCGTAAACGCAGAAATACAGCTGGGACGTCCAAACGAGACGCCTTCGATTGTGTCTGGCTGTTACTTTGTGCCAGTAACCAACACCCCGTGGCTAGATCCCCGGTCCAAATCTCCGCGGCGGTATCAACAAGTGACTGAACAGGTGGGAAAAAGTCGAGCCCTGAAGTGTGTCTATATGGTATTCAGTCTCCCGCAAGCTTCTTCCCAAGAGGCACATACATGGCTCTGATACGGGTCAGTAGTCGTTCGGTGGACGGTGGTGGTCAGGTTTTTGCTGATCTCTTTCCGATGCGATAACACTTCCCCCGGCGCTCGTGGTGGCTTCTCTTCTCCACCGATAACAGGGATTCAATCATTCAATCAGTCGGTCAGTCAGCTGGTCAAGACCCTATCCATCTTCTCGCATTCACTTACGAAACCCTCCACGTCCACGGCCAATGTATGGTTTTCGTATCCTTCTAAGCCCACCTCACAGCATTCATTCTGCGTCCGGATATCGCCCTTTTGCCCACTCAAAGATGGCACAGTTATAACGCCAATCCATCTGATATCAAGATCGAGTGGCATGAACAGTAGTACTTGCTGAGATGCCTGGTAGGAACGAGGTCGTGGGAGTATTCTTTATGGAGAAACAGGCTTCAAACGCCGAGATCGTTGGGTCATTCGGACAGCGATTGGGGCGATAAATACCCAGTAGACACGGAGTTGACGGTCAGGGTATCTGCTAACGCTGGCGAATGGACCAATTACGTAGTCTTCCAGGAAGTAGAGAACACCGGCGTCGTGGTCGATAGAGGGGGAGTACATCAGTGAAAAATGTAACGAAAGAGGCCGTTTACTCGAGGTAGTTCCAGCGTGAACTCGGACGCGAACAGGTTCCAGCGACGAGGATCCATGGGGATAACCAGGCGGCGTTGGCGCTGGTATAGACGTTGGTAGGCCATAGCAAGACTAGGCACGTTGAGTTCCAGTACCATTACACCAGGGAAAAAGTGCAAGACTCAACGATGGCGTTTCTCATTCGTTCCAACGACTGAAATGGCTGCGTAGCCACACGGGACATGGTGTGTGAGTGACGATTCGCTCCAGGAAACATGGCTTACGCCAGAGATATGTTCTGGGAAAGGGACGCTCCGTGCATTTTAGTAGAGTCTGGCGTGACTCTCCTCGTATGTCTGCGTAGTTTTCGGTTTTCTCATGTAACAAACCACCAACGACGTCTGCAGACGATGCCCAACATCTCTGCTGCCACCGCGTTATCCGTGGTGAGTCATTCTGCACCTTCAGTAGCCATCAGCCTGGTCGTTCGGGTCATTGGCGAGGATGCTGCAGCGAGCCTTGAAGCAGTGGGAGACTCGCTCCCCTGGTACGAAGAATAGACTATTACAGGAGTAATGGGGAAAAGCGCCGTTGAATCCTGTTCAGTTCAGCAAGTTCGGAGAGATGGTCGGGATGACAACGCTGGAACGAGTCACGATCGGAGAGAAACAGTGATCGCTTGCTCCCTCCATGCCGGTCCTTCAGGCGACTAATTACGTCGATCCAGCTACCTCGGCCATAAACCCATATGGAACCGGCGGCAGCGTTGTGAGGCGGCGACAGAATCAAGTCATCACACTCACATCATGTTCGGATTCTTGTCGTTGGTTCCCCCGGTCCCTCCGGCAAACTCGAGGGAAGGAGAGGCTTGTTCCTAGGCACATTGAAACCACGTCCGGGGCATGAGGCTGGATGGATACACCTGGATTCGCCGCTTCGAGTGACGCTTTGTACTGTTGGAAGGGGTGGCGTGGTGACCTCTGCTTCGACCAAGTCCAAGAGCCAGCCACACTGTAAGTAAGCTATGGCCCGTCACAAGAGCCAGCCCAAATCTTGCCTGTACGCTGTATGCTGTACTCGCTACAGGTTAAGGAAAAGTAGCTTCCACCCAAACACCGGCTCCTTATCTCCCCATGACCCCAAAGTAGGGAGAAGCAGTGGACGACTCGCTTCCTTGGCACGAAGAATGTACCAAGGACTTGGGCTAGGACTGGACCATGGACAGGAGTAGGAAGCTAAGCGCCGAAACTCAAAGAAGTTTTCGCGCTTCACGTGTCTCGGAGCGATGGCGAGAGTGTCAATATCAGAGCCTGATGACTGTTAGCGTCATGATAGCGTAGCGACGTCAAGAATTCTTACCAGGTCCAACGACACCTAGACGATAACTGCCGTAGGGATAGACCCTGATGCCGAAGGTATTGATCTTCGACGGAGGTAGTCCATGTTTCCGACTGACCTCACGGACGAACTCCAGAGTGACCTTTTGCTCAAGAGCTCGAGAACATGCATCCGCTTTTCTGTTCTCTTTTTGCCCTTCATAGTTGTTTTCCCTCTCGATGATCGAGTAGTGTCCACCGTTTGATTATCCACTGCGCACCTGGACGTGGATTCCGCCAGGGTTCTGTAGTTCTGCAGTTCTGTCGACGCTTTCCAACTCGGCTCTTGCAACTGCGATGGGCTTGATCTCTTTCGGCGGGTTGAGGCGAATCACGGCGACGGTGCTTTGCATTGTTGGTATCTGATGATCATGATGAGGATCAGACTCTTCCACACATTACCTTGCAGTCCCCCGATGCTGAAGCTTGCTGAGTGACCTCTTCTTCGAAACGCTTAGAAGGCCAAGAGCCATAGCGATCCACAAATCTATCCGGGATGTACGCGGCCACAGGGTGCTGTAACTCCAAGGAGCTTCGAAAGTGTCTATAGAGACTCTGTTAGTCGTAGAACGATGACTTGGACAACTTCGAGATCTGGGAGAAGCTCGTTCGCGCCGCCGAGGCCCTCGAGGGCAGAAATAACAGGAACTCAAGTTCTCAAAATCAACCGGCTTCCCGCAGTTTCTGCTGGTCTAAGTAAGTCGCCCATCTTGGTCCGGCCCGGGAAGAGAGGGCGCTTTTGCCGTAGTCGGGGTACTCAACGGCCGATCTTGCTCGCGTACGAATAACAAGTGGGAATTTCTCTACCTGCAGTCTCGCGCCACTGCAGCTTGTCGATGATCTTGACATCGTCCTCGAACCGGAACGGCGCGCTTGTCGTATCACCAACAACTTCTCGGTCGAATCCACCTTCTGGCACGCCTCGGGCCAACAAATCCGGCATAGAGACCTCTGCAGATGGTGCCTCGTACATTCCGTCTTCGACAAGGGCAGGCGGTTGCAGGTTCGCTGGTCGTCGTTAGTTGCAGCTGTTGCTCGCCTGCGCCAGCTCCTCTCTCCGATTGGTTCAAGGGGTCACTATCGTGTGCTTCCCGCTCGTTGCGGTCGTATCGTCGCTCAAGAAGTTGTCGAAAGTGACCAAGAAGAAATTCAAACACCAATCCGGGATGGGAAATGCAATCCTAGCAGATACATGAAACGATTGCCTACCTCGTCGGCCAACACCGCCAGCTAGTATCTCGGATGAAGAGTCAGAGTGCTCTTTTGTCGTCTCGATATTCTGGATCCACGAGTCGTGGCACGATTCAGCTCATGGGCGAATTCACGGCAAAGGGCGATGCCACAATTGCAAGAATGCTCCGTTCTAGCACTTCCGATGACGACTCATCGACCACACGACCTCCTCGCTCCGAATCTAATCGCTCTATTGCTGCTGGTCGTGGCTGTAGACCATTTCACATCCTGATTATGTGAAGGAGACTCGTTTCGCCCGTGGAGCGCTTCGTGCCCGACTAGAAGACCGTAGAGGTGATGATTTCCGTCCGCGATAGTCGGGAACGCGAAGACAATGCTCTTAGTCAAGGGCTCAGCTACCCATGTACATCTGCTGTGCCCCGGGGTTCGAAAGATCCATGCCGGTGCATCTTTACTCGTCAAAATCCGATCCGATGCCGCCAGACCCTGAATCGAGGTATTGCCAATGGCAAAGGCACTTCGCTTGGGAGCTTTGCCAGCTCTCACTCCGTAAACCCGATCCGCATCTCCAAGACGTTCAATGAATAGGCTTCGCAATATGTCGTGGAGAATATTGCCGACCTCGAATACGCACGATCGCTAGTTAGGGCCCGCGCCGCCGTCTGTGGAGACTGTGACCTCTGTCTGGACGACAAGGAGGCGTACTGCCGAAAATCGCAGATCCAGTGGCCACCGCAACGAGATCATCGAAGGCCGCGAACTCTGCATTGCCGCGCTGGGGGGCGAACGACCCTCTCAGTCCTGGTCCGCGACGACCTCGACATGAGATGCCGCACCAAAGACCACGTCACGCTGCAAAATATCCTCTTGGTCGGGCATAGCCGTAGGCAACGGGCCCTGCACCTGAACTTGGAATCCGCCCGGGTTTTGTAGTTTCTGCAGTCTCTTTCGATGCCTTCCAACTCGGCTCTTGCAACTGCCAACTCCCATGGCTCGATTTGTTTCGACGGCGTACAATGGTCAAGAGGACGACTTTGTGTTTTATATTGACTCTTAAAGGACTGGCCGTTGTATAACCGGACCGAGATAGCACCAGAACATCCACGATGGATTTGATGATCATGTTCAAGTGGTGACTATGGCGCAAAGAAGAGAGACGACGGCCGAGGAATGAACTGTATCTAGATGGACGAAACCAGCACACCCGGCTTCCAACTCCTGGATCTAAGCACGCGCCGCAGGCGTTTCCAACGAGGGCAAAATCGGCCGATCTATGTTAGTGTGATGTCATGTCTTGATTGGAAGATCCGGCTAACCTTTCCGATGGGGTTAAGGGCAACGGCCTTATCCCCTGCGTGGGCAACAATGCCGAAAATGCCGAAGAAAGTCTTGGCATTCTCCCCGACGTCGATCCATGGGCCTTCAAAGCAACGTCATACTCAATTAAAGGTTCAATTGCTATTATTTATATATTTATATAGGGATTTGGAATGTCCATAGCCTATAGCACTGCTGGTTGGGTACATAACCTATGTAGGCATCACAGGAAGTCACAGTAGAGAATACAACCTCAGGTTGCCCAGGCGCCGCCTCCGTGGCCTTGCCCTGGTTGACTAACTACCTGCTTACAAGCGCCGTTCCGTGAGCGTCTCGCGCCCTCTGGAAGCAGCTTACCCGCCAGGGTCGCTTACGGCCCCAGACACAATATCTCAGGGCGCTTGCGGCGCTCGATCATATGTGTAAACTGGTGATTTCGAACACCTGGTAGTTGAGAGTGTCCGAGGCCAGGACCCCGGGGCCCCGTGGCCAATTCCTCCCTGGAACGATCGATGCTGTCAAGTAAAGGCTTTCGATTTGGCCCTCTTCTTTCGGGGGCCTGTTTGCCTGGGCCAAAGTAGAAAAGAGTTAGTTTCACAGGGTAGACATCAGCTAGCCACTCACAGGCTTGGTGTTGATCCGGCAGGATCTGAGTAAGGTTATGGCATTGGTCTGTCTGCCTATGCCTCTTCTCAGGCCAGGGTCTGATCGTCTATATGCAAGATGCTAGGTGTCAGGAAGGACCTCTCCCGAGTCCTGCCATGCCGCAAGGCCTCCTGGCATTAGGGCGCATTCAGGGCATAGCCTGAAGCGCTGGTGGAACGATAAGCTGTCTCAAGCGCAACGGGATGTGTGATTGTGTAGGTATGCGTATGTGTAGGTATGTTTAGGTGTAGGTGTGTGCGTGTGTGTGATTGTGCGGGTGTGTGGGCCCAAGGTATCTAGTTTCAACACCTCTAATAGCTAGATGACCGTTTGGCGGCGAACGGGCGAACGTATTGCTGCTGATGATCAAGTATCAGCCGTCGCTATGATCAGAAACAGAGACGCCAGAAGGGTTGGCTGAGAGGCCGTTTGTCTGATGCTTGCGTTTGGCTGCTTGACTGGCCCGTTTAGGTATGCGTATGTGTAGGTATACTTTGGTGTAGGTGTATGCGTATGTAGTAGATTGGTTCCAGGAGGGTAGGGGTTTACTCCAAGCGATGTGTAGCTATCAGAGGGAGAGGTATCGAATCGAATCGTCGGTATGTACAAATGGCACAGGGTGGATAGAAAGGTCGTACGCCGCCCGCGGTTATCTCGCCGTATGTAGGCCATGGCGGAACCAAGTAAATATGAAGGACTCGGGTTGAAAACGAAGGGGTCGAACTACCGCATGAATGGTCGATGCTATCTTGTCTCTGTTCTGTCTGTCTCGATGTCTGATTGCATGATGACTTGGGGGATGTTATGCTTGATGGATGACAGAAGGTGAAAGTGCTACCATTGCCATTGAAATACTCTGGTGGGAGCGCTCAGCCTCGCAGCCGTGCATCCCTGGACCGATCAGGGCTCTCCTTTTGGAATTTCTGACGTGGGCCCCAGCACACGGTGTGTGTATGTATGATAGAGAGACAGAGACAGGGAGAGAGAGAGAGAGAGACACACACACAGAGAGAGAGAGAGACAATCTTGGCGGAAAAGAGGATCAAAGAGCTCAAGGGGAACAGCTGAAAGCAGGGTCGGCATCTTTCTCCACTCCAAGCGTTCTGCTGTGATGCCATGCCATTGTTTCAGCTATTGTACGTATGTCCGAGCCGGAAGGCCTCATCTTTCCATGCCCGGAACGAGACTGTTTCCATGATATAACTGTTAGCTAGACAATCTCCGCGGTTCGGGGAAGATACCCTACTTAGTGTAACCGGCGTTTGGACCTTTTGTCTTTAAAGGCGAATTGGTTCACTGCGTAGACCCAAGTAGGTGAGACTCTTGTCGGCATTTACTGAATGCCTCTTGAACGTGGAACAGAAGACATGTAGTTTCCAAGTATGCTTTTAAGTATGCTCTCCGGTACAGCCAGTCACCTGCGGGACCACATCCGTATCCTTGCGTTGCGTTTGGTGTAGGCCACAAAGATCGTCACAGACCATTGTGGGCAAAGCGAAGCGGTCCCCGTTCATCGTGACATGGATTTGTATGAATCGGAGGTGGCGGTGGTGGTTTTTGAAGCTCACGACTTTTGATTTCCAAACAACAAATACGCGAGGTATGGACGAGGGAGGTACGTAAGTTGGACGTGGAATGTAGCGAGGAAGATGTGGCGAGAAGCGAGCTGCGAAAAAGTCAGTCCAAGTATGCAAGACAGGAAGAGAGAGAGAAGAATATGACCCTTGAATTGATGCCATCAGGGCAAATCGGTGCACGGCCCATCCCAGAGCAACGCGAATGGCCATCATGTGTTGCAACCGCGCCAGGACCAGTGGCCACACGCGGCGGCGTTGAAGCCGATTTCAGGAGACGAATGGCTCCGTAGGTGGTTGGCGAATGGGAGTGTGACAACTTGATTAGAAAAGCGGTGATGAAGTTGGCGGTTCCGTATCGCCGTCTCCAGGCGTTGTAATCTGTGCCTTCGAAGGATCTATATATTTCCAATGCTTCAGGAGCTGTGCTTTGGCCAGGGAAAGGACTGCCTGAGCTAATCGACTAGGTCAACGCCGTTCATGTGGTGTTGGTTGTAGGCGTCAATCACGGTAGGAATAGACTAGGTAGTTCCTTGCGGACTTGGTTGCCGACGACCGGCATTCGCTGAGGTCTTGTTTGGCCTCTCTTCCTGAGCCTCTTAACTGAGGCCCACTCTCCTCCTGTAGACTGAACGCGGTGGTAACGCCGAGAACAGCGTTATTGTCCTTGCTGGAGAAAGCATCGGGCCTATTCCTGCCTTCATTGCTGTGTTTTGGCGTCCATTTGAGTGAGCGATTAGTCTCGCACAGGCACCTGGAAGGTTGGTGCCAACAAATACCGTACCTAACTCAGGTACATACATCATTGTACCGGCGATTCGAGCGTCTTTCTTTTTGTGCCATTCCTCTGTTCGATTGCGGCCCAAGTACCAACAGCGAATCGTGTAAAAAGGCTCCGGAACGGCCTTGAAACGCAATCATGCCTTGGTCGATCGATAACCAGGGTTCGCTGACACAGTAGATTTCTGGCCCTTGGCACGGATAATACCCGACGTAACAGGCTCTGATTTAGCTGATATCGGTGCCCGCGAGTAGGGATCTCGTTGGTGTTGATTGCGAGGAATCGGTGGATTTGGTTCCCATCGATTCCTTTCCCCATATCAGGCCAATGCCTGATCCGTAGCCTCATGCGCCAGTTTCGCGCCCAATAGTCGATCTGACGCTGTTTTCATGTGAATTTCCCATATCGATGAGTATTCCTAGCTATCGAACGAATATCTCCGATAGTCAATTGGTTCCATTTTCCGTTCCGCAGACAGGATTGATACCCGGGGCCATTGTCAAGGTAGCAGGCGAAGTCGATGTGATTGAGATATTGGCCAACAGAGATGAGAATGAGGCGATCGAAGCTGTCAGGAAGACTGCAATTGCGACCGCTATAGCGAATGGGGCAGACGAACAGGATGTCAAGATCGTCAAGATCAAGAAGATCCCGCTTCAGTATGTGACCAACAAAGCCACGAGGTTTGCCATGAAAGCCGTCGGAAGTCTTCGGGCCAGGGACGATGCCGTTCAGAATGGCTTCGCTAACGGAACAATCGCCCAAGCGCAGGAAGTGGATGATGACACGACGCAAGAGGCGACGGAAACCCGAGGCGACAGACGTGAGGGTTGCGAGCCATTTCACGCGTTGCACGATCATTGGCCGATTGGATATTCGCCGACGCCGATTCCTAGCCAAAGAAGTTGATGAATAGAGGTCCAACGGGGAGGTACAGAGTCCCCAAATCAACCTCCGCGGGTGTGAAAGAGAAGCACGGCGTTGAAGGATAATCTCGCTCAAGACGCAGAGCTGCCCGACTTCGAAAGCACCGTGAGCGAGTACCAGATCCTGACGGATTCGGAGAGCTCGACTCGCCGAATAGCGAAGTCTCAGAAGATGATTCCCCCGAAGGAGGTAGGAGCTCAAGCTCGCACAGTCGTGATCCTTTCGTGGTCTTGCTCAACATGCCCCTGCCTGGTGCGCCGCGTGTATCAAAACGTGGGTATGATCAATTATGTTTTCTTGATGCCTGCACGGCACGTCCATCATTTCGGTGCGCCACACCAAGGCCCTGGCCCTTTGAAGGGACCAAATCCTGGGGTGTTGTCTTGGGCTAAAAGCTCCCCAGCTGGCTTCTTGGTCGCTGGCTTCTTGGTCACGATGGCCAAGGCCAAGGACTTCATGATTGGCCAAGCTGTGAAGACCCGTCGAGGGCACCGCATGATCTCTCGAGAGGCTTCCAGAATCGTTGCAGCTGGAGTTCTCGCGGGAGAGCTCAGTCTCTGTAGCGCCTTCGCGGCCGGCCATCTGGTCATGGCACACGTGGCACACAACCGCAGGACGCGATCGACGTGTTCAAGCGGTCGCTCAGCATCATCAGTGAATACGCACCGGCAGACCCTCAAGCATCTCAACCGGCCCATCCGCGCCGCCTCGTAGACGATCAAACGCGGTGGTCACGCCCTGGCGGAGACCCATCCCGACACATCTCGAGTAGACGTGCCTTGCGTAGTCGGTATCGCCGCGGAGGATGGTGGATTGTCCCAAGAGGTTTGCTGCATCGTCACTCTTGTAATCAGCCACGTGAAATGAGGTGGTGGGTTCAATGAACGAGGAAATCGGTGCTTCTCTTATTTAGTCACAAAGGCACCGATCGAGTGCGGTCACCGTCAGACAATCAGAGGGTCTTTGTACGTCGCCGCATCCTCCTCGAGGGACCGCTGAGTGAGGAGAGGACATTCTGAATGAAATCGCGACATCCCATCAATAGCTGGGCCACTTGCCACTTTCACAGGAAGATTTCGGTGCACGAGGACTTGGATGGAAGTCGGGCAAGTCGTCGTAGCCACGGGGCCTCTGGCGCTGCCGTTCGCCGCTCCGGTCTCAAGGCCTCGCCGATTCTTGTCATAAGACGCAGACAAAATAGCCTTTGTAAAGTAGACCAGGCTAGGCTATCATGGACGCTCCTGAATCATCCCTGAGGATGCTGTTCAACCAAGCAAAGAAACAGCAAGAAGATTTGGGTGGCCTCGACTCCCTGGAGCGCAAACTTCAAGGATACCTTTCAATCTCTCATCGACAACCTCGAACAGTGACGCAAATTGACCCAAGACCTCTCTTTGCGAGGTAGTGATGACGAGGTGTCGATAGTGAGGTGGCGAGGGCGAGGTGTCTCCAACGCCTACGGCGACATGAGGAATGTGTTCCCGAACCGGTTCATCACGGCGAGCAACGCGCGCTACGGCGTCTGGGGCAACTGGAACTCCTGGTACAACGTACAGGACGCCCCGCAGGCCTGATCACCTGGCCTTGAATTGTGTCGACAAATGACACTCGAACTGGTGGATTGTATGCGGGTTCTCTTTCATCTGCGCGTGCCTCAGGCCCCCTCTCTTCTGGGCAATTTCCACGCGTTTTTTTGGTGGCGAGGAATGGCACTGGATGGTCTGTAACCCAAGTTATCTCTGTAGGCCATGCCGTTCCCAGCCTGAATCTGTGATTGTTCGCATGTTTCCAAGAACCTCCCAGCCTTCGCCCTGTAGAATAATGCCCTTGATCTGTCGCCGGAATTCGGCCCTGTAGTTCGTTTGTGAGGGTAGCGCCTGGCGAGCCAGTCCAAGGTAGATAACCACGTTGCGATCGTCATCGCCAGGCCGGAAAGGTGGGTTAAATGGCGGTTCGCGTTCATAATTCGCTGTAGCGGCCCGTGGCACCTTTGCTACCGGAGCAGAACTGGATGGTGAACGCCACTACCACTACCGGGTTGCGATTTGCACGCTATTCAAGCCCGTCTTGCCGGCCCTTTTGGTTTATGTAGTTATTCTTTGTCTTGATGACTCTCAGGAGTAACGATCCTCGTATCTCTTCGATCGTTGCGGAGGCCATTTGCGGAGTGATTCGAACCACACGCGAATCGATTGGGTATTCAGGCGGAGACGTGGCCCTCGTCTATCGGTAGACAGGTTCTGCCGTCATTCGGACATCGATCGCTCTGGCACTGCCACTTGGTAGTTCACTCATGGACGTAGATCTCGCCGGTAGCGACGTTCAGTGGTTCCTCCGCCGCAATCGACTGGCGCTGACGCTGAGTCGTAGCGCTCGGTCTTCGTTCCCTCCTCGTCGCGTCTACGCCTTGCCTGCCTTGAGTCCTGTAGCCGTGGCGGTGTAACTGGACTGGCCTCCAACTTCTCGAGGTTCTCAGACAGCGGCGAGAAGAATTGGTTCGGGGTGGACGTAGGAGGTGTTTTCCCGGATAGCTGGACCCAAAATCAAGTTCGATGAAGACTCTAAACATAGCAGGCCGCCTGAATGAGAAATGACAACTATCTCAATGGCTTCCATCCACGTAGTTGTATCGAGGTCCCTGTCGTCTTTTTTACCTGTACTCTCTTGGAGAGTTCCAGGGACTTTTCCCTACCATCACAGAAGTGGCTATTGTGAATGAAATCTTGGCCATTTCCAAGAGTTCCATGACTGCAGAGTCTGTTTGTCTTGTTTTTGAGGTCCTTTTACTCCTTCACGTTGTTCTTCGGCCTGTGGTTGATAGAAAGGCGGAGGGATAGATGCACTTGTAGCAACAGCATCACCGCTCCGAGGCTGCGCCTCGAAACCTGGCTACCAATGTCCGGTTATCGAGTTATTCTGGCCCATCTAGATCATTCGATATGTGCAAGCTATGGGTCCTCGTCAAGGATCTGAGACGGGAATAGCCATTGCGAGTTCTCGGGAGGTGTAGGAACCGCGGTACATTGCTCTCCTTGAGCGCCGCGCAGGCGATCTCTCTCGCCTCTTCAGGTTCGGCCAACAAATACAGGCTCAGATTCGCGCGCCGCAGCCCTCACAGGACTAGGAACAGGCGATCGCGCCCAGGTAGAGGCGTTCGACGCGTTCGAGACGGTAGGAGGTGTTCGAGGCGTTCGGGCCGTTCGGGGCTTTGTTGAACGTGAGCCTGAGGCGCTGATCAGGTCTCCCAGTGTTTCCTGTTGTGTTGTGACTAGCTCAGCTGTACAGACTCCGGTGGCACTGGAGTGTCCTTTGCGAGTTCACTGGAGATCGGGAGACAGTATCCTTGAGGGTGTTGTCGTTGCTATCCCTCTGCGTGGCCAACAAGGCGGAGGAAAGTTGTGGCACCCAATCAACCCCGTCAGCCCTTTTTCCAATCCTGCTTGCCTTCCTACCTATTTTCTATAGGATTTCGAGCTTGGAATAGATAATTCAAAAAGCCGTGGTGGATTCGTCACCAAGATAAAGAAGGGCCTGAAGATCTTTTCGCAAAACGAGGAATTACCGTCAGAAGAGCCTATAGTGGCCGTCGGTGACCTTTGGTCTTGAGCCCGGAGACCTCGATCCTGCCAGCGGTTGTGGGATGGACCTCTATATCAAACTCTTCCTTGAGGAGATGGCAGACCTGGTTTACAGCAAAATTGGGAAATCCTCAATAAACTGGTCGATTGTAGCCAGTCATGGCGCCGGAATGGACTGCTCCTGGGAAGGCCTCGTACTACGGCTCCCCGAAAAGCGGACAGACTCCTGCCGTCACAGGGTATCCTACCGCTCCTCCGCCGCCGCCGCGTGTCGCGTTCCTCGAGATTGACGTTTCGGACGACTGGAAGCAGCTGGAACAGCTGTTTGGGGGCCATGCGCGCGGGTTTGGTAGGGGTGTGAGCTTGGATTCGCCTCGACCGTTTCTTCCAAATTCGACATGGGGAGTTCGTCGTCCCGAGGAAATTTCGTGGCTGCATCGCAAGGGTTTTGTGTGACGTTAAACGGCAGCTTGAGTGGAGGCTTGCCATCCTGAATGAATGAATGAAGACTGACGGAGTGACGGAATGAGTGACTCAACGAACGACTGACTGATTGACTGACTGACTCACTGCCTTCCCAGCCGGCTGTTTCTGCCAATGACTGAATAGATTCGATCCTCCAACCTAGCCAGGTTGCCTGGGTATGTAACATATTGAACTCGCTCCATTTGGTAGGTTTGATGATGATACGTGCCGGCCTCATTCCTCACTATCAACCATCAGAAGGGAAAGGAGAACAGGCAGTATGATAGACCAGCCCACCAAAAGGGGGAGTCGAACAGGCAGTATGCCAGAGGAGAGGAGGAAGAGGAGAGTATCACGGCGCAACCCGGAACAGGAGGAAATCTCCACCTGTCCTCCTGTTCTCAATCACATCCTCGACTTGCAATCACCATCACCACTTGGTTGTCGGACATGACTGCTCGATAGTCGATAGTGTACCACCCTCTTCAGATGCCAACCCCGCCGCCCATTTCACCGTCACCATGAAGCGAACGTCCGTCCACTCCCTCAAGTTATTTGTGTCACCCTTTTTCAAAGGCAGGCCGTAGCTACCACTTTTGATAATCTCGCCTCCACATCATCCAGACGCATGAGTTCGCGGGGTAGGGCAGGGCTTATCGATTCTGTCAATGATGTAGATCGCGATGCTGAAGGAGGGCGGATTGAGTAGGTTGCGGTGGGATACGAGGGACGAACTGGATCTCGGGGTCCAGCAGGAGAATTTTCATCGTTTGGCTTTGGGAAGCAGCGGCGCCTTGGCCGACCCTGGCCAGCAATCTTGGAGACGTAGCCTGAGATGGGCCGAGGCGACCGCATATCATCACGGGCGGTGACAAGGAGGAGCAGAGGATAGTGGTGTACCTAGGCAGGTAGTGAGTACAGACAGAGTAGTATAGCCAGGTATTGAGTACAGACAGATAGGGTGGAACAACGCTGGCATGGAACAACGCGGGCTTGGAGCGAGGGGCCAGCAACGATTCCTTTGTTCCTTGGACCATAGCATGGACCGGCATGTTGCACATTACAATGGAATTCTTCGAGATTGAGTCGCAGGCCAAAACCGTCCAACGGACGAGAGCCACAGCGGCGGCACAGGTGTCGTCAACGACCGACGAGGCTGGCATGGTGTTAACCAGGCTGGTATGGAATGAGGCTGCGATACTACGCGGATGGCGTCGACACGGTGGGTGTGGCGCAGGCAGCGGGATCATTATTAGTATCGAGGCAGGTAGACCGAGGACCCTGGATTATCGCGGTGGTAGAGGCGAGGAAAGTAGAGCGAAGAGGAGGAGAAAGTTCGGGCGAAAGCCATTGGAGAAGATGATAATATAGGAAGGCAAAACGAACGAGGGTCGAATAGACAAGGATATTGGCAGATACATGAGGAGTAGACAGAACAAAGACCACAGCGTGGCTAGAGGACTGCGGTGGAGGTAGAGAAGAGGAGAGAAGACAGGAAAATGGAAGAGAGTAGAGGAGAAATGGAATAGAATAGTGGAATATAGAGGAGGAAAGACAAGACGAAGACAGACAGGAGGTTAGAAGTCTCAAGTTTGGGACGTTGCTATGGAGAGGTTGACATTGCAAGCATTTGGGAGAGAGTTTGTCGAGACCAATTTGCGGCTGGGTTGGAATCCAGCCTCTTATTCCGCCTTGTCGGTAGTGGTGGACAAGGTACACGCAGCAAGCGAAGTAAGCGTCCATGTATAAAATTGCACAGCGAGCGTTGCTACCGGTGAACACTTCTCAGCGGCAGCGACAGCGGCAGCGTTAGAAGCCCCAGCTCCGCATGAAGCTCCTTTCCGCAAATGCTTTGGCTTTTGGCGTGCAGTTGTTTCTTTTATCGTCATGTAGCTGGTTACGTGATGGCGCCGCGCCGCCTTTGTCTGTCTGGCTCTGACGGGCCCGTTTTAGATGAAGCTGCTCTGCTTCGTAGCCTGATTGCTGGCGATGACGGTAAACGACTGGACCAGGCAATTTCGAAAAGCTCCGGCAGCCGGAAATTGAAATGCAATGCTCGATTTCGGTCCGGAGACTCATCCTCGACCACGCGTGGCAATGAATGTATCGCTCGGCCACGGACCGCTCTGTCCAACTGCCTCTCGATCTCCCGATCTTCGATAGTATCATCAACACTGACAAGATCTTCAGACGGGACTTGAATATTGCCCTTTTGCCTGTAATGAGTCGCGGGAGCGCCACGACTTTGGGGGCCTTTTGCGGGTGTATTCTGCGTTTGCTGTCGCCCGTTCTTTCTGGAGGTACTTGACGTTTTCATGGGAGAGAAGACAGGAGAATGGAGGGAGTAGAGTCCAGTAGCGAGCAAGAATCCAAATCATTGGTGCTTTTGCCAAGGGCGTATCGGTGCGACAGCCAGTGAGTAGTTCCGCATCCAGCGTCAATAGTAGTAGTGGAAAGAACAGGACGTCACACAATAAGTACGGCGTCCTGTAATGCCACTCTGTAAGCTTGATAGATTGCTCGTTACTGTATCTCCACGTAAATAGTCTCGGATAACGCAGTAGCAATGCCCTCTGGCGGTTCAACACCCTCGAAAAGCCCAGGTCATCAGGACCACCCGTGAGCGCTCAATTAGCCCTTGGGATGCGCTCAATCGACGTCTCGCGAGTGAATGGTGTCTCGTCAAGGAAGTAGCGGCATCGAGATGAAACGGAGTCGCAGCGGTGCCGCCATTCTAGCCGCGCGATGGCTTTGTTGGTATCCGATAGTCTTGGGCGGCTTCAGAGAGAGGGATTCAACAGTCTCAAGAACAACCCCCGACATCCTGCCCCAGATAGTAGATTCGCACCACCTCCCGGAAGCCAAGTGCTTCCCCAGTCTTCGCCTCATGGTCTCTGCTCTAGTATGCCTGCATACGAGGCGCAGTTGGACGTAGTCAGGCGCATCTAGGCATCCAAACGGTTCATGTCCACTTCTGGAGATTGAAATCTCGTCTCTTGAGTTGCCAAGGGGGCCATGAACAATCGTTGACGGCTCAGCGAGAACAGCCTCTCGACACATCTTCAACGTCCAATGTAGGCACAAAAGCTATAAAAGGAAGAATGCTGATGAGTCGGATAGACCGAAAAACAAGTGAGATAGACGTTCATGGAGGTGGCTGATGGCAAGAGCCGGAAAGCGTTGATTGCAAGAGTCAGAACAATCTCGCATATTGGCCAGGAGCACGATTTGCGCGATGGCCAGACGGCTGGACGCCTCCAATTGCGATGCCGCGGACAAAGTTGACGACAAGCGGAATCAGCCCAAAAGTGGCGGCGAGAGGCCCCGTGGAAGTCGAGGAGGATCTGGAGGAGGATCTGGAGGAGGCTGGAGAGGTGAGACCAGCGCAGGCTCGCCAGGATGCTGCCGCTGCCTGTGCGAATCTGATCGATCTCGTTCACGGAATCAGCGTGGCATACAACCGGCAGTCCCCACGAGCTTGAAGAGTTCGAATGTTCTGGGCCACGAAGGCGATATGGCCGAACAGGTGGCCAACCAGAGCAGCCAAGTGCCTCGGGCCACGAAACTCGAGGTATGTGGCTTGTTGAACTGCATCGATCGTGCCAGACCGTCATCTGACGTGGGAACAGTGTCTCTTGCATCGAGGTCAAACAGAAGATAAACAGAAGAAGACCGTGCGTGGTGTTCAGATCGAACGGCTTCTCAGTTACCTGGCTCTTCTCCCTCCGCCGCCGCCGCCGCCGCCGCCGCTGTTGCTGTTGCTGTTGCTGCTGTACCCACTGCGACATGTCGTCCACCTTCTGCCCCTTCACGCACAGCAGCTGCTTGGTGGTTCTGAAGTGGTATGACCGGCTTCGTGTAGCGTCACTTGAGGCGGTTGAGGGGGTGAGATCGGCGACCTGCAAGAACAGGTTTGGAGTGGCCTCGCTAATCAAGACTCTTTCGTGTTACGTTGGAACTTCGACTTGCCCACTAGTCCTGCTGTATCGAGCCTCGTGCATGGGGCTCGACACCATCCCGTCTTGTCGCTGAAATGAAGAGGAAGTATCGTGTAAAGTAGCAAGCGGCCCAATCGGCTACTTTCGAGCAATCATACGCCTTGGCTGGCTCATTCGAGTGATAGCCTCACCATCCCAAAGGTGTGCAGCACGACCCTTTTTCACAACCAGTCTGCCAGGTCTAGCTAGGATCTTTCGCTTTCTTGGGATGTCCGGGTCCCAGCGTTACAGGATCAGGGTTGATGAGAGGTGATCACAGGGGATCAGAGGTGATCAGAGGTGATCAGAGGTGATCAGAGGGATCAGACAGTATCAAACAGCATCAGACAGGATCGAATAGGCTCGAATAGGCTCGAATAGGCTCGACTAGGCTCGAACAGTATCAGATAGTATCAGATAGTATCAGATAGTATCAGATAGTATCAGATAGTATCAGACAGCATCAGAGGGGATCAGAGGGGATCAGGGGTGATCAAACAGTATCAGACAGGCTTGAATAGGCTCTAACAGTATCAGACCGTATCAGACAAGCTCGGATAGGCTTAGACAGGATCAGCCTAGATCAGATTAGATCAGAGGGGATCAAACAGTATCAGACAGGCTTGAATAGGCTCTAACAGTATCAGATAGTATCAGACCGCATCAGGCAGGCTCGGCGAGGATCGAATAGGCTTAGACAGGACCAGACTGGATCAGACTGGATCGGACAGTATCAGAAGGGATCAGAGGGGATCAGGGGTGATCAGAGGGGATCCTACCGCATCAGATAGGCTCGGATAGCCTCGAATAGGCTTAGACAGGATTAGATTGGATCAGATTGGATCAGACTGGATCAGACAGCGTTAGACAGGCTCGGACAGGATCGGATAGGACAAAATCTGACAGGATCTGACGTTATCGAATCTCGCCCCGCGCTGGAGATGGCGAACGAACGGGGTAAGAAGATCGGTAGTCAAAGAGGTCAATGACTGTGCAGCTGACCTTCCTCTTCAGATCGTGACCTTCCTCTTCGAATCGTGACCCTCAGCTGTCGTGCTGACCGACCACAGCCAGGTTGATCAGCAAAAGTCGAGTCGGAAAAGTTCTGTATGTGGGAACAACCGGTGGCATCGACCTGTGGCTGGCGCAGAACATTATTTCTGTGGCGGCGGGCTCCCATCGCCCCCTTCTTCCGAACACTGGCGCTTCGTGGCACAGCTTGCGCAAGACCTCGCGAGACGCCGGTCCAGTAGCAATCCGCTCGTTGTCGGCGAGAATGATGGTGGCAAACACGCCAACGACCCACACAAAAACACCGACACCGACACCGAAGTCGAGCTGGTCCTCGTCAGTTATCCACTGGCCCCAAAAATCCGGCGAGCGAGAGCTTGAGGATCCTCAGAAAGTGGCTCGCGACGGTCATGGACGAGGTGGCAGCGAAGGGGAACACGCTCAGTCTAGCGGGTGATAGGTAACATCAGGAGGGCTGTCTATGCGGTGACGGCGAGGAAATAGGACGAGGTTTGCCGAGTCGAGCAAGGAGTCGAGCAAGGAGTCGAGCAAGGAGGTTGGCAAAATATCATCGACTCTCCTTCAGCTTCCACCTCGTCTGTCTTCCACGAAGAATCCCTCGACCCACCATCCCCCCGCAGGCTCAAGGTCGCGGCACTGCCCATCGCTCTCACTCTTGACAGGCAAGTAGAGTCTGAAACACCAGGCTGGCAAACTAAACCCCTAGCGACAAACTCCAGCAAGGCGGTAGGTCTAGGTTCCACGAGTTGTCGATGGCCAATTTGCATGATGCTCACTTGTGAGCGGCGTCGCTTGGACGCGGTAATTTCGGTCGAGGATGCGGTGCAGCAGAGGATCCGTCCGTTGGCGGGCAGTCGATGCTTCGAAACGACTGAATATCTGACTCAGACTGTCTGCATCGTAGCTGTCCGGCAGATCCCGCAGGAAGAGAATCTTGTTGGGCGGGAGGTACTCGTCGGGGATGATGAGCTCTTCCATGTGTGTTCGGATCAGCATTTGTCGTAACTTGACAAGTGGCTTTTGGCTTCCTGACCTTTCTCTGCCCCGAGTCGCCGCTCTGGTATCTCCAACACGGCAAGCTGGAAGAGGCCCGTCGCGTGCTTATGTCTATTCGCAATCAAAAGACGGACATTGTCGATGCAGAAATATCCATGTACCGCATCACTCTCGAAGAACAAGCCGAAGAACAAGCCGAGATGCGGAAACAGATCAGGTTCCGGATATCGATGGGAGCCCAAAATGTAGTGAGCCTGACAGAGCCTTCTACAAATCGCTGACATGCTTCAACACGAATCTGTAATGGTGACAAAGTATCTGGCTCACGCAACAGTGAGAAAGGTCCTCACTGCCCCAGAAAGGCAAGAGTTGTAAAGGAAAGATGGCCGAGACAAGTTTCTTCCTGATCCTAACCCTCAAAGGTCGACCAATGGAGGTTTGCCGGGCTGAGACCAGACTGAAAGCTCAAGGGCATGTAATCGTATACACTGCGAACCGGGTAGGGCGTGGAGAGATCGATGGCTGACGATACGATATGATAATGCCCCAGGGTTTCGTCACCTGCCGTACGTCCTCTTTCTTGTTTGTAGCGCTAGATCGCAGGGGACTGAATTGGCGGGTAGGTAGGATGGCAGATATAGACGTGTCATGTAGTAATAGTAATGCCGCGCAGGGTTCTTTCTATCCTCTTCCAACATCCATCAAAGTCTTTGCGGGAGAACAATCTTTCCAGCGTCGTACCCAGCTGGCACTCGGGGGTAGTAGGGACACTTGCTGTACCATGTATGCGGGAGCCTCGGGTGGTATGTATATGGGAAGTCTCGGGGAGGAGGAAGTACGACAGCCGTGGTGTGGTGCGGCACGGAACATCTTTGGCGGAGAAAATCATGAATGAACGACTGAATGACTGACTGGCTGATTGACTAGCTGGCTTCCCAGTGGTTGTACACAGTAAGTCTCTGGGGAAGGAAGTAGAGCCGTGGTGTGGTACGTGCCGTTTTAGGAGGTGAATGAATGAATGAATGAATGAGTGAGTGAGTGAATGACTCACCGACTGACTGCCTTCCCGGCCGGCTGTTTCTGCCATTGACTGTTCGATCCTACAGCCGTAGTTCGTGCCGTTGTGGGCGGAGAATCGAACGAATGAATGAATGAATGAACCGTTCGACTGACCAGCTGACTGAGCGACTGGCCGAGTAACTCGCTGCCCTTCCCGAGGCTGTATACGGTAAGCCGCAGGGGGGAGGAGGTACAGCCGCGGTACGTGCAGTTGTTAGGCGGAGAAGCTCATGGATGAATGAATGAACGAACGACGACTGACTGACCGACTGACTGACTGTCTCGCTGCCCTTTCCGTCCGCCACCTCCCTAAACGTCCATTACACTTTGTTTTTCAGTCTATCCGACTCATTATCGTCCCTTCTTTCTATAGCTTTTGTTTGTGCCTACATTCGACGTGAATGGTGGCGTCAACAACCAATCCACCGACGCGGAATGGGCCTCGAAAGCCAGCATGGACGTCCAGTACGGTCTGACGATGGGTAGAAATAGTTTAATGTCGTGTCTTCGAGGGAATCGGTGACAGAAAACGTGCTGGTCCTGCCCACTAGCCACGGCGACAAGGTTCGACATCACAGGAAGGTCTCGGAGCTCTACCGGGGCTAGCGCTATACCTATCTTAGTGGAAGTCAGGAGAGTAAGATGTATAGCCCGCCGTCTTCGTCGCCGATAGCTTAGATAGCTCTATCTCCAATATCTACTAGAGACGCGAGCGCGAGTTCCGTTACCGACACGCGACGTCGAGGTTTACCGGTCACGTCTTCGTTATTATCGTTAACGACGCGAAGAACGACGCTCAGGTACAGCTGGCCGACACTCCACGTCTTCTAGTCGAGCCAATCCGTCGCGGCAATGACCCCGGAAGTCTCGGTCGTGCCGAATTATCCGACTTGTCGCAATCACCAAGGAACAACGACAAAAAAACATCAAAGACTCGTAGTTGTTGGCTCAGGCAGGGAACGCTGCCGATACTCGAGACGGTCAGCAAGTTACCGACGACGCAAGTGGTCTCCTGAATCGAGAACACTTGGCCGAAGCTACCGTCAGGTCCCAGCAGTCGGTCGATGCTTTCGAAACTACCGTAAACAAACAAAGCGACGAGGTTTGTTATGCTTTGCGGTCCACTTCGGAAGCCTTTTTTCCACATGGAAGAGTACACGAAAGCCCTCCAAGCCATCAAGGCAACACTGGAGCGGTCACAGACCTTGACCGCGGCACGAGGAGCGTGAGATTTACGTTCGATGCTTGCGACGGTTGGCCGAGATCTCGAATCGGTTGGAGAGCTGTTGGAGGCAGAACTTTTCCCCCGGCTGCGACTACCTGTGGTCCTTGCCCTTTGCAGGAGAACTCGCCAGAAGGCTTTTTCGCCTGACACCTTGCGGACCTCGACCGGCTTGCGCTTGACAACTTCCTTTTTTGCTCTTTGGAGTCTGTGGCGCCGCCGCCGCCGCCGCTGCTGCTGCAGAGGTCTGTGGAAGCGTAATTAGGTAGGATTCGCTTCTAGATGATTGTTCTATACACTGTAGATTACTAGCAATAGGGCATAATTGAGAAGTCGTTGCGGCATCTGCGGCATCTGCGGCATCTGTAGCATCGACTTTGTTTGGGTGAGGGGGGGGGGGGGGGGGGCATTTTGCTGTGCCGTCTTATTTTATCATCTGGCTCACCAGCTCTCGTCGT